CTGAAGTAATTGATTAGAGTTGATAATAAAGTTTCTTTAGATTTGCTAATTTTTTATTTTGGAGATTTCGTTTATAAGCTATATATAAACTTTTTGATTATTAATAACTTTATTATTGATAAAAGTTTTGTTTTAATAATTGAGAAAGTGTTCGAGGAATTGGTATAAGGTTTGTATTTTTGGATCAAAGTTCTTAAAATGAAATTGCTTTTGATTTTAATAATATATTGAGAATAAATTATATAATTGTGTTTTTTCAATTTATTCTATATATCAACAATATTATATATTGCTAGAAAAAGAATAAAATCAAAATAATAAACAGAATTGATTGTAAAGTTGATAATAGAGATGATATTTCTGTATTTCTATTGTAGGTATAAAGATTTGTAATATGAGATATATCGAGAGAGTCAATTAGTTTTTCTTTATTTTCTTGAATAATAGCTAAAGTATTAATAATAATTAATGTAGTTAGATATGATTTATAGAACTTATTCCAGTTGTTATTATTAAAAATAATGATAATATCCCATTTTGTATTGACTATAATTGAAGTATTAATAGATTTTGATAATATTATATTGATTAGTTGGACTAGGAAAAAATATAAACAAAAAGAATAAAGAGAACAAATAAAGGTTTTATTTAAGTTAAATTGATTGATATTACAAGTTGTATAAAGATATTGATAATATAGGTTTTATAATCTACCAGAAATGTATATAGATTATATTTAGATATAGAATCTAAACGATATTATTGAGTGTATAAGTAAACAAGATGTATGCTAGTAGTGAATATAGAAGAGGGGTAGTGCTGTGATACTTGTAGTACTCATGACTTTCTAACAATTTTATCTTTATCAAGACAAGTTTCTTATTCAGTGCATTCATTTTGTATATATTTCATACTCGAGTACACCACAAAACTAATCATTCACCATTCTTCCATCTCATTCCAATTTTCTTGTTTAAACACAATCGACCCCTTATCACAAGACACTTCATATTGTCATACAATCATGGAGCTCATCCATGATATCCAGCTTGATGAGTTGTTTTTGAAGCAATCACTAGTCTCCACTCAATTAATAATCCACACATACTTCTCTTGAATAACAACACAACCTCAAAATGCGTTCTAGAATCATATTTCTTTTCCAGTTGATCAACAATATCTCGTAGATTATAAAACTGCAACTGTCTGGCCATCTCTTTCTCTCTCTCCTTTCTTCAAAAATATAAATCAACATCAAGCCTAACTATATATATAGTTACAGAACGCAACCAGCATTCTCAATTTACAACACTCCACGACAGAAATCAACCTTACCAAATTAATCATCTAGCTAATACTCACCAGCGACAATATGCGTTTCAGCTCCAGGCGCGAATTTTTCAACCAGTACATATTCATTAGCTGGTTATGCTGCCAAGTGAGTGAGCTCTTAAATCTGCATTTTCCTTCTATTGTTTCGATAGTTGGTATAGGTCTCCTTTCAAAGCCTGGTTGCTGATAACATCATGCTTAGTGCGGAGACCAGTGGCTTCCGGCAAGTTACTGGAGCTGCTTGACATGTGGTCATTTCAAATGTGCTCGATGCATACCAAATATTAGATGATGAATTCATGGGACCGGAAGAGATGAACTTCCAGGCTCTCGAGAGACAAACGCAGATAAACATGTAGATGACTAATGAACGCCTGGCTTTCTAAACATATAAAATTGTTCTTGTGAGGTTTGAAATATCAATGTTATCACAAGGCTGGCGTGATTTTGCAGGAACACAGAACATGACTTTCGCTGTTGGGATGCCAGTGCCATACATCTTGAATCTCACTAGCAGCAATAATATCTCGAGATATTCTTAATTACTCACGCTTCCCTCAGTAAGATTCCTAGCTTTCATCATTCATGATGGTCTCGACGTTTTAACCATTATCCACGTGACCATCGTGTAAATCGTGACTCACAAACCTCAGAACATCCATTCTTCTTCCATCCAAGTCCATAATTATGTCTCTTGTCAAGAGACGCAAAGAAAAGAAGTCGGGCAAAGGCTGCTGGACATGTAAAAGTAAGCTCTCGTTCTCATTCATTTACATACATTTGCTCAACCCTCAAACCCCGCAATTGGAGGCCCCCGCCATCGAATGTAACCCCGCATTGATGTTCCCAACCTCCCCAACCTGACATTTCATCAAGGCAGAAAAATCGGATGCGACAAAGGTATACCTTATTGCAATAATTGCACGAGGACTGGTCGAGTTTGTGAAGGTTATGGCATCAAACTTCACTGGCCAGAATCGGGTGATGGCAGGAGACCAGTTCATTCTTGGGAGAACGAATCTCATCGCCCTGCTCAAATTTCTCCGGCGCCTCCAACACGTGAAAAATATCAATTTCTGAATTCGACGTACATCGACTTGAAAGTTGCATCGGAGTTTAAACAGAAATGTTATTCCACATATCGGTATATGTCAAGCCCTCAGAGAAGCCTGAAGTTCGGATATGAAACTACCCTCGAGTCACGGGATGCAACACTGTTATCTTACTGTAAGATGGAGGGAAAAGCTGCATAGGGGAAGCGTGTTGACAGATTTTTTAGACACAGATGTCCTGTCTCGTATGATCACAACCATCGATGATAGTTTGAATGGTTTTCGAAATTACTTGCTCCCAAATGCACTTGCAGACCGTTATCTTTCTTGTCTGAGCCTGCGATATGCCATCCTTGCAGTATCAGCTTACCACTTATGGGGGACTGAAGCTGCAGTACAATATAAGATATCTGCGATACAGCTCCTCTCACAGTCTATTCAAACAGGAGGAGGTGGACTTAGAGGACAATTTGCCACATGTATGATGCTTTGTGTGGGTGATGTAAGCCCGTCTAAGATACCATATCAAAAGATCTAAATCTGCTAACTGATGGAAAGGTTTTTGACGGGGCTGATGGAAGCTGGCCCACACATCTAAAGGCTGCAAGAGAAATCGGCTTGACAATGACGAAAGACCACTTTTTGAATACTTGGCTCTTATATCATGATGTCCTAGCAGATTTCAGTCACGGGAGGCGGCAGAGACAATCTCTAAGTAGTACATTTCTCGGGGCTCCGAGTGCTAATCCTGAGAACAAAATTGTATGTTATGCGCATGATTGGAAACGAAATAGCTGACGTTGGCAGATCATTGGATCGCTGGGATGTTCTCTAGAAGTCCTCGAATGCATATCCTGCATCAACGAGATTTCTGGGATATCCGAAAGACAAGGAGAATATCAGGATTTTGCCCAAGGACTAGTGAAACAGCTTAAGGATGCTCATCAAATTTCTGCAATAATGGAAGACGACACTACCGGCAAGATTGATCAAATCAAAATAGAAAATACAGCCGAACTTTACCGGCTGGGAGCGCTCATATATCTCCATTCAGTCCTATTGATACCTTCCGACTCGGATGAAATACAGGGTCTAGTGAGCAAGGCGTTGGCAATTCTTAGTAGGAATGGTATCTGCACAAGTCCTTGGCCACTGTTCATAACGGCATGCGAAGTTGTATCCGACGAGCAACGAATCCAGATCCTAGATGTTCTGGAAGATATGCAAAGCGAAAGAAGAATCGGAAATTTGGAAATAGTGAGAGGCATCATAGAAACTGTATGGAAGCAGATGGATTTAGCGGAAGGTAATGGCGTAAGTAAGAGAATCGACTGGAGAACTTTGGTTGATATGAGGAAGCGGGTACCATCCTTCATCTGAAATTGTAGAAACACATATTGGGCAATGTACAAATACATCAAATATTCAAATACAATGAAAATAGTCCTATCACATTGTATCACCATCCTTCCAGCTCGGCATTTCTTCCAAGCAGATCTGAGCGGAAGCACACTGTCTTCGACTAATTCTTTCCCAATCCCTCTTCTAAATGGCTTCCTCAAGAATCGCTTCAGTGACAATAGCACTCGTTTTCGTGACACCCAACGCCCCCACTCATAACAAATCATCCAAAATCCTCATTCCACCTACCGCCTTGAGTGGCGACTGCTTGTTCTATAGAGTATGAATACTGTTGCGACTTGTGTTTGGAAGTGATATCGATGGAGAGGTCAGTGGAAGTCTCGGAATTTTTTAGTCATGGTGGGGTAGGGTAGGGTGCAAGGAGAGAGGGGTAAATCGTTCTCTTATCAGTATTATTGAGAGTGTAGACATATACTATATGAATATTGGAACATTCCGGTTTGTTTTGATGTGAAATATTATCGAATCAGTATACAACACTGGTAATACATGTTATTCCATACCAGGTCAAGCAGTGCCACGTCAAATGAGGCTGGGGCTCTGGGGTTGTTGCTGCTAAACTATAATATCAACATCCAACAAAGTGGATGCGCCACGATACTTCAAAGCACTACCACTATTATATTTCCACATATCGGATAGCCTCGCAAGATCCGACGAGAAACCATATATGCGCCGATGACTACCTCGAACCTGTCTAGCTTGCAAAGTGCCTCAACACCTTTCTCGCAGCCCAAACCGAGCAGAGCAGTCATCCTCGACTTGGACCATCAATCCTCCTCACGAAATACTGCTTAAATACTGCTCTTCTGCCAGTAGAAAATAGACACCTGCCCAATCAATCCCACTCATTTATAGTTATATTCGAGTCGAGTCTGTTACCGGCGACTGATCAGTTTGCGCATTGCCAGCCCGAGGGCTCGGAACAGAGCCCATTCTCAACCAAAATTGTCGAAGAAGTCACATAACCCAGTGTGGATTAACGTGACACTTTGGAAAGTATTTATCGATCGCGATCTCGTATTTTATTGTACTTGAGTCGTATTGGGCAGCGGGACAAGTGTCGTGTTGAAGAGGTGCGCATCTAGGACATCGTTGAAAGTTCAAGCGTGGCCGATGCTTGTGCGCTTGATTGGCACATATCGTAGCTTGCATTGTCTGCGATTAGGTTCTGGTATCTGCGGGTGAGCCTTTCAATTGTAAGAGAATTGTCGAAGTCGAGGATTTGAGGGTTCTGCGAGTTGAGACGGAAGATTTGCAAAGATGCTTTTACCCCCTCCGATCCGGCCCGTGTTCAATTTTTGGAAGTCCCTTGGCAGTTGCCGGTACAAGATGTAAATGTTTCAACGTCAGTCTCATCGTCACTAAATATGAATACACAAGGTCAATAACTGATATTAAAATGGCTCTTGCTTTGAATGTTGATTGTTGCTTCAAAAACACTACCTTATTGCCTAACACTAACTGCTTCGTTCGCCAAATTGTCCACGATATATGTTTGTTCCTACAGTCTTTCCTTCTCCGCATACCTGTATGACGCCCTGCTCTCGGTGTACATAATTCGATTAGTTTGCACAAGATGTTCGCTGCTCACAGCCACAAAATGACTGGTCTCTGCAAGTAGGAGCATTACATGATGGTAAAGCATGTCGAAAGCTGTGTGTGTGTTACTTCCATCGGCACCCTGAGAGTTATTCTCTCCTTCCGAGAGAAATCAAACATGGAATATGCGTTTTTTCCTCAAAGTTCTTGAGAGCTTGACTTAGTCCGATTGTTTGACTGTTGATGTCGTGGCTCCTTCTGCGTCCATCAATGCTTCCATAAGCCTTCCTCCCCTATGTGTGTTGCTATCCCCATTCATATCAGTATCTTTCCCATGTTTGTAATTTTTGTTTCCTTCACGGCCTTCAACTTGTAGCTTTCTGCAGTGTACCCCAATTGTGCCCTCGCCCTTGAATATGGCAGATATTATATAATGACACCGAAATGGCGAAAACTCGAACACGATGTACCCCGACACAATGACATTAAGATTCGATCTGATAAACGAGTTCCTGCGAAAGTCATGTCTGTTAGTGTGCTCGATAGGTGTGTAGATAGTGAGCTGCCGACAGGCATCCACAGCTTAGGTTGAATGAGCCTTTCATTTTGGTTTTTTCATTAGTAATAGTGGTGGTGTAGGTTTTCAAGTCTGTTTTTATTGGTTTGATGATTGTAGTAAATGATAGATAGTGACCAACTTGTTGAACAGTTGAAAGTCTAGTATTGAATCTGTATTTCGAATTTGAAGCCTCGGTTTTAGAACGTTTGCAGCAGGAATCCGAGACAAAAGTGGCAGAAAGTTTTTTTTGAATTTAAAGTCATATATAGTGTGCACATGTGAGTAGATAATTCATGATGTGTTGTGCCGTTAAGTCAAGCAAAATTTGATTTTCTCCCATGAACCATGGAATTTGAGGCACCATTGACTTTTAGCATTATTCTTGTACAGTTTTACACAATTCAAGTAACCATTTTAGTTCAAATACTCTCATTTTCCTAAAATCCGAATGATTCCTGGATTTGCTAGCCCAATAACGATCATGCGTAGTAAGTTATGAGTGCACTAGGTCGATTATGGAGTTTAAACGTCATGGAGTTTTTTTAGTCAGCCATTTCCATCATAGTCCCCCTTTAGCTTCGCACAACAGGAAAATCAGAGATTTCGTCTTGAACAGAATTTTGATTCCGTGTGGTACACAACTTCTAGATATCTTTTGACGAAGCATAACACTTATTTATTCCAAGCTATCAGATATATCAAATTGCTTTTCGACGTAAGCCCCAAAGACAAACTGAAATTTAAGAAATCATATCTGGTCTTGGGACGCTTTTAAAATCATCTATCTTTAGTCTCACCTCCAACTTTTACCTTCGACTCTACCTCCGCTCTCAATTCTTACTACAAGCTTCTATTCTTAAGCTCTACTCTTCAATATGATTGCGATCAATCGTCGTCGTCCAGCACCTGCTCAAGATACTGAGAGCCTCAAGCTACATACGATGAAGGCCAATATGCTAGAAGCCAGAAAACAAATAGTACAGAAACGTGCGCTGGCAGCCAAAGCGGAAGCAGCAGACCGTAATATATTGCGATTCTTGTCTTCGGAAATCATTACAGAACCGGAGAGGCTAGTACGAGGTCCCGCCATTACGATTGACATGTTTCCCGTCGAACTCAAGCTGCAAATCCTCGGCGACTTGACCGACATTCATTCATTGCACTCGTTAATCTCCACCTCCCAAAAATTCTACGACTGCTATATGATTGACCGATGCAATGTTCTCTGCAGTGTGCTCGTCAATGAGATGACTCTCCCTATCTTTATTCAAGCGGTTGTCATATCCAGCGAATCGGTATGTGGGATAAAATGGAAGGGCGAGTGGAAGCATCGCTTCCAGAACGTGCGCGACTTTATGGATCAATACTCGCAAGAAGCAAAAGTCACAACCTTAAATCCAAGAGATTACAATCTCAAAACTCTTATCCGTGTCGCTAAATTCCATTCGACAATAAAAGCGACTTCTAAGGATTACTTTGAATCTTGTTTAGGATTACATCCATGGACGCATGAGAAGTACGAGAAGAGTCCATTGGAGAGAGTCGAGGAACTTCGGATCCAACGAGCCCTATATAACATCGAGCTATATTTCCGTCTTCTTAAGCATGGGGATGGTTATATGATGAAATTGAAAAGATTGAGCATCCAGCGCGACATAAGCCCAGGTAGCATGATCCAGCTGGGGCTTCATAAGTCGTTTCTCGGCCATTTCACCTTATGGGAAACGGAAGAGATGTACTCCATACTAGACTATATGGAGCGAGAATACCATTATATTCTCCAAGACTGTAAACGCTTCTTGGTAACGAGTTCCCAAGCTCAATTATATGGCTCCCCGTCAACTTTGGCAAAAATTCGTATGGAGGAGACCAGATACAGGCAGAAGCATCCTTCTAATCCTACGAACCGTTCTAGTGAGCTTGAATGTTCGTTGTCCAGCATGGGGATTGGATACTTCTGGAAAGTTTGCAGGCAGGATGGACCCAAGACAATGATTCCTCTTCTAGACAAGCCTATACAAAGACTTGCTAAGTCAACACTGGCTTTTTACAAGTTATTACCAATATGTAGCTATCTACAAACCGAGAGCGTTGCAAACCATCCAGGCCTAGGAACATCAACAGCCACTCATACCGAATTCAAATTTATATACACGGCGAACCTAACAGCCAATACAGATTTGCATGCCTACTTCAATTCGATGGACTCAACGAAAGACGTAGAACAAGCACTCAAGTTTCCCAGCTCGTCTATGGCATGGAATGCGATAGATGAACTCCTTGACACGTCCCCCTTTGCAATTCGTGATTTTCTGTCTTCTTTCGGATATTGTATGTGGACTTCATGTCGGCTAAATCGTTTAATGGAGGAACGTGGGTCGCTCGATGTGATGTACCCTTCCACTGTATCGAGATATCTTGGTCCGAGATTTCGCTTGGGCTTGGAGAAAGGCGTATCGAGAAAACCTTGAGTCCGAGGAAACATGATATCGACTAAGACCAAGGTATCGAGTGCAAATATGGTCGATGGGTTGGTTCGTGAGTAAGGTAGATGGGTGTTTGTGGGTATTTGTGGTTTGGGTCAAGCTAAATCTGGACTTTTGATTCCCCATAAAGTACGAAAATTGTATCATTTTTGGATCTGTATTTTAGTTAGTTTATATAAATTGAACAATGATTCAATCAAGATGCCTATTTATTTTCCGCCTTGCAGATTCCTGTCATGATTTGACAAGCGTAGTTCAGTATAAGAACAATCTGTAAGCTTCAATAATAGAAAACTTCCGCAACCCATTAAAGACCAATATTCCACCGACCCTCGAATTGAAAGTTCATGAAAGGCAATGCACTAAAAAGGATTTTATACATGGTGAGCTTGAGTCCGTAACTCGAATGTATTGTCGAAAAGGGAAGCCTTTTTCATTTTTACTTTCCAAGCACTCAAACTTCATCATGCCAAAACTAAAATCAAGTATCTTTTTGTAAAATTTGAGAAGCGCAATCGATTATCTCTCACTCAGTATTCGGAATAGGAGTGAACTCCTTATCCTTCTACGATCAAGACATTCAGAAGTTTCCGCTAATTCTTCCCCTTTCTGGTCGACAGTCTTGCTCGCCTTCGAAGTTTCTTCAGCAACTTTGGAACGGATCGAATCGCCACGATGGAGAGCGTCGTCACTTTCCCATTCGTATCCTTCTGATCAAGGCAGCAGCATATCGTATACCGACGTCTCTTGCCCCTAGAAAATGGCGACAGAACTCCATTCCGAAAATACCTCCCCAGGCTGTACTTGAGATCACCAAGTTCTCTTTATGGACAGGCTTTTACGCTAGGCGATATTCATACCGCAAATTCAGAGGATGCTAAATTTTATCCCTCTCCGAAGCTTCCGATTGAGTTGCGCCAAAGAACTGTAAGTGAGCCGACCGCGCCTCTGCTTCCAAACGAGCCATTTCAAGTTCCGCTTTAAATTATGAAGTATGGCTACTGATGGTGTATCTCCATAGGTGTAGCATTCTTTGCCAGCCTCTCGTGCAGTTGAAGTTTCTGAACGACGGTGAGTGTATGTCAGACGGAGAGCAGCCTGTTACACTTCATTTATGTTGAGAATCTAGGGAATTAGCTCTCGAAGTTTATGGATCGGCCTTCCTTCAAGACTGCACCGGCACCTATATATTCCGATTTTGATGTTGACATACAATATTTTGGTGTCGGAAGCATTTCTCATCTGGAACATGAACATTACATCGGCTCACACAATACCTGAAGAGAAAAGTGACCGATATGACTTAAAATTGGTATGTCATGTGGCAGTCGACAACAACTTCTCGTGTTTATAGATATGGCAATCCATTTGGTCTTGCAATCCGGCCGACAAGAAATCAAAAGACAATGAACTCCACTTTAGGAGTAGGTGTTCCTGCCCTGTAATCATCAACTTCGGTCGTTATACCAACTGTGAATGAGGCGAGGCGAAACGCCAATTTTTACGGCTTTGGAAGCTGATTCGCCGATATAGTTATGGCAGCCGATAGTAAGACTGGCACAGAATTCGAGCCATGGGTATAGAAGACGACGGAAGTGTCCTAACATGGAAACTTCCCGTCTGTTCAGCAGTCTGGGAGTCTCTAATTCCGAAATATGGAAATTCTTTGAACTTTGTCGAAGATCGGAGCCAGTCACAAGGGTGCCCGGTGCTCGGTGCTCGGTGCCACTACTATCCCCATTGTCACTTTAGTAAGACGTAGAAAAGAGGAGACATGAAAGGGTCGAAGCGATTATGCGAATGAAGGCATCCAATTCGGCGATGCAAACTGCTTTTAAGAGGCCCCAGAAGTGCTGCGGAGTTTGTTACATCTACGTGAACATGATCGTTTTCTTTATCGATTAGCTTGATGCGTGATTGTAAGAAGATTCGAATATTTCAAGACATCAGAGCAACAAATAAGATAAGGTTTGAAGCATGCATTTATCCAATTGCGGTATACCGAGCCACACATTAGTGTGAATGCGCCTTGAATATGGTTGTTGGGGACTTTCGTGGGAAATCACCTCAGGGAAGTCACGGTTACCGAATCAAAGCTTCACATTTGACCAGCACTTCAATATTAGAAAGGCGGTTAGAGTGATGTATGTCATGGATTTCATGAGTGCTCTAAGCATTGGTGAAGAGAGGAAGTCCGCCTGATGGTCAAATCGCGATAGTATGATGCATACAGCCCGTCAAAAGACACCAAAAGCCCGGCGCCTATCGATCTAAAGAAATTCTATGTTGCTTCAGAAAATTTGAGTCGTTCCAAAGCTGGATATCGCCTTCGAGCTGCACTATATTACTACATTTATGCTAATGGCTTCTATACCACATGACTTACATAGGAAATAGCAGTGAATGGCAATGCCGCTTTCCAATCTTCCTGGCCCGTGTTTCATCTTGCTATAATTGAACACTATAAACTATAAACTAGGAGTATTATTTTTGAGCCTAACAGCTTCTAGAATTGTGGTTAAACTCCAAAGGGTTCATATTTACCAGGAATAACCAAAAGAATTGGTCATCAGAAATCTGGCCGTGAAGCTAAAATAGACGAATTGATACCTACCTACTCTATTTACTATCAATCAACCTTCCCATGTACGATTATTCGTTCCCTACATTATCTCTTATCACAATGTCAATCGCTTTCAAAATCAGATGATCTATAGTCAAATGGGTGGCATCGTCTAATTCAGGGGCCGGGCGAAGAGGGGTCTGAGCGGAGATGTTCGAGTTAGAAGTTCTTGTTAAAGAGTCTTTCTTATCGTATATAAACATGATAGTAGAGAGATTTAAGGACTCGGAGGAGCTAGATGTAGTGAATAGGCTCATGTTCGATTGTTTCGAGTGTATTTTTCCGCAAATACCGTGACCCCTCCACAGCACAAAACTTTCCCAAGGATCTTTGGGAATTTGCCAACATACATCTTTCGAGACTTGCACGTCATCGGATTGACGTTCCCAGATATCTCTTTCGTAATCATACTCGGAACCTTGATTATAGTGTAGATATTTAAAATAGGGTTGCAAAAGCTGTGTGAATGTCATTTCGCTCGGACGAAATGTGATATAATTGGAAGACCCGATGGCTTTTTCGTTACATTTGTCACGAACAAAAGCCGCAACGGAAATCGTAAATTGGAAGTCATGTAGAGTGGGGGACGATTATAAGATGTTTTGCACCTAATTTAAGGGTGCTAAAGCACTAAAGAGACTTTACGTAATCTGAAACGAGTGTGGCACTCTCGGAAGATCTTAATTATGGTGGAGTAGGATGTTTGATTACTCTCCTGATGAGGTATGGGATAATCATCAATTTGCAACTTTGGCTTGTAGTGCAGACGTTTCGATTTTCTGATGTCACATAGTCTCGCTACCAACATGTGGCGATGAAGGTACCTACTTATATATGGAATGCGTATAGTATCGATAAAGATCTGGTTTATCTTTAAGGCAATGGGGGCAGCCGTATGGGTCTGTCATGGTTGCACTACCGAAGAACTTCCGTATTAAAACCATTGAACCCACCTGGTCCGATTTAGCTACAAACACATTTATATTGATCCAAAAATAGGAACGGATACAAAAAGATATGAGTTTGAGCTCTACGTTTATTTCGTACGAGATGCAATCCTTCATTGCTGATTCATACCTTGGAATTTGAGATTTCCAGAAGTCAAAGTCATTTAGAGTCACGGTTCTTTGACAATTCAATACATCACAATATAATCTTCCAAAACATTCTTGTAGAATTATCATTATCAGCAAGTACAAGAATAATCATATACTAATTAATTGATTATACATTCGAAATAATCAAGTATATTGATTTGAAACTATATACTCGAGTATTTATTGCGAATAAGCGTTGATTAATTCATCAAGTAGTATAACTCGAACTTCTATACAAGTGGATTGCCTCACAATGATTGCGAGGTAATTAATTAATACTTCCATTCCCATCTTTATCAGATTAAGCAAACCTGGATTTGTAAGGAGTACTTCAATAGTCTATGAGATTAAAGCCATCATATTCCTTGAGGTATAGATTTAGGTGTTAATAATTTTACTAGCAGATTGTGAAAAGAGTAGTAATCTAAAAGCCTTGTGCATCCATTTGCAAAAACATCAAAGGGATATCATTTTAGAAAAAAACACAAAGGTTGATAAATCTACTCATAATATACTACCCTCCTCTCAAATTTACATAATCACGATCCTCTCTATATAGTATTGACTATAGCATCCCCATACCAAGACTCTACCCCCTCCAGCAAATAAAATGACAATTTTAGCCTGTCCTCATCTTCCCCCTTGACTGAAATACCCAAAATTTCACTTTTTGATATAATATATGTCAGTACTAGATTATTAAAGTATTCAGGGGCGGGTAAGCTTCGGAGATGCTAAGTGAATATCGGATAAGGTAGATGTCAGCACTTCCTCACTGTGTGAAAATGCTCTTAAGATATTAGAGAGAGAGAAAGTCTCACATGATATCATGATTACGTTGTTTGTGCTTTATATCTTCTATGTCCGAATAAAAGACTGAAGAATTTTAATACATGAAAAAACAAATAAATGAAAGAGTAATTGTGTCATTTTTGATGATACACAGACACTGAAAGTTAGGATTTTGATACAGAATGGGCAAATAGTAGATTTAAAATACTCTAATCATTCTTTGATGGTTTAAGAATGTCTACACCTGTTTACAGGTGTCCAAACATGTTTTTGGGGATGTTTGTGGATATAGCATCCTTCTAATCCCATCCCATGCATTTCTTGATACCCCTGATTCTCGCTTCGGAAAGCTTTGACATACTCAGTATTGTGTAATAATTCCTGTAATCTGGGCAATAATAGGCTTAGATATGTCAAATGAAATGCCTATTTTAGTCTGCAGATGATCTATATCTATTGTGTGTCCCCAAAACTTGTATTCTGTGTTTTGTATTTTGTATTTTGAAGTAGGTAGCTAAAATGTTTAGGTTCCTCAACGTAACTTGAAGTTCTTGTGAGTGGGAGTCATCCAGGACAATAGGTGATGTAACTGTAGTCTAGAAGCTTTGTATGTGCAGTTGAAGGATTCATATGGTTTATTGAGGATCGCATTCGAGCGCTTTGGATCTCGAAGCTGAGAAGATGCATTTCGAAATGCTGGTGGACAAAGTTTCGAAAATAAAAGCCAAAACTGTGCGAAGCTCAATGCTTATTTCGAAATAGTTGTATATAGATTGATAATAATAGAAGATCTTATTGTGGTAGGATAAACCTTGAAGCTTGGGGATGTGCCCCTGTGTTTCTGCATAAAGAAAGATTGAATAGAGTATTAGCGCTAGAAGCAGATGATAGATCACATATGGGAAGAAGGATTTTTTAAGGAAATTAGATGCAGCTTAACCAAAGGGATGGACTCTCATAGAGTCACACTAGATCATAGATTCAAATAACAGGAGCGAGAGCTCCTAGCCAGCATTCAAGACACCTTTCTGCCCGGACAAGCTGCTAGAGGGTAACTCTGGATGTTATGGTATTGGTAGGATAGATGGAGAGCTGATTTTGGAGTACGTTTCGGTGGGCTGCTGTATTTGCCATGTGCTGTATCTGCTGGAATATCTGGGGGCAGGATGGTGAAAGTAAGAGGATCTGCCGTGGTAAACAAAGGGCAGAGATAACTTGCGGTAACATTAGAGAAGCATGATAGTAACGAGGAGTGTGTCGGAAGAGGAAGACCAGAGGCTAGGCTGCCACGGTAAGGGAAGAGGAGAGCCGAGAAGCTGGATTGTGTAGGTAGAAGAGAGAGATGCGACAACAAGGGATCGAAAGGAGACGAAGGTATTCCGAAGGGGGTGGCAGAGGATGGCGAAGACGAGAAGCAGTGCTGCAACAGAGAGAAGACGAGTATGATTTTACGACAATAAGATTAAAGCAATTAGTTCGTTAGGGGTGCTTTTGGGGAAGGGCGAAACCGCGAGGCTGGCCTTTGGTTAAAGATAGATTGAAGAAGCTCTGGTCGCAGCACAACAAGAGAAGAGCAAACGATTCTAGAGCAAAGAGCTCTCGATTAGTGCGACAAAGGCGATAACAGGAGATTAAGTTGTAGTAGACAGAGGATGAGGAAGATTATACGATAACAAATGAGCGTCAAGAGCTCCTCAAGCGCGTGGTAGGTAGGCAATTAAACACCGTAAAGTAAGACGAAGATAATTCTACTGTAACTACAACCATGCGAACATTACTCAAGCTAAAGATGGCATGCAAGACTCTAAAAGGGTACCTATTTGAGCCCCATCTATCTACACCCCTCCGGTTCCCATTCGGTCTTCCTCCACGGCAATATTCGGGTCCACGAGAACACAATTGAGGTTTCTGAATGGAGGAGGTAGCGAATACCCCGCTGTATCATGTGATGTTCGTTTTGCTTCGCCTCGACCAATATTTAATTTCTGCCCCCGCGATCTTGATGTCCAAAAGATTCCTTTCCACAACACAATATTTGCAACCATCACCAGATGGACTGCATCTGCACCACATTCCTCCTTCATTCGTGAGATACTAGGCTCGGCATTCTTTTGAACACTCTGCCTTTAATACACTTCTTCGCCTTGGTTTTGCTTGATTAACACTCGAGCTTCTTTGCAAATCACTCGACCGCCAAGGTTCCTTTTTTATCACACCCATTCTTGACTCGCCAAACTCCGACAGCACGACTCGATAGGACACATTTACCAGGATGCCGACAGTTATAGACCTTGCTTTTCAGGAGATGGAGAAGGAGTGGTGTCGCGAAGGAAACTGTAAAAAGAGTCACTTCCTTTGCGTCGATGCAGTAAGTCACCTACCCATTATCCTGTCTATCACTTCCATTTCATATCTCGTGGCTTCTCGGAACTTGCTCTGCCTTCCTTGTCTTTCTTGAAGCTTCTTCATAGGAGGTCACCGTGTCTCAGTCGCCATAAACGCGATACAGTGGGCTATTTGAGTTGCTTATCGTGACTAAACATCATTCCTACTACTTTCATGGTTGGCGCTAACGTTGATCGATAGCTCACATCACGATACAAGCCACTCCTGGAGTTAGGCAAAGAGTACAACGCCTCTCACCCCATGAACGAAGAAAACTTCAGAAAAACCGCACCAAATATAGCTCAACAACTTGAGGGCTACCGCAAACTTTTAGACCATCACACCATTGAAGATCTTCCTGTTTATCACAGAGCCCAGCTCCATATGAGTTACGCCCGTGCTTTGGTACAAGCTCTCACCGAAAATCACGAGAATACCAAGGAGGAGGCCAAAGAGGACTTATTGGGAGTGATCAATCACCATCTTACTGAGGCGAAAGTTTGGGCCGAGAGACTCGTATCGATCAGAGAACTTGACATCACAAGTGAGGAATGTGTACCCATGAGAGATATCATTCATGGGGTTGCAGATATTAAACGCTGGTTGGACGCCCGCGAGAAATTTGTGACTCGCAATAGAGATAATGTGATGGATATTTGTCATGATTCTGGTCTTCTTGAAGATGGCAGTGCCTCGGATTCACAATATCCTGAAGGTACAGACTTGGCCGCTCAAGGAGATTGGGATGGAAGTGATACAGTAACAGAGCGAGGCTTCAATGACACGGTCGTTGATGAAAAATCACCGATATCCGATGCAAATCATGAAGGAAATGAGGATCCCAATGCGGAAGACCAGCTCGAATCCAATGATCTCCAAGATGTTTGTTACGAAGAGTTTGCTGGAATGGCGGAAGAATTTCACGACAAAGAGGTACCAGTATGTCGTGTCGAGGTTGAAAAGGATGAGCTGTTCACTTGTTCGGAGCTGAAGATTGTTTGGGGGTTTTTCCACTACTTTCAACATGATAAGGTGGGAATCTCGAACCTTATGAACGACTATCTCGACAAAATTGATCGTAATATTGACCCAAACATATCTGAAATGAGAAAGTTAAGAAAGGGTAAGTCAAAAAGTTCCACGATAGGTGATTACAACTGATATTAATGTATCACTTCAGGATTGAAGGCAATGGACATTAAAAAAGTTGACGAGACCAATGAAACCACGCCGGGCTCATCAGAATCATCTTTCTTATCAAATCCATCCACCTCAAAGGCTGATACGAACTCGGCCAACATTGGAGGAAACCTTCATAAAAGAAGAAAGGTTGTCGAAGATGATGACGATGATGACATACTCTGATGGCTGATCTATTTTGTGGGCTTGCGAGGAGCAGTTTTTTATCCAGTTTTTCAATAAGGTTTTGTGTATGTGCTGCAAGATATGGGAGGTGGGAGGGAGATATGCGAAACCTTTTCAATTTGGCATTTTGGCAGTAAGCATAGGAAGGATAATGCAGCAAATAATTCCAGAACCATTAAAATATTATTTCAAAAGTACCTCTTGCTCACTAGTGACCTCTAGTTATGACTATATCATGCTGGCTTGGGATCACTAAGCAATTCCATGAATTGACTCTTTGCATTGAATGAATGATCCCCGTTGACATAACACTACTCTACTCCCACAATGTTTTGTAATCAGCATGGCAGATTACATAAATAAATTCTCAGATTCTACTCAGCATTGTTGAAGCACCCAGTAACTGTGAATACAACTATATTTCCAGAATTCATATTTACAGTTGGGAGAGAGAAAGTGAATCATCAAGAACACACATATATCCATGATATTCATAATACACAAGGCCCACAGCTTTGGGATGATGTCGTTGCCAGGTTTTATAATGTAGAGAACTTCACACAGCATAAATCTGGTGGAAGTCAAGAATAAGAGGAAGAAAAAGAAGGATGTGAACAAAAGTTTGTCGACAAAGGGGTCATATTAATGATCGGGCCGACAGTTCATCCGTGATGCCGATGTTAGCTGGGCCTTTGTTGATATAAAATACAGGTGAAGTCAGGTACTTGAATGTCTAGATGACTAATGATCTCATTGTAATAATTATAGCTATCTACTTCGAGTAGTATCTATTCTGATTATATTTATCTCCTATATTCTTGCCCCTTAGGTACTAGTTTAACAATATAGTACTATATATAGTAAGATCGTAGATATACTTTTTATTCATCAAGTTAGTTGTCTATGTAATAGATAAATTCAATCAAAGATAGTTATATTTATTGATTGAGGAAGAGTAATAAATGACATTGGTTGTCTCTAAATCGCTTAGTCACACTATTTTTTGTTTTGATTTTGGGTTTTGGGCTCACCCACCAACCCCCGTTTGTGATTTTTGCCTGACAACTCAGATTTTCGACCCCTCCATTCTCCCACTTCTACTACCCACCCAAAAGTACCTTCCAACCACAACGCTTTTCAACTAAAGCTGCATCAAAAATACCTGCAGATTTATTTCTACATATTTTTTCTTCAAGATATCCCAATACATCTATTCATCATGGCTCAACCAGCACGCGAGCCAGAGATCAATACCAGCAATGAGCCTAAACTCGTAAAGTCAGAGACCAAGCTCGCCACCGAGCCAGCAGCATTAAAGGAAGAGTCTGCCAAGGAAACTCCAGTTGAGGGATCTGTATGTTATAATTCTCGTTGTTTTCATTTTCGGCATTTCGTTGATGCCGTCACACCTTACTAATTATGATAAGACTTTGACCGAACAGGCTACCCAAGCCGCATCTGCCGCCGCCGCAACTGTCACTTCTGCCGCTTCTGGTATCACCGATAATGTTTTCTCGATGTTCGGCGGTGGAGCTAAGAAGGAGAAGAAGGATGAAGAGGACCGAGGAGATAACTCAGGATCCGCCAAGGCACAAAAAGCTGCAGCTGCTGAGGAGAACCCAGAGGTAATATTGGCAACATATATACAAACAAGCAGGGCTGATAATTGCGTAGGATGAAGCTCCAGAATCCGAGGATGTCCACTTTGAGCCAGTCATCCGTTTGACTGAGAAAGTCGATGTTAAAACCAACGAGGAACTCGAGGAACAAACCTTCAAGATGCGCGCTAAGCTCTTCAAGTTCGTCAAGGATGCTCAAGAGTGGAAGGAGCGTGGTACTGGTGATGTCCGATTCTTGAAGCACAAGGAGAACGGAAAGACTAGATTGGTTATGCGCCGAGACAAGACTTTGAAGGTCTGCGCCAACCACTACGGTATGATTACGATGCTAGAAAGGATTACATGGAACTTATGCTAATGGTTCCAGTTGTTCCTGACATGAAGTTGTCTCCCAACGTTGGTAGTGATCGAAGTTGGGTCTGGAATGCCGCAGCAGATGTTAGTGAGGGTGAGCCAGAAGCACAAACTTTGGCTATCCGTTTTGCCAACTCTGAGAGTAAGCATCTATTCCTGAAATAACATACAATATGAGACCTGACATATATCTAGACGCAAACCTTTTCAAGGAGGCTTTCATCAAGGCACAACAAGAGAATGAGGTGTTCTTCAAGGCCTAAACGACGATTTCATCCTCGTATTCACTTCTACTTTCCATCACGACTCCCAATCGACACAGCATAATACAGCACAGCACGTACTCTGAAGGAATGAAATTTATGATCATATCTGCATTCAAACGCATTTCTTCCATAGCCCATTACCCGCATGTTGTCGAAAACCTCTTTTGTAAGCATCGACGAACCGACACCTAGACATTCTGGCGGTCCAGGTCTTTTTCAAAGATTATATCATGGATATGATGATGATAATGATGGAGGAACGGAAGCGTTGGTCAGTACTCAATTTTGAGACTTTGGCATGAGATTGTAGTTAGACTTAAAATACCAGTCCTTCATTCGTCCCCAAGCCACTGTTTTGTTTTAATGTATTTTGAGATGTGAATATCGTGACTTTGGATGGCATGAACCTCTTGCCATCGTTTTGATGCATATGATCAATTAGTAGATATCAGTGAAGTGGGACATTCAAGAGAATGTTCAAGGTGAATATCGTGCAGTCGTCTGCTAAAAAGTTAATGTTGAGGTTGGCAAAACTGAACTTCTTCCCTCTTGATAAGAAAACAAAATTCTTCCAATTTCAATTGATTTCCCTCTCCAAACACACGTGATTCTGTGTTTCTTTAAGAATAAACTTTAGCTTTGGACTAGGATATTAGTACCCCACTCAAGTCACGATCAGCCAACTGCAGGCCCGTCGCAATAAAGGACGACATCATCTAGAATTCAAAAATCCGTCAATACTTTCAACCATCACAATACCGTCAAGATGGTCGCGGATGTAAGTAAATTGAAAAGATGGAGCCTTCTTTTCCTTAGTAGCTGTTTGAGTTTGCAATATGCTAACTGCGGTGCAGGTAAAGAGGTTCATTAAGCTCATCACTGAGCAGCGCAACATGTAGGTCGCGATCTGGCTTTCCCTCAATTACGACTCATGTACCGGGCTAAAGGATATCTGCTAAGAATTATCACACAGCGACAAACCTGCTGCCCAAGAAGGGTTTCCGATGAAATCATGGAACATCGAGATCTATGTGTTGGATGAAGCTGGCAACGAGAGGCCTGCAAACTGCTTCACCAAGGCAATTTACAATTTACATCCTACTTTCCCTAACCCAACTCAAAGTACGTTCATATCTATATATCTAAACCACACGCGAAGCTCTCGAAGCTCGCGATCTAACATTTGCCTTCCAAACAGCCTTCACTGATCCTCCCTTCCGCTGCGAGAACGAGGGATGGGGCGAGTTCGACCTGTCGATTGATTTATTCACTACGGAAAAAGGTGGCAAGCACAGCATTGCACACGATCTAAACTTTGCCAAGTCGCGCTATGAAGCCAAACATCCTATTACATTCAAGAACCCTAGCCGAGAGTTGATCAATGCATTGAGAGAGACGGGACCGGTGCCAGGAGACGAGAATGGAGGCATTAGTAGAAAGAAGGATGCTGATGGCAAAAAGAGGAAGAGGACGGGACAGATTGATATGGAGAAGTTGGCGGAGGGCTTGGTGAAGTTGCAGGAGGATGATCTTTTACATGTGGTGCAGATGATACATGATAATAAGAGTGATGATACGTATACGAAGAATGATATTGATCGTAAGTTAGAGTCTGGAGGTTAAAGATGGAAGAAAACAAAGAAAAATGCTAATTTTTGGGACACAGAAGGAGAGTTCCATGTCGATTTGTATACGCTACCTGACACGTTGGTCAAGATGCTTTGGGACTTCGTTAATGCTCCGACAAAAGCTTATTAGGAGAGATGCGAAAGCCAATTGATATGGAGGAAGCCGGCGATAATACACAGACTCGAGAGAAGGCGAATATTAGTGTTGGTATTGGATCACGGATGGTTAATGCATGCATGCAACTATGGCAGCTATGAAAAGCGCATTTCACGCAGTTTTACGCAAGCACAGGAAGGTTTTCTCTTTTGATGCTCATCATTTATAAGTCCAACCAACTTCCATGGCGTTCGAATTTTTTTTTATTTTTTTTATTTTTTTTTTCAGCATAGGGCAAAGGATGGCATTCCTATTGCTATGTTCTTTCGTTTTCTTGTCTTCATTGAAAGGGAGGTGGTGGGGCGTGAGCGGGGTGGGCGTACCCTATTTCTCAACTCTATCTTGCAGATGTATTTGCATGGCTTGCTTTGAGTTGAACTTTAACTAGGGAGAATAGTGGCTGGGACGAACGACGGGCCAGATCAGATCATGGTGGCGCTTGAGTTACATGCCGGATAAAATCGAATGGATGGATGAATGGGGGAGGAAATTGAAACGGAATGAAAAAAAGAAACTCTGTTATAAGACTGATCTGTGCTATTATGAATTTGTGGTCTTCAATTGTAATATTATCATTTTAACTCATAGATACTACAGAGTTGGCTGACTGACAGCAGCCGGGTATCATTCCATATCCCCAAACGCCATTATCCAAATGCACCTCTAATGCTGTGCTCTATCAAATATATTCGCACTCTCCCCTGATAATACCCGAGTCCAAATTTTACCTTACTCGTCATCCCCAAAACTCAACTTGATCTTCTTCCCCTTCTTCGCAGCGGTTTTAGAGTTTTTCTTTCCCGTAGCCCCGGCTTTACTACTCTCTTCCTTCTTCTGTTTCCCAATATCTTTTCGATTTGGGGTTTTATTATTGCTTGTGCTTGTGCTTGTGCTTGTGCTTATCTCTTCATTCCCATACGCATCCTCATCCTCGAGCCCCCCAATGATCTTCCCCATTTTCCTCTTCTTACTCGCTCCTATTCCCGCCATTTTTGCCGTTTCAATCTCCGTCTTTCCGTTTCCCTTTCCTTCCCCCTCACCTCCCTCTTTCCCTTCTCCTTCTCCATCTCCCCCCTCTCCCCCATCCCGCTCTTCCCGCGTCTTCTCCCGTCGTTCCCATTCCTCTCGACTCAACGTCTCTCCGCTCACCTCGTCAAAAACCACAGGTTCACTCTCTCGCTCTTCTTCTTCGTCGCGTAGCTTTGAAGGGCGCGCGATGCTGAATTCGTGGCGTCCGTCTGAGGAGGAGTGGTTGGCTTGGAGGCGTTGGAGGAAGGGGGGGAGTGTATTGTCGTAGGAGAGGTTTTTGGGGGTTATTTTTGGGTTGGACATTTTTTGTTTTTGATTTTGATTTATTGGGAAAAGTTGGAGGAGGGGATGGGGTAGGAATGTTGATTGGGTGGGGGTTGATGTTGTTGTGCGACCGACCAAAAGACCTCGGAGGAGAAGCTTTGAAAAATATACGGCGGGGTAGGGATAGCAGAGATGCTGTTTTCTACGGATGTCGAAATTAGCAAGACGAGGCAAACCAAAAAGTACAGTACAACGAGTCCTTGCATCCATCTCGCATCAGTCGCACCCGCAATGACTTCGGTATATGTTTGATGCACCATGTGTTCTTGAACACATCATGAATCTTGGAAGATAAATTTGGCACCCAAGATAATAATCGCTCAGTCATTGATTTCAGCCTGAAATGACTTGAAATTATCACTCTTTTATTTTACTGTATGCCGCGTTTATCTTCACATTTCTTCGCATATCTATCTACCTATGCCTTGGGAATGACATTTCATATGGTTTTGTTTTGCTGAAGATATAATAAGACTCTCGACCTTCAGGTTGTCATGGCAATTTCAGAAGCTCTCGAGTACCGAGAGAGTACCTTGTCATTCAATAATTAATGGTGAGATGGTCTATCCAGTACCTAGGCATCTTGATTAATATACTCGTAGAGTGACAGAACTCATTATTAGTATGTGCGGGAGGAAAATTCGATAAAGTGAGATATTATGTATTTGAGAGCTAGGAATATCCTGCAACCGGCAAGGCAGGACGTACAATGTTGAATTCCGACTCCTCATACTACCCGTTCGAATGTTTTCTGTATTGGTTTTGCAGCCTGTCGTCAATCAGCATGAGCTCCCTCCTTATCCCTTACTAGAGATGGCTTGAACAAGCTGTAGACTCACATCAATAAACTTCTCCAAATCTTTGTCAAGGTTGGCTAGATCATCCTTCCTTTTCTTATTGTCGGCAATCAACCCTTGTTTCTTCTTCAAAAGTCCTTGTCTCTGCTCCTCCAACTTCAATCTTTCTTGATGTTCATGATCTATTCTTGCAATCATAAGCGCATTCTCATCAGCGTCAGCATGTTCGGGATGTTGCGCCAGAAACTCGTTGATGGGTATTAGGGGAAGTTGCTGGTATTTGTGACTGTAGAAAGGTGGAATTAGTGATGTGCCAGAGTTTAAAACAAGCCAATTGTTCAGGAAACCAACTCGTATGATTCACAAGCAGCAATTTCTCCTTGTAAGTGCCGTTGCTCATAGTATAGGTTTTGTAATTGTAGGTGCAGCCTGTCTACTTCTTGACGCGCCTCCGCGGTTAGAGCCTTTGTTTCTCGTGCGCCAGCATGGGAATCACGATGTAAACCCCTCAGCTGTGCGAGGTATGTGAGGAGTAGTTTTTGTTGTTTAGAAATTTGCAGTAGAACTTCATTCGACGGAGGAGAGGTAGTAGGTGCTGTCGATACGAAGTTGAGGAGAGCAATTGCTTGTTCACGCGTTTGATTTGATGTCTCAAGGGCAAGGTTGAGAGATGGATCTGTGATTATCTCGTCGATAGCCATTGCGGTAAAATTCGTCAATTAAGGATTAGATCTGGCATGGAAGAACGAAATTGTAACTTGGATAATTCTTTGTACAAAAGACTTATCAATAGAAGTTGAAGTTGGAGAGAAATTAAAAGTTACCGCTGCTTCGTTCAGTAAGGCTGAGCTATCTTATCTTAGCCTCATCGCGCATCTTACATAACCCCCCGTTGACGTAGGTAAGCGAAAAAGGACTTTGAAGCTTCATGAGACTTTAATGTTTCAATTTCAGTTTGATCATCAATTGATTAGGTAAATGATTTATTTCGAACTCGAGTAACATCACTTGCCTACCTAGTATCCATCTATGCTTCTTGGCAGCAGGCCGCCATTTCGTACATCGCTTCGTGATGCTAAACAATAAGTAGAATCACACACGCTGAGAACCAATTCTATTCCTCCTTCAAACCGAGCAAATTGCAAGATGAAGCTAGCTGGCGAACATTTCTTTGAATTTCCCCCATCGTTGTCGGAGCTTCGACTGTCTTCCAACAACTTGAGACGAGGGATGAGGAGAAATCTTGTTTTGTGGAGACTGCTCTTCGTTGGGGATGCCTGATCTCTCTTTCGCTATCCAAGTCATATACATGTTGACGTCCTTGCTTATCACACTTGGTACAGCGAGCTTCTGTATCCATTGGGGGATTGAACCTTTAGCATCTGACTATGCACCAGTTAGCAAATCGATACAGTACAACATACTACTCGAGTATTTGCAGGAGACTCATACAACGGTAGCCATTATCCATTCTATCTCCCCAGAGGGTAAAACACGAAGTCGCTCGATCGATGCGTAGGCCGCTCCAACTGATTTTTCGTCTGCTTTGTATTCGGCACTGGTGAAACCGTTCAAAGGTATTGAAATAACTATAAATTCACGCTCATCGTTAAGGGATGCAGCAATCAGTATCACAGGAAATTTTCGATCCTTCATCAACGGCTTCGGTTTGATGCGATGCTTCATTTCCACGATGTCCATTGAGATGTTGTTCCATAGGTCACCACCAATCTCAACATTAAGGTCCGTTGTTTCCCAGTACTTGATTCTCCTAGCACTCACCACAGATTTACACCACAACTCCTCTGTCCGAAAGTGTTCTTCTTTGAAGTGGCGAGTAAATTCCCCCCAAGTAGCTGTACCTGGAAATGAAAGATCCCTATGACGACTTCTCCTAGCATACCAAGTCTCACTTTTCTCCTTTGCTTCAGTGCCTCCTAATCTATCCACTCTATCAAGTTCTTGCTTGGAAACGACACGTTTGTACAAGCCAATATTACCCTCACTTGATGCACATCTCTTGGACCCGCTATCTTTCCAGGTTGATGTAGAGGCAAGTTTCGGCTGCACGCCATCGACGAATGGAATTGATTCCCTGAGTACTTCTGTGATGAATTCCCTCAGTGCCTCACGATATTGTGATCCATCATCCGACCTCCCGGGCTGACCTTCATGGTTTGGCCCAACATCTAAGCTTCCCAGCGGCAAAGAGCCAAGATGGAGTCCTCTCAATCGAACCTTAGGTCCAAGGGGTTTGGGGTTGGGAGCACGGTCGGGAATAGCAGACGATGCCATTGTGATCAGGTATGCAATCAATAAAGTAGAACTGTGGTGTCGATTAAGTCCGCACTCCCTTAAGAATGGTATGACTTAAGTATAATGTCAAGCAAGTATGGTGTCAAATAAGTATGTTATGTATGGTATCAAGCAAGTATGTTGTCAATTGGAACAGGAGAAATCTACAATCTAATGCTTTTAAATCAACAAAACATTTCATTTCATCCTTAAATGAGGAAAGTGCCATCTTACCGTCGTGCCCCGTCTCAATTTGGGAGACTGAAACTGTTGATGGTCCAAGCTCCCATCTACCACCAATACATGCCAAGTCCCACTATGTTAGCTACTACCGTATTGATCAGTGCTTCCTTCCTCTCCTTCCCACCCCCCACCAACACCCCTCCGACTTCTCTAGACCATAGTCGAAACACCAAGCACCAAAAAAACACCATACAAACAAACATTCCAACTTCACTCGAAATGGATACTTCACTTAAAGGACCAGGAGAAGCTCAAAAGCACGATGGCAGTGCTCTTCGCATTGGAATTGTACATGCTAGATGGAATACCTGTGAGTTATTTCCTCTTGAAATACAAGCAAACTACATTTACCTCACTTCAGCGGCACACCACACCACCATTAACTAACAACCATACCTCTCTTAGCCATAATCGAGCCACTTCTCGCTGGTGCAAAGAAGACATTACTAGCAAGCGGTGTTAAGGAATCAAATATCGTTGTGCAAACTGTACCGGGTAGTTGGGAATTACCAATTGCTTGTTCAAAGTGCGTGTTTATCTACTCTATCTTCCATTACATTCCACCCATCCCTTCACTCCCAATTGTAGTCCAAATTCCAAATACCCAAACCACAAACCACAAATCCCAACCATATCAAACTAACCACCCCCCTCCAGACTCTTCTCGGCCTCCCAAATCCAATCCACGCAAACCTCCTCCCTCTCCGCCGGCGACCTCCTCGGCGCCTCCACCACCGACCTCACCTCCCTCCCCACCTCCCAATCTCAAACCGCATCTACCGCCCCCTTCGACGCCATCATTGCCATCGGGTGCCTCATCAAAGGCGAAACCATGCACTTTGAATACATCGCCGATAGCGTTTCACATGCCCTCATGCGCGTCCAATTAGACACGGGCGTTCCGCTCATTTTCGGTTTATTAACCGTACTGAACGAGGATCAGGCGCTGATGAGGGCCGGCGTGGGTACGACGGAGAAAGGGAAGGGTCATAATCATGGGGAGGATTGGGGCGCTGCGGCTGTGGAGTTGGGGGTTAAGAGGAGGGAGTGGGCTGCGGGGAAGATTGCGTGAGAGAGATAAGTGACATAAATCGTATACTTTGAGTGATGAAGGAGGTAGATGATTTCTGAATGATTGAATGATTGAGGCGTTTGCTTTTTACTTAAAATGAAAGTCGGACTGGTTCTGGAATAAGTTCATTGAAGTCCGCATAAGTTTGTAATCAACGAAGAATACCAAAAAATCGTTTATTAAGTAGGTGGTATGAGACTCGGATCATTAAACAGAAAGAAAGATCGAAAAGAAACAAAAACCGCCCAAATCAGAAATTAGATTAACTACTATACAAGCAGTCATACCCGAGGTATGATTTCCATTTCAATGCCCCAAGTCTTACAACGCCAAAGTTTTCATGCTATATATCACAAAGCTGTCCCCTTCAAATGCATATGCGTACGCATCTAAAAGTAAGTTATCCGCCCCAAGGAATTATTATTGCGTGTATCCAAGCATTTCCGAGAGACCGCTGGTATCCTTCTTTGATTTCCAAATAGATCTCTTCTGCTCTCTTTTCTTTTTCATTTCCGCCCACCCTTCCTCATCATCTTCATCATCATTATTCACTCTCTGGACAGTCTTCATCGTTGTTGAGGCATGCTTGCTTTCCCAACCCCCAAGTGCACCAGACATGGTCGAGGTTCTTGACTTGGCATCGGTTATTGGAATCTGCGAGACTGGTCTATATCGGCCAGGTAAGCCAACGTTGCTTCGTTCAGAGGGCGCTATCGATGGAGTATAACCATTGCCTTGAGCATGTATCGACGTAGCATATCCTGGCCCTGATTGCTGCATCCAAGGCATACCACTAGGCTCAAGCATACTCATAGTACGTTGTGCACTTTCTGGCCCCAGATTTGGGCCCGAGTTGCTAGTGGGTAATTGCTGACTTGAAGGTCGTTGCATTTCCCCAAAGTTTGGCTGAGACATATGGCCCATTGGTCCCAATTGACCCAATGGCCCCAGCTGTGGAGCGCCACTGACGGGTGGAGTGCCTTGTCCACCTTGATTTGTTGCCATCATTTGCATGAATTGCATTTGCATCTGCATGAATGATTGCATCTGTTCCGTCATACGGATCGAAGCTTGGTCACCAGGGGTGAGCATTGGTTGGGGCATTGCACCCATAGACCCCATTTGGCCCATTCCCAGAGCACCCCCACCCATTGGAATCTGTCCCATAATTGTTGGAGGGACCATGCCAGTGAAGCCGCCAGGAGGCATCTGACCATATCCTGGGTTTGGACTACCTCTTCGCATGGCTCGAGACCTTTCTTCTGTGGCAATAACACCTACGAGACCTCCTGGAGTAGCACCTCTAGTCGAAGTGCCATTGACAGACCCTGAGCCACCATTTCCAAAAGCCAATGACTCTCTATTAGCTGGATAAACGAGGCCCGCTCCAACATAGGGGTCTTGTGGTAAATTGCGAGCAAACACAGGTAAGGGTCCACCAATGCCCGGGACAGCTTGAGCTGCACCGCGAAGATTCGGGTTTGATCCCATGCTAGTCAATCTGCTTGTAGGTAGTTTATTCTTGTTGGGGAATCCATGAGCGGCAAGAATGGCCAACGGAACTTCTTCATCCTCCTCTTCACCGTCCTCCGTCGCACCATCAAGCACCAAGTTGGGTGTACTTTGACTGCTATACATTGAAGGTCGGGATGCTCCTGGCGAAGGGGTCGAATCTCCAGTAACTTTCATCATCTGCTGCCTGTATACTGACATGTGAGCCTCCTGCTTCCGTCGTTGCTTTGCAGCATTTTTAGTCTTCTCTGCTTCGTCCTCGTCGTCCTCATAAGTTTCTTCATCTTCCTCCTCGGCTTCTTCATCTTTCGGACGCCCTCCAACACTTCTTAAGCGCTCTTGATCTTGTCTGTATCGTTCAAATTGAGCTGGTGTCATGACCTTATTCACTGGAGCTTGTATTATAGGAGGTGGAGATGCCGGCCTTTCCTCGAATTGTTGAGCTAAGCCCGCAGATTCGAAAAGATCCTCATCTTCCTCTGGCTCGAGAAGCTGTGTCTTGGCAGTCGCTTTGGCGTTGTATGCAGCTTGTGAAGGAAGCGCCCAGCTTTTACGGGCTTGAGGGTTACTTGGTGTCTCGCCCAGATGTCGGCTCGCATTGACAGATTCGCGTAGGAGCGCAGCGTCCTCGTCGACACCGTCGAGTTCCAATGTGGATTGGCGGCGCACGGAAAGTGCACTACTTCTCTTTAGTGCGGAGTCAGGGCGGGGTGCACTTGACCGTGGTCTTGGGGTGGCTTGATTACCATCAGTCTGATGTAGCGGCCCATGCCTTGGTACAGGAGGAGGCTGATGAGACGGCTGTGCCATGTGACGAGTTATCACTGGAGGCGGACTAGTATTTTTCAGAAGTCCATCATTTGAGCCCCATGAATATGGTGGCTCTTCGACCAGTTTGCGTTTGTCAAGAAAAAGAGGTGAAGGCTGATTAGCACGATTAGTAGAGTATGACTTCAGTGCTGGCTCGGGTGGCAGTATTTCCTACTTGAGGTTAGCAGGATTATCGTGACTAAGACTAGGGACTTGACGTACAGGACTCTTGGATATTCCTCTGATGCCAGGTGAATCCAAAACGGCACTTCTACGGTGCGCCATTCCGGCAAACATGTCCCCAAAGTCGTCTCCCATTGTCAGATCCAAATCTCTTTCCCCAAGTTTTGGTGGTGTAGCAGTGCTTGCGTAGCTGGATGCAGTCACAGCGCGCGTTCGACTCGAAGCACTATCGTCGCGGATGGTTGGAGAAGGTGGTGGCAGATCGTCTGATGGTTTGGATGGAGAAGGTGTGGTTTTATTTCTGCCCCATGAGAGAGACCTTCCAGCATTCTTCAGAGAAAACCCTGACGAAGTTTTTGGTAGCGGTGGAAGGGGAAGATCGCCGTGATGTCTATCATGAGGTGTTCTCCATTCTTCGTGGCCAGGTGTCTCCATCGATGAAGGGGCTGTAGATGCTGCACTTAAGCGTGAAGAATTATCTGCAGTTGATGCGGTGTTCGTATTCGAAGCTCCACTGCCACTTGAAGTTTATCAGCTTGTGTCAAGGGTACACCCTAGTCCCTGAACCTTCCAGGTAGATTTTCAGTACTAACCGATTGACAGTATTGACTTTCATGCCCTCAAAGAGATTATCCTCCTTATGCGAATCAGCTGTACCTGTTGTTCTAGCAAATTTCACTCCACCATCAAAAGACGGACCAGATTTATGTCTCGGAGGTTGAGGACGCTCAAAAACTTTGAAGGAAGATTCGATAGGAGGTTCGGGATTTTCTAAAGCATTGGCTGTTGACTTGCGTCGCCCAAAAGTTTTCGGAAATATAGGCATGTAGTTTGTATTTGTTGACTGGAAGACGAGATCGCCGGTCTCGACCTTCTCAGTAGTAATGATCGTAAAAAAGGGTGCTCAAACGAGGGATGTTAAGCTTGATGTTGTTGATGTGTTTGATTTGCAAAAGATTTAGTGCTCGAAGATGTAATTAAAGGAAAATTGTTGAAGAAAAGTATCCTGAACGACGAGATGAATACGATAGCTTTCGTTGATGTGCGTTCGAGGAAAAATGAGAGAACGGTCTATTGCAAGGCCCACAGGTGAGGTTAGCAAGATCCTCTCAAAACAGTGAAAAATGCAAGTATCCAGTATTTTAATAGATCGATAGGTCATGAAAAATTCATGCTGTCGCAATCAATAAGTGGTGTAGCTTTGGGCAAAAGTAGATGTGGTGTATTCGCCGAGCAAATCCTCGGAAGGCAAGGATATTTGAATGTTGGTGGCAGAAAGGTGTTGAACATTATTTCTCAAAACCAGCGCCAAAGATTAGGTATCAAGAAAAGTGCAGTGACTGAGCCTCGATTCAGACACACATATTCTATGGCTGTGAAAGGTTTTGGAGTTGATGTGTTGATATGTTGTTTGGGAAAGGTAGTTGAGTTGAATTTTGGTTTTGTCGATGGGCGCAATTTAAATATAGAATCTTCAAAGGCAGAGGGGAGTAAATGGAACCATTTTCTGTATGTTCACTTACCACAATGAATGAAAGACCCAAGATACAAACAATGGACAATAGTGAAAATGAAACTGAAAGTCCAATAACGATTGAGGTAAGCGATGGACTCGATGGACCAAACTGGCAAATGCAAAAGGCAAATGGCAAATGTGATGATTGAAGAATTCGATATGAGATTCAAGGAAGAGAGAAAGAGGAGAGAAGAACAAAACAAGATTTTGCTAACAGAGAGAGAGAGAGAGATGGTTACGGGGTAGTAGAGTTGAATGCTGAGATGAGAAATTCAAGGGTTGGTGAATTAATTGGGTGAATGTATTGATGATTGGGTGGTTGATGGGTGTAACTAAGAGTTGCTAGGCAGGTTTATTAGGGAGTTAGGGACCCAAGGATGGTTGTCTTTGTACCTGTACTAAGTACTTATTAGGTCCTCGGGCTGTTATTTATATCATATAGTTCGGGATATACGGATTATCAGTACCTATTTAACTTAAGTTAAGGTCTACCAGTTATAGTTTTATTTATTTTAATTCCTTCTTCCCTTCTTCCCTTCTTCCTTTTTATTATACTCGAGTAATATAACATCACATCTTCTTCTCTATCTCTCTACACATATGACTTCCCGGTTATTCTCATACAGATATTAAGTTATACCAGTAGGTATATCTTCACTTACCGGTATATGCACATAGATACTCTCTCTGTATTACCGTACTATATATCATCATTCTTCTATTGATTGTTTGTTGCTGTGACACTTATTAGACCCTCGAGCATGTGTAGAAGCATGCAAGACTCGATAGGCTGATTCCTTTTCTATCCTCTTGCATAACACCTTTCCCAAGATCTCTTACCCCTGGTTCCTCTCGGGTGTTGCACGAAGAGAATCCTTTTATCAATAACTGGAGTACCTTGAATCTTGTGCGTCAATGCAGTGCTATGAGGAAAACATTTATTACTACTTTCTTCTATATATGCATTTCGAAGCATATGAAGAAATATCATCTTCGTTATGCACTCACCTACCTCAATTACCTCCACTTACCTCACTTACCTCACTTACCTCACTTACTTACCTACTCATCTCACTTACTCGCCCACTCATTCGCCAGAACTATTTACAACCCGAACATACATAATGGGATATACGAGTTTATCATCATCTCAAACTTCGAACTTATAAATAACATTCCTAATCCACAAGACTCCAGGGGTGAATTAATACTGGTTCGTTCCACCACCTTCGCATTCATGACTCTCAAATCGGAACTCACAACATCAATTCTTCACGACACGAAATCCTCTCAAGACCCTCTCGACATGACGTCTTTTCCGCATCCCGCTGTTTTGACCATGCGATGCCTGCAGGTGCAAATAGTAATACGAGTTTGTGGTTTGATTACACTTTTCAACCCCAATCCATCCACCAATACACGTGGGTTATTCAGACACTGCCTCAAACATAATGCCCTGAGAACCTTGGACAGTGACAAATTTCAAGTGAAGGGAAACACATGTCTACCGGTATTCTACGGATTCCTACAATTAGACCGGTAAACTATCACACTAGAATTTCTGGAAAAGCTTAAAAAGCTAATCTAATCTCCTATACGATTTCCGAAAATAGGATTATCTAAAAAAGATCCTCTCCCGTTCGCTACCTAGACAACCAGCACAATCCCAGCGTCTAAACAAACTTCACAAATTGATAATTTATAGTTCGAGAAAGGAGCCTCCAATCTTTCCAACAGCATCGTTGCAACATCGATATTAATCGTCTATAATTGATTGCTGTGGATGAAGTCTACGAAAAAAATCGAAACTACGGATCAACTCCAACTAACAACCTTATAACTTTTTTATCTCATTATTCATATGATCGGTCTCCACCAAACTCCAAGATCCCTCCCGTAGACCCTCCACCTGGCCCATCACCCGCCTACCCATCCCCTTATGGCCCGAAATCCATTTAGGTAGATACCTACCTAGGTTAACACTTGCTCCATCGATATATCAAGTCAAACGGTAACCCGCGCATCCTCGAAATCGAATTAATCCCAAACATTCTCGAGATTGCAGGCTACGCGTGTACGGAGTATGCGATGCAAAAAAATACATTCCCCGATTCCCGAAGATTTCTTTCTTCCGGTTTTGATGGAAGGAAGGGTTCCGTCTTTTTATTACTCTGTAGGTCTGTTGACCATCGTGTTTGGCTGGCTGGCTGGTATACAATATTGTCAACCTACAGTACTCGAGTGCTCGAGTACAATACTCGAGAAGCTATCTATCCATCCATCCAATCAGCCAGCCAACAACCAACCTCTAAATTTCATATCCAACCCACCACCCGACACCACCGTCAGCAACATACTCGAGTATATCATACCATCTAACGGTTCTAGTACGAGTACTCGAGTATTGTACAAAACATACAATTAACATTAACACATTAACCCGCCGCTAATTTCAACCTATGATACCCCTATTGTAAGATTGCAAGATATAACGAATATTTCTAATCTACTCGAGTTACTGTTACATATACTGAGACAAGAAGTTCATATTTACTATACTATATATATATCAATACTAATACCAAAGCCTATCTCATTATATAATAAATCAGAGCATCACTTCACTAGTATTACCTACTCGAGTACTACCTACCTACTCACATACCATATACCATATACTATTACTACCTATCCTCTAGATAGATATTCAATTCTTTTCAATTCTATTCTATCCTATCCTATCCTATCGATTCTATCGATTCTATCGATTCTTTCTATTCTAATTACAACAACAGCTATCTATAGCATAATTTCTTTCTTTCTTTCTTTCTTTTCTCCTTTCATTTTTTCTCACATCTGTACTCGAGTATACCTACCTACCTATTTAATCACTAATCACTACTCGAGTAGATTCAATCCTTCACACTTTTCAAGCTCGTTCGTTTGCTATTGCTAGCGAATTATCTTTCTCATAAATACTCGAGTAAATAACATCAAACTTGGAATTTTGAAATCCGAGCCTTGTGATTTGATTTGGTTTGATATCGCAATGTTATAGGTCCGTTGTATATAATGACTGATGTATTCAATAAGACTTCAATCAGTGCTTCCATTTGATAATAATAAAATTATCATTTGGATTTTCCTATTTATTACATAAAGTACACGTACAGTATCTACAAAATTTGAATAGGGTCTAACTACCTATTTCGTTTGGAAAAGGGGGAGAAGGTTCTTGGTGATTGGAATTTATACCCCATCTTAGCAATGATGAAAAAAAAAGGTTTCCTGACCACTAGATTTTATCTCACTCTACTCACCCTGTTGCTGCATATGCGTTGGTAAATTCCAGCCCGCATAATCTTGATGAACAAATGCTCGATCCACTGTTGGCACCGACTCCAGAACATACTGCAACGATTCGCCCAAATCGTGGCTATCGCGAAGACTCATATTTTCATCTAGCACAATATCGACTTCGACATTGAGTTTGTCACCGGCATGGTAGGCCTGCAGGCCTTGAATTTGCTTGATGGTACCCGCGAAACGCATGGTGAGGTAGAGGAGAACGTTGCGTTCATCAGCAGTTGCGGCAGCGCCGGTTAGATTGCGAATGTGGCCGGCGGATGTGCCTGCCCAGTTTATGATGACGAAGAGGGAGAGGAGGAGACCTCCGAGAGCGTCAAGCCACCATAGCTGAGCGTAGAAGCCAACTGTTATATGATGGTTAGATGAGAACAATGAGTGAGCACTTTGATGGGCTTACCGAGGGGGAAAATGATACTAAAGATGTTAAAGACAACGTCGGTCATGGCATCTTGGGCAAGAGCTTGGACACTAGAGTTCTTGATTAGACGGCACCATAGCCAACAGAGTGCCTTGATGAAAACTGTTGTAGACATAATGACGATGGCTGGTAGCGTGAGCTCGATGATTTCATGATTATATGAGGAGAGGCGATTGAAACATTCTAGAGCCACTTGGAAGAAGGACGTGACCATAATAACACTGAAGCTGTATTTCATTAGGTTAGCCTTTGGTAAGAGAGGATAAATCAACATATAAATTGTAGCAAACGAAATCCAATAATAAAACCAGGACTGTCTTACACAAGGACGCCAATCGGCTCGAGGCGCCGACGGCCAACGGGGTATGAATACTGATCTTGACGTTCGATCATTTTAGTCGTTGTAAATACGATAGCTGTACTGAGAAAATCCAATGCCGCGTCAACAAGACTAGCGAGGACCGAAAGAGAGCTTGTTAGCACGGTGACAGCGATTTTGCCGGCCAGAAGAATCGCATTGGCAACTAGATTGATGTATATCGCAATTTGCACAATCCTATCACCACTCTCTACACTATCGTCCTCCATGCCGGGGATTTCGGGTTTTGGGCCATCGTATTCGCTATCCTCCTCGGAGAGGAGAAGTGGCGTCTCTTCAGTGACCTTGTAAATCTCTCGGGGTGTCCGTTTTAATCTCTTCGGCACAGATTCAGCGCTGTTTCCATTGCTAGTTGGAGTATCTGCTTCTGGGGGTGTACGCGGTTCTTCTTCTGATATCGTAGCGGGCACTGCAAATCGTCCGCTGGCTGCATTATGTTCGTATTCATTCAGGAGGTCATGAGGAATTGAAGAATCGAGTAGACGATCGATATAAACATATTGTTGAATGAGGGTATTTGTTCGTTCGTAGTACCGGCGTCTATGAGACTTGTCAGTTTTGGTCATAAGGCTGAATGTTTGTGCTTGTGTGACACTTTGAGTGACCTACATCGGCTTCTTCATCTGCCTCAATTCTTCCTCTGGCTTCCAATATCTCTCCCATTTATATCGAGGATTGCTGTTGCCAATGAGGCGTTGACTGCGCATCTGGGGACCATTGAGAACGGCACTCAGACGTCTCTCACTAAAATCATCGCGGTCATCAAAGACACTGCGAGGGCGCTCCTCATCATCGAGCGAGTCTCTACCTAAAATCGATCCAGATGGGCGTCGCATGGTCACCAACGACGCGTTCGATTGATTCTTGATAAGTCGAGTCAAGACGCCTTGCCCATGTGTTGCCATTGGACTTGTACTCTCTGAACTGAGGGGTAGCCATCCCGAAAGTGTTTGGTACCGGCCAACTTTGCCAAGTTGTTTTGGCGGACTCGAAGATGATGGATTACCGTCGTCCGTCATTTTGCTGGTGGTGAATTCAAAAGGGCCATGTATGTACGGTACTTATATTCATACTGAGAATTTGAGCTTGGTGGTAAGCTGCGGTTGATCAAACATGCTCACATCAATGAATCGCGAAGATCTGCAATAGAAAATCGCAAAGAAACTGTCCAAGCGACGAGAACTCAAACTTGCTGCTCCAGAAACACCCTTACCGAAAGCCTCAGTCAACTCAACCCATACAGCATCATTGTTAAATTTATAGTATTTCGTTACTCTTTGGAGTGTCTCCTCAATTACAATGTTGGCGGATTTCATGTTAATGGTATTCGGAAAATACAGCAACAGCATCTATACACTTTTCCGTTCGAAGAATCTTAATGACATCGATTATCTACTCGAGCACTGTGGTGGTGCTTATTGTATTGCATGTGATGATACTATCAAAAGTTTCAAGGTGATTCAGAAACAGAAGAGATGTTACCTAATATGTTTCTACTTTTCAAGTATTATTCATATAGCTAGCTCATCAAGAGTCAATCCATAATTAATTCCATTAAAGAGATAAAGAGATGGATGGTTCACGAGAAGCTGCAATTTTGTAGAGCATATTCTCAGCTACTTTCTCGACATTTCCCATCTAGCAATATGGATATAGTCTTACAGTGGCCGATACTGATATCAAACTTGGATTTCATTTCTAGCAAACAGTACCGGTACTTGATGACATTTTCATACAAAAATGAAGGATTCAGATACTGTAGCTGTTACAGTTATGTTGAAGTAATAGGAGGGGGAGGAGAGGGGATAAGATATCAATGTATCTATAAGAGAACTTCCAGGCAGTTAATAAAATTGAAACAATTCTGTATCAAATATTGCTTGTATCGTAATGATGAAAAAAGCTAAATATTCCAATTCACACAATTCTGTACCTTGCATTCATCCACATCTCAGTTCCAAAAAAAGCGTACCGGTAGGTATTTCTATACCGAGTACTACCAGTGAAGCTTGGCCGATGATTTTCCTAAGACCTTAAATCAAAGAAGAGAAGCTTCGAGGAAACTTAGATGTCAGATTTCGGATCTTAAATATTAAATAAAAATCGCAATACAGTAATAACAATAGCAATTACAATCTTACACACAATCTTATCATCAACTTGATGGACTATATAAATCTAGAATAAAGGTAAAGGTGTGGCATAGAAAGTAACTCAATAATCTAGTAGGGACAGGCACAGGCACGGTAAGGCTCTTAAGCGATTGTACGGAGTACGAGTAACAAGCAGATAGAACAAATCACTCCCCAAAATGATAAGCCATTCACATTCACTGTTGTCGGATGTTTTAACCAAAACAAAATCAACATCTGCGAACCTCATATTGGGGAAAAAAGGTCATTCCAACATAATCCAGAAGCGCGACCCTTTTCTCATTCTATTGCTCTCGTGTAAGTCGATTCTCTTCCAAACTTGTTGTTGTTGTTGTTAGTTGGTAAAGCGTTTTGGGTCTGTCTTTGGGTCATAATTATCATGATGTCGAAATAGACTCGAGCCAACGGGCATTTGGTTTGGCTTCCAACGATGCGCGCTCAAGGATATGCACATTCACTCATACTCGATGAAGCCATTAGTTTCATAGATACCTATTCTTTCTATGAGAAAGTTTCACTAACGCATATGCGGTCCCAGATGAAAGAGCGATTCGCAAACCGCAAAATCAATAAACCCCCACTACGTCGCGAACGAACGAACGAACGACCGAACGACTTCAGGTGTGAGAAGCAACATTTTGTTGGCGCTTATTCTTGAATTGCAGTATTCAATTCAAAGGGAAATTCTACATCAAGGCCTGCAATCTCGAGGGTAGCTCCTTTAGTGCATATCAATAGTCTGCGGCACAGTTAGGAAGCGCAAATCCCATTATCGAGATTACCTCATTTCGTCTTTGATTTCAGCGACGTTTCCCCTCCAAAGCTCTAAAAACAACACCAACAAGCTCGAACAAAGAACTACATATTCAAATAGCTCTCTACCTCCCTGGAATCTACCAAGTTTCGTAATTATCATTCGCAGTCCTACCAATTCAACCAATCATTGCTTGCGATTTGGTTGGATATTTACTGCTAAGCCTCACTGACTTGCACTGCCACCGTGCCTGTAAGGCTCACTGCTAGACAAGACAAGACAACCTCGCAGTCTTTTTGTATTTTTAGAAAGTAGCAAACAAACTTTCGACATGGATACACAACGTGGAAGGTCTCCATCTGGAGGTCACCAACATATAAGGAATCATTCTCCTTCCCCGCACAACTTTCAAGATGGTATGAATGGATTGGGCATTGCTTTGGATCCTTCGAATATCAACAACCACCAAGGATTCCAGGTCAACAGCTTTAACAACCAGAACACAGCACTGCCTACATATGTTGATAACAACGATTTCTTGAATCCAGGTCAGCAATTCACTCAAGGCGGACTCGGAGAGGTCAATTTTGCGCCAAGTCAGACCCAGGACTTTTCCCTTTTCAAACAAGAAGATCAATCGTCCTTTGCTGCCCCACCGCGAAGTTTCACCCAAGAGCTTTTAAGTGCCAATTTCGACGGAGATTTCCCATTGTATCCAAACACAAGTGGGCAGAACGAGCAATTTGATCAGTCTTTCTTTTTGAATGAACTTTCTCCTCAGCCTGGAAACTCATCCATCAATCCTGCAGATTTGAACATGTCATCCCCCGCTCATACACCAACACCACCGAGTCTATTGCCGCCTGACTCCCATGCACCATCTTCCACGCACCAGTCACCATCCTTCCATCAAGGCCCCTTTCGACCATCACCAGGCCACTCACGAAACGCTTCACTCGGCCCAGAGAGTGCTGCTTTCCCTGTAGGACATAATCCCGGTGATTGGAGTATGATGCCCCCGCAATTCACAGGCCATCGTAGAACAACGTCTGAATACTCTGATATTTCCTCGGCCGCCCATTCTCCTAACCTGGGTCACCATGATAGCTTTGAAGCGATAGACCAACAACACTCACCTATGCAACCCCCTCAAGACTCTATCTATCAGGAGGTTCTCGGCATTGGATCCTTCTCACTGACTGATAATCCTCGTCCTGGTATCAGTCCTGGCCACAGTCCTGCAATTTCACCTCGGCTGGGGCCTCAACAGATGCCAATTATGGATCACCAGAATACGTTCATGCTGAATGCAAACAATGGTTTTCCTTCGCAGCACATCTACAATCAAGGTCAAGAATCGTTCCCACAGATGCAACACAACAGCTCTCTAGATATGGGGCAAGCGCAACAGATGGTACCGCCTGAGATAAACGTAGAATTTGCACCGGCATCGAGACAAAATAGTTTTGATCCTCCCAAATCTGCCCTTGATCAAGATGCATTGACTCCACCTGATCGAGGTAAGTTAACTATTGACGCCGCATACACGTGATTGCAGCTAATTTTCTCCAGGTCGTCGTAGGAGAGCTGTCTCGGACCCATATAATAGTCCCCGTCCTCAAACTCCTTCGAACACCTCTCCTTTGATGAGGAATTCTCTCTCTCCGTCGGGCCACGAATCAGCGGCATCACGCTCGCTATCACCAAATGACCGATCTGGACCAACTTCACCTGGCCGACGACGACAATCCACATCGTCTCTGCCCAATCGGGATTATATTCTCGGTCTGGCGGATCCTGAATATCAGGCAACGTCGTCCGACAATGGGACTGCGAAGCGGGTTCAAAAACACCCAGCAACATTCCAATGTAATCTATGTCCAAAGCGTTTCACGCGAGCTTACAACCTTCGATCTCACTTGCGAACACATACTGATGAGAGACCTTTCGTCTGCACGGTTTGCGGTAAAGCGTTTGCACGTCAACACGATCGGAAGCGTCATGAGGGTCTCCACTCCGGAGAGAAAAAGTTCGTATGTAAAGGCGAACTGAAGCAAGCCGGTCAATGGGGATGCGGCCGTCGTTTCGCCCGAGCTGATGCACTAGGTCGGCATTTTAGATCTGAAGCCGGCCGAATTTGTATCAAACCTCTTCTAGACGAAGAAGCTCTTGAGAGACAACGATTATGGCAAGAGCAAAGAATGCAAAATATTCACATGCAACAGCAACCAATGGGCCCAGATACCAATGGCTTCCCTATGGATTCTAGTGGAAATTATGGCTTACCCGCTGCACTTCTTGCGCAATATCCTGCTCTGGCCACCTTGAGCTGGTCAGAGATGCCGCAAGGTGACAACAATATCGATGATGATCATAGTGGTAGGAGCAGTTTTGATGCCAGTGGTTCTGAGTATTACGATGAAGGCGACGATGGAGGGTATCTTTCTAGTGGTCCCGGTCCACAACATGGATATCCTCAACCTCAGATGGCGGAGCCATACAATACTGGCTACTCGAGTGATATGAGTGGTCGATAAACTATTCTTGTCATGGTAGTCAGCTTGGCGCCCATACGCATCATCGACTTTCCTTTGTTATTTCACGGCTGTCAACTTGTAGAGAGGACCTTGGGTCTTATTGATGAGGGATTTTTTTCTTGGCGCGTTTAGATACCACGAATTCTTTTTTGTTGAGTTTTATGTTATGGCTTCTGCGATGAGCGGCAGACGCTTCATGGGTTTTCTTGGGTTGTTGACTATTTCGTTCAATGATGGGATTTTGAGATGTTTGAGGTGGCTGATTCGATCTTGGGAGAATGCCAGGGAACGAATTACTTGAGTTAATAAACTATTAAAAAAGCCTGCTTCATGAATCTTTCTTACTTGATAGTCGGCGATATTTTCTTCGTGTAACTTTCAAAAGGGGCCACCCACGATTATAACAACTTACTCTCTATCCATACTTCCCGCCTTGTATTTCGCTGGTATGGGGGGTAAGGGTGTACGGTAAAGGTAAAGCCATGCAAAATAGGATGGGCTCACATGAGCAGGTGATGCATGTACGAGTACTGAGTGAGATACGGTACGCAGATATGGTTTAGCGAAGGGATATGAGAGAGGTTCTAGGTAATCCTAGACCCCATCGCTGAAGCCCATGAAGGGGGTAAGACGTGGATGCGTAAACATGTACAGTAAATAGCTTATGGATCGTGTTTATGGTGTCATATTTAAGTCTATATGTAAAAATCTATGGTTGGCTATATTTACATTCTTCATTTACAATTTTCGTAACCCACTCTTTACAAAGTATAAACCAACTTTTCACCACTGACCTTGCCCTCCTTCATAGCCTGCATTCCATTCAAAATCCCCTCGAAGCCTTCTCCATACTTGTTCACGGTAGGGGTATGAACCTTAATCTTTCCTAGCGCCAACAGCTCCCTGGACATCTCCCAGAACATCTTTGCGAACTCAAAATCATCCGGTTTGGCCGGGAATTCCGCGGGGCCAAATTTGAAGGATTCGCCTACGGCGGTATATCCCAAGGTAGCTTTATTTACCACATTCTTGTTAATAGCATGCACGACTTCGGTAGCAACGGGAAGTAGCGTGCTGTAGGTGCCACCGGCAGAAGACATGGCAGCGACGGTGATTTGCGGGCTCGAGGCCTCGGACACGCAGTCAAAGGCGTGCTTGAGGTTGTCGTGCGTGTATTCCTTGATGTCCTGGGCGCAGGTGGGCGAGTTGTAGTCGAAGGCCTTGGTGGCGCCGAGGCGCGTCACGTACGCGAAGTTGTGGGGGGAACAGGTGGTGATTACGTCGAGGCCGGAGAGCTTGGCGAATTGGATGGCGAGAGCGCCGGTGGCGGTGGATCCGCCGTAGATGAGGATGGGGAATTTGGTGGAGCTGGGGTTTGTAGCGAGTGGGAGTAGGAGGGATTGGTGGAGGCCTTGGCCGACGCTGAGGGTGTGTTAGTGGAGGGTTTCGTGGGATGGATTGCATTGGGTTGGGCGATTCTTACGTGGTGATTCCGACACCGAGGGTGGATGCCTCCTCGAAGCTTAGGTTGTCTGGGATTTTGATTTGAACATCACCCTTTACGGTAATGTAGTTTCCGAAGGCTCCATCCTCGTGGTTCACCTCGTTTCCTCCGTGGCAGAATCCACAGACACGATCGCCCTTCTTGAAGTTCTTGGTAACTGCGCTTCCAACCTCTTCCACGACACCGGCGTAATCGCATCCGATCTATAGAGGTAACTGTTTAGTATTATGTGGTGAACGTCAAGGAGTGACATCGACTTACTCGGGCTCCGTTGCTGGTAAGCCATTCGATATGTTTCCAATCTGTTGGGTTCAAAGCAACAGCTTTGGTCTTGATCAAGAGGTAATCATCTCTAAGTTTGGGGATTGAGGCTTCAGCTGCCTTGGCTTCCCCAGGCTTCTGGACAACGATTGCGGTGTTTGAAGGCATTTTGAATATTGGTACCGTATGTAGTTAAGGGATAGAGATGTGATATTGAGACGTTCAATTGCTATTTCAGAAAGACTTGAAGAGGGAAACAAGAAGACATTTGACCTACGTATTCTTCCAGACATGATTGATAATCATCACAACCTAAGAAAAAGAGCTTGAGCTCATACAGTGGAGATAGATATATCCGTACATAATAAATCCCTATATTCTTGCAATCATAACAGGGGTGCTACTTGCTTGACATCACTATGCCCCTCTCTAACATGGATAGCTTACACAAGTACCGAGGTAATGAGCAACTAAACAACGTGAGTGAGTTCTCAGTGAGATCAGTAATCATCGAAATGAAAATCATTCCAGCATCTTTTGCGGATGGTTTAACTTTCATGAGTACTACACTCAGTGCACTGAGTGCAGGGCCCGGACATGGAGGAACTCGGAATCAATCACTAGAAAGAAGTCCGAAGATCCCCACTATTGTGCGGCAATACAGTGTCAATTCTGTAGTTTTGTATTGAAAATTTGACAGTGTGGCAGTACAAGTACGAGTACAGGTATGGTATATATTGTGGCTCGAGAGTGATATGTCGGTAAATGGTAGGTAGTGTTCGTAACATCAGTGATGAAATTACGGGAACGTCTTCTTTTTGTTACAAAATACAACTGTTTTTAGTACCTCAGAGTTGTGGTTCTTTCGGTGTTCTTCTTTCTTCAGCCCAAGCTTCAGCTCAACTTGGCAATCAGTCCCGATTGGACGCCCAGTCTCTCATATATTGTCATTCCAAACCCTGTCTCATTTGTTTCTTTTAGGTTCTCGGCCTTGATTTTCAAGCCATATATATATCTTACCGTGCTCTATTTTGATATTTCCAGACGAGCGAAAGTACATGTATCTACAGAGTACTTGAGTACACGTATATACCTGAAAGGATCAATATAAGCAGATCACTATTTCTATTCCACAGTAACTCAAATACTGGAAAACAAACCCCAAACCATCAAACCCCCAGCCTCACATATTAGGAAGTCCGATGTTGAGAGAGGGAAACCAGCTTGCTGAATTAGGTGGTGGTGGCGCGCAAGAGACGTCTCAAAATAAACAAGTAAAATAGCTGACAGCAAACAGCCATGAAGTCTTGGTTTGACCTTGCAGAGAGGGAAATCCCATCTAGACGTAGGTCTTGTTGGTCCGCTCAAAATTAGCGATGTAGGACAATTACATTACTCTGCTTACTAGCCAAGTTTGCCGTCCTCACTACCTGAATTCTCTCTCTGTTTCTGTGTGTGTCCGTTCATGTTCTGCTTTGATATATTCTTTCTGGGAGTGTAATTTCCGATGTGACTGTATGAAATATGTTGAGCCTTTCGCAATTGATTCCATGGTTTGTGTTGGGGGTTTTGGTACAAGATACGGTTGCGGCGCTGTCAACTACTACTACTACTACTACTACTACTACTATGTCGAGTGCAGTGGCGACGCATACGGTTTCGGTAGGGGCAGAAGGATTGGTGTTTACGCCGAAGGAATTGAATGCGAATGTTAGTGATGTGATAGGTATGCCTTCTTTCCGAAAGAAATCCTGTTGCATGGAGTTATAGCGTACAAACATGCTGATGGTTTGATGAATCGTTAGAATTTCGATTTTATCCTCGAAACCATTCGGTTGCGAGAGCAGAGTACAAGAATCCGTGCATCCCATACGAAGTTACGGGAATCAACAAGCAGGGCTTTTGGAGCGGTTTTTATCCGATCAATGTGGTTTTGAACGATGTTTGTATACTCATTGAGGATAGTTGGGAGGTTGAAATGCATGGTCTAATTTGAAAGAATATAGCCTCCTAAATTCCAAGTCGTGGTCAATGATACGAATCCAATTTTCTTCTATTGTTCGGCTCCAGGAGCTTGTCATGAGGATGGTATGATTGGCGTGGTGAATGCTGTATGTTCATCTCTTTCATTGCATGAGCAACCCATCAATCAGCACGTTCAATATTCAATACAAATTCAAATGTTGAAAGATTCCACTTGACCAACTCACCAAGATTTGATTTCTTGTACTCACAATTTCAATTATCAGAACTCGACCCAAACATTTGCAGATCAATTGGCATATACGAAAAACTCCTCTATACAATTTAGTCCTGGCGAAAACTTCCCCGTCGAAGCCTCCTCATCCTCATCCTCAACCGCCCATCCCACCTCCACATCAACACCCACACAACCCCCCAGCATCACCACCTCCACAGCCCCCTTAACCATCACCGACCCCTCCCCCTTCCCCCCCTCCCCCTCCAAACTTTCCCACGGCGCAATCGCAGGAATAGCCATCGGAGCCGCCGCCCTCCTCCTCCTAGCCAGTGCCCTCCTCTACCTCTGCGGCCGCCAACGAACCATCAAGGAAATAATCCACCACCACAACTCCCGCTCCCCCAACATTTCCTCTCGATTTCATTCCCATTCCCACCCCCTTCATCCTACGGGTCTAGATCCCCAATCCTCTAACCCTGCCTCCGCCTCTCTTTCCGAGTCAACTTATTATAGCAAACCCCGCCATCCCATGAGCGAAAATGAAAATGAAAATGAGAATGGAATCAGAAGGGTAGGACAGTTTTCGAACGCGCGCAGTGATCCGCATTCTCACCTCTCGGAATCATATTTGGGGAGTGAGGGGTATAGTCGGAGTCGGAGTCACAGCCCTGGTGTGGATGAATATGGCATGATGATTCCGTCGCCAAATGCGAGAAGCGAGAACGCGAACGCGAATGCAAATGCAAATGCAAATGCAAATGCTAATACAAATGCAAGTTTACAGCATAGTCCTAGGGTACCCGGGATGCAAATGGGGATAGTAGAGAGAAGAGACGGGGATCGAGACGAGTGTGAAAGATATGCAGATTCAAGGTAAATATATACATTCTACTCTCTCTTCATCTTCGCATTGCGAATTAATGAAATTTCAAACCTCACACTAACGTCTTCTCGCCTCCCAGACCCTCGTATTCCCCGGGACTCCCAATTGGTTTTCACCCCGGTACTTCACCATCGGGTCCTCATGAGTTATCTACGCACGAAGATTGAGGTACTGTTACTAGTATCAGTATCAGTATCAGTGCTCGGGAACGTGGATGTGAATGTGAATGTGAACGTACTCGTGATCAGGAGCGTTATGACAACCTGCAATTAGGAAAATAGACTAAATTCTCTCTTTTATTATTCATATTATCTTGATTGGTGGGTATGAACTTACCTACCTTTGAATCGCCTTTTTTTTTCTTTTCGTTTATTCTGGTGCTTTTATAGGGTTTTGCTTAATGGGACTTTTATGTTGTGTTGTGTTGCTTTGAGGGAGTGAAAATGTGCTGATTTGGAGGTAGAGATAGAAGGTTAGCGGATCGAGGGCTCGGGGTGGAAATACCTTTTTGTGGGGAGGGGGATTCGATATGATGTGGAATGGGAATAAGAAGGGAAGGGAAGTGAAGTATGAGGGTTGGTTTGTTTTTTTGTTTTTTTGTTTGTCTATTGGTTTAAGGCGTTGGGAGGGGCGGCGATTTGGAAATAGGAGGTACAGTTGGAATCGGTTGGCTCGGGTATGGGAAAGGGGGGAGTTTAAGGGTAGGATAGAATGTATAAGGATGCAAAAGCCTTGGCTAGGGGGGTATGGATATGTCATCTAATAACGTATCAAGCATTTGTTAGTGAGGACTCTGGCGCAATACTGCTTGTCCAATTGGTGATGGTTTGTCTGGTTTAATCATTTCCAGTGCTGGCTAATAAGCCAAGCGACCATTCACTTTGCGAAGAGACCTGGTGCTCTTTCAGTAAGGACAGAATTTAAAGTTGTATCTGTAGCGAAATCTAATCTCACTTGTATAATGAACCAAGCCTGCAGGTTAAGAAAAGGGTATCTTTGATTCTTCCACGTCATAAATTCATTTCCCAACCGCAACACTACTCAGTCCTACCAATTTCGTATACTCCGAATGGTTCAAGCAATTGGTTTAACATCACTCAACCAGGGCAGTCCCAATTTCTTCATCTCAACAGCAATTTGAAATAGGTAATCCAAACTACACAGAACATTAGCTTCATCCTCATCACTCAAATGAGAAACATTAAAACCTACCTCTCACACTGAGTCTTCGCCTTATGCACCGTCTCCCCCCAAACATAAACCCCATGTCTTCTTACCAATACCGCATACGTATCCGGATATTTCTCCATCGCCTCCTCCAAATATTCGGTCAAATCTTCTTCACGCGGTGTATTTTCTATAACCGGAATGCGTAACGTATCATGATAGCCCAAGTTTCCCGCTTTAGCAAAGCCCTTTCCAAACGCTTTTATTTGCTCAATGTTGTTGATTTCAAACATGCTAGTATTGGTGTAAGGGGCGGATTCGAGGAGTAGCGTAATGAGTACCGCCCATAGCGAATGCGTGTGGATGCAACAGCCGGCGTTACGCTTGGTGAAGGCGGCCATGAAAAGGGGGGTGCATTGGGAGGGGTTGAGGTTGGGGGGTGAGCGGAGGTAGATGCGCTGTTTGGGGTCGGTTTGCTGGGTTATGTCGAGGACGTAGATGTGTTCGGATTTCATGAGCTCTTTTTGCACTCCGGAGGGCGCAAGGTAGACTAGATTACTGGGGATAGGGGTGAGTTTCTGTTTGTAGTGTGAGAGGGGGTAGGACATACTCGTTGCGGATACTGGCCCCTCCTCCTGTACCTGTTACCCATCCTAAATGCCAAAATTTTGCACATAATTCTGGGATTAAATTTGCGGGATGTTGGGGATCTTGCGAAATAATGAGGTGATCATTATTATCTGAATCTTGAACTTCTTGAGTTGGGTTTTCTGTAGTCATGATAGCTGCGGAATATAGAGAAGAATGAAGATAAAAGTATCAATACTACCGTAGTTGATCTTTTGTATATACAGAGTACATAAATCAATAAGAATTTCTTTTGATATGATATGATTCAAAAAAGGTTCAAAGTAGATCTTCAATTCACAACAATAATAGTATGGAGAAAATAAATTATGATTAACTGGTTGGCTAGTGGGATAGTGGGGAAGTGAAGCTTGCCAGCCGAGCCCAGCTTTGCCCCTCTTTCTCTTCTTTTCTAATGTTGCATTGACTAACAAGCAGCCCATGCACCAAATCTATGTATGATAGAAGGAAATCGAAAAAGAGTGTCAAAGAGGAAGGACGGAGCACAAGGCCGAGAGCCATTATGGGAAGAGGTTGGTTTGTTGGTTTGGATTAATATTGAGGGAAAGATGGCTTTGATGTTATTCATCAGAAGTGTCCTCAGCTACTAGGCTTGTATACCTACGTATATACGTAGTGTGTGCGAGTCCCGATAAGAGGAAAGTACAATACCAAGATACTAATTAGCTGACTATCTGGCTATCTAATTGATTGTAAATGTGATATGGACATATCAATAGAAGGATTGAGGTTGGACAATCGATCATATATCGATGATATATATGATGTGTCCAATACTCGAGAGTATTAGCGGTAATACAGCTCTATCCAAACTCTCCAATAGCAATACTATAAAAAGGATTAATACTTATAGATATAAAAGTATTCAGTTTAATAATCATAATAATCATAAATTGAACACGTATTGATATTTCTATTTCTATTTGATGTTACTCAAATTCACTAATGAGGGGAAAGCTAAACCTTGTTACCGTTAACCTTTCCTAAACGAGTATACGGCCAAAAAGGACACTGTGGCATTCAATTAATCATCGGAAACATAAAAGTCTCCTCATTCAACTTTTGTCATTAATCAAGTTCCTCTTCTTTGGTTTTTCTTCATCCATTGAGCTCTGGAAGCAATCATCAAATCTGTAGAACTACTCTTGTCTTTACTAAGAAGATCGATTTGAATTCGGTTCTCTTCTGTTCAACATGCGTTTCCATACTACAGCTGCTATCTCGGCAGCAGCTCTGCTGGCAGGTTCTGTCAATGCTGATGCACAATCTGTACTCAGTGAGGCAAGCTCTTCAGTATCAAGCATTGCTACTGAAGCTTCTTCATCAGTCTCATCTGCCACTTCTACCGGCATTGAGCTTCCTACCTTCACTGTGAGTACTCAATAGATTATACATCTCAATTTTCAATAGCGATTTCTACGATTGGTTTCTGACATTTAATTTTATTACAGCCTACTAAAATAACTGCCGAATTCCTTGAGCAATTCACCGATGACTGGGAGACACGATGGAAGCCATCCCACGCTAAAAAGGACACAAAGGGTTCTGACAAGGAAGAGGAAGAATGGGCTTATGTTGGAGAATGGGCTGTAGAGGAACCTCATGTCTTCAAGGGTATGGAGGGTGATAAGGGTCTTGTAGTCAAAAACGCAGCTGCTCATCACGCCATTTCTGCCAAATTCCCCAAGAAGATTGATAACAAGGGAAAGACCCTCGTTGTTCAATATGAAGTCAAGATGCAAAGTCAGTATAAAGTGTTCCCATTTCATTGGTTAATATCGCTAACACCCAAGCAGATGGTCTTGAATGTGGTGGAGCCTACTTGAAGCTTCTCCGTGACAACAAGGCTCTTCACCAAGAGGAGTTCTCAAACGCATCTCCATATGTTATCATGTTCGGTCCCGATAAGTGCGGTACTACCAACAAGGTTCATCTTATTATCAACCACAAGAACCCAAAGACTGGTGAATATGAGGAGAAGCATATGACTCCTGCACCAGCAGCCAGAATCCTCAAGACCACCGAGCTCTACACCTTGATCATTCACCCCAACAACACTGCCATCATCAAGTTGGACGGTGAACAAGTCAAGGAAGTCAACCTTCTCTCTGATGACTTCGTCCCAGCATTCAACCCACCCAAGGAGGTTGATGACGCCAAGGACTCTAAGCCAGACACTTGGGTCGATGAGGCTCGTATCGCAGATCCAGAAGCCAAGAAACCCGAAGACTGGGATGAGGATGCGCCATTCGAGATCGTCGATGAGGAAGCTACTAAGCCTGAAGACTGGTTGGAAGATGAGCCTCTTAGCATTCCAGACCCAGAGGCACAAAAGCCAGAGGATTGGGATGAGGAGGAAGACGGAGATTGGATCGCCCCAACTGTACCAAACCCCAAGTGTGACGACGCTTCCGGCTGTGGTAAATGGGAGAAGCCATTGATCAAGAACCCAGCTTACAAGGGCAAGTGGACCGCACCTTACATTGATAACCCAGCCTACAAGGGTGTCTGGGCTCCACGCAAGATCAAGAACCCAGACTACTATGAGGACAAGACCCCAGCCAACCTCGAGCCAATGGGAGCCGTAAGTCATCCGTCTCCTTATTTATCTAAATAGGACACTAACATCATCATAGATCGGTTTCGAAATCTGGACCATGCAAAGCGATATTCTCTTCAACAACATCTACATTGGTCATTCCGTTGAGGATGCCGCCAAGTTTGCCGAGGAGACCTTCCACGAGAAGCACCCCATCGAACAATTGGTTGAGATTGAGTCCATTCCAAAACCTGAGGACAAGCCAAAGTCTCCATCTGATCTCGTCTTCGCCGATGACCCGGTTCTTTACGTCAAGGAGAAGCTCGACTTGTTCTTCACTATCGCTCAAAACGACCCCATTCAAGCCGTCAAGTTTGTCCCTGAGGCCGCTGCCGGTATCGGTGCTGTCTTTGTCACCCTCATCGCCATCATCGTCGGTATCGTCAGCATGAGCGGATCTACCCCACCACCACAAGTCAAGAAGGCAGCCACTAAGGCCAAGGATGCTGCCACTGATGCCAAGGACAAGGTTTCCGAGGCTGTTGCATCAGGAACTGATGCTGTCAAGGCGGAGGTCAACAAACGCTCCACCAGAAGCACAACGTAAATATGGGATGGATGAAATAATGAACGGGAGAGGAGAATAAGGAAGAAGAGTTACAAATGATTTTCTCAGTTAACGGGGGAACGGATACGTCCATGTTTGCATGTATTTTGCAATATTTTTCACAGCACTTTACCATTACCTGATTTATTGCGAATTGGGACTTTTGTTGTTGAAAGTGGAGTGACATGCAAATCAGGAGGCAAAACTTTGTATTTTAGGCGCACAAAATACTTCAACTGAATATTTGACTTGACTTTATAATATGCTACTTCTTCCTTGCACCGATAGATGTTGAACCCTGAGACATCTGTTTGTCAATTCATTAATCATGTTACAGCTTGGGCTTCTATTCGATTTTTTCCTTTCATTTCCATTCTACCCCCTCTCGCTCTCATACCATTCCCATCTAGTCCCCAATAGGTCCGCCAGTGAGCCAGTCAAACATGCTATGCCTCATCTACTATACAACAACATGATCGATTATTCACCTCATCAACCACAACACCCCATTCGTGCTGCACGTTTCCATACATAATATCGTACAACCACTATCACCATTTCGCATGGGGATCTGGATGTCGCGATCGCGAAAGGAGATGGTGGAGATGGGGGTATAAAAAAACTGCGGGAGGGGTGGGGGTCATGTTGGTTTTTTTGCGGGGGTGTAGGGTGAGTTTGTTGGGGTTTGTTGGGGTTTGTTGGGGTTTGTTTGGAGTTGATGGGGATGGGGATGGAAGAGGTAGGGCAGTGTCAATGGAGAGATGCCATAATGCCAGATATACCTCCGAAGCGAGCAATTTTATTCCTGGAGGTTTAGGTACTGCACCAGCAGGTATACCCGATAAATCTGGCCACAGAACAGCTATCTATTACTGTCGGTATAGTCATCTACTGTACCGGAGTACTGGCACCGTACTATCGAAGGGCTAGGGCAAGCCTTAGCGAAAGGGCTTCAATACACATATAGTCTCCATCATGTAGAATAGTAATCAAAAAGCTTTTTATTGATATCAACACTGAACACCCGTCGGACTTTCTACCATCGTAGATCTGAAAGGTGTTCCCGTTGATACCAACAATTACAAACAGGAGCGCCTCTCGAGGGAGAAGTAACACCCAATTCTTCTCCATTCTCAATAATTGCAGGAAGAATATAGAGGAATATTCCAGGGCGGGATCTGGGGAGCTAGCCTATCTATCTATCATATGTTACTCGTAGTATTTTCATCTTCTACTGCATCTATCTCGAAAATTCAAAACGAGGAGAAAAATCAGGATATGCGAGGACCCATCCAGATTCCAATGCTATGAACCTCAAGAGCAATTTCTCCAGTGAAGGAGTGAGTTCCTTGTGGTTGATAGTATAATTTTTGAGGTTTAGATGGAGTTAGTTAGTTAGTGAACAGAACAGAACAGAACATACATTGATTTTTCTTTGCTGTGTGTTAGACAGGATTACTTTGTGAGGACGGATGAGTGAGGATGGATGAGTCAGCGTGATACATATCGAAAGGAGAATGTGTAGAAGGTTAGGTAGCTTTCTGCGATGATGAAATCTCCAATATCAATAATGTGTTATTGTACTATTGATATTAGGTACAACAAAGTATAAACTAAAGCCATATATATGTATTCCGTAAATCTCGAAACCTCGCTAATTCCATGCATCATTTCATTTCAAAGTTCTCCCTCATCTCATTGTAATCCACAAATTTCGCATCTAACCGCCAACAACAGAATATCATAGATATACAAAATCTAAAGCCAATTGTACATCAGTAATTAAGGTATCATTGATAAGATCACCCAGTAATAAGTACTACTAGTACGAGTATATATTTCCAGTTCGAAATACCCGATTTATAGAATTCAACAATACATTTTTAAACCGAGCAAGCTCACCGGAAGGTAGATACACAATACATCACTTGAGAAGCTCGCTAGGAGGTAGATAGTCCCCGGTGAGATAGAAAGTTAAGCCAAGAGAGCAGCTCACTAGGACACAAATTTCCAGTGAGGTAAGTGTACCGGCCGGGACTTTCGAAAAGAGAAGCATAATTATCGATATCATCGTAACCTCATCTATCTCCTCCCATCACATCAGAGAATCAAGAGAACTAACTACCCAGCATACATGATACCTCCTCATATGCCTAAATATGTAGGTAGGTAGCTATGTAGATAGTTCAAACTGCACCATCAACAGCGCATCTCAAATTCGAACCCCACAAACCTAGCTCAGCACCAACCAAAATCAAAATCCTCATTCTTTCCTCCTCAATTGTCTCATACATCTATTCCCGGTGCCTCCACTAATATTCCAAAAGCTCTACCATAAACAAGTAACAAATCTAAATCTACTAATTTATCTAAGAAAGTGCCGGTAGTAGTTTTCTTTTTTGCACTAGGTTACAGGCATCAGTTTCGCGTTCTTATCTTGTGTCGCTCGCTCGCTCGCTGCATTTACATATACATAGACATTTACATTTGCTAATTAATACAGTAAATAATGATAGTGATAGTGATAGTAATAGTGATAGCGATAAGATGAATGGCTCTCAGGCTTTGATGAAGCAAATAAAGGAATAGCAGAAATGGATTGCTTGTCTGGAAAAGGCGGGGTGAAAAGGGAAAATAAGGGCAAAGACTGAATAAAATATAGTTGAGTTGTCGTGTTTTCTGATGCAAAATATTGACAAAAAAGAGTTGTGATTTGAGCTCGCTTCCTCAGGAGATTCGATCTTGAAGAGTGATTCCAACGAATCTTTTCTGCCACTTGGCTATAATAACAATTTCATCCTATACAAATCTTTCACCTATCATTCATGAATGGTTGGAGGGATCATATGTAAATAAGCAATAAGAATTATCGGTGTCGATAATCAAAATTCTCTCATTAAACTCCACTCCAATCTATAGCGGCAAGAGCCCAACCAACTTCTATAACCCAAATATGATTTGATATCCCCAAAAGAATACCACCTACAAAACGCCATCCATGCCGATGCAACCAACTAGCACATTGTTTCATGGCCCAAGTGCTCCTCACATCACCAATCATTTCTTCACAACATCCTCTCCCTCCTTTCCCCATCTCGTCGTCTCATCGCCTCCCCGCCATTCTTCTTCTATATAACCCAAATCCTTCTTAACTCTCAAAACTGTACTCTCATCACCCATGTTCTTCCCAATATTATCACTAATTTTGATGGCTGGATTGCCATCAGCAGAACTCAATTTAATGACGATATTCAACGGAGTCGATTTCTTGCCCGTAGTTTGATGAACGAAATCATTCGTGAAGAAAGTACCCACACCGAATGAAGGTTGGAATCCTGATTCTTCGGCTATTTGCTTGTACTTTATACAAAGCTCGACGTCTAACGAATCAGAAAATACGATGGTTTTCTTGTCCTTGATGCCCTGCTCATCATAGAATTGTCGCATCTTTTGTACGAAGCTTTCCGGATCACCGGAATCTTGTCGAACACCGGTGAATGCTTGCGCAAATGTCGGAGTGTCCCCGTTTGTTTTGTCTTCCGCTGCATCCAGAGGTGCCTTTGTACTACTGGCTCCATTAGTCGTGAGTGTATCGGCCGATGGTAAAGTAGCAGCTCCCGAGGTAGCGGTCGTGAGCGATGGGATCTTTTGAGAAAAGACCCGAAGAAAGTCTTTAGTACCAAAGGTATCCGTAAGAGCAATACCCAAAACTCCTTGACCAAAACATCCAACCCAATAATCCAATGCAGTAGCCGTAGCACTTTTATAGTTTTGCGTAATAGCCGCAACTCCCATAAACCATTCATGTGCGACAGTTCCTATAGGTGGAATACCAAATCGCATAGCCAAATGAACATTACTCGTACCCGAAATCTTCCCCGTCAACTGTCGCTCTTCTCCTGCCTTCTTCGCCTTAACCAATCCGCGGAATACCAGAGCCTGAGTGTGATAATCTCTTCTTCTCCTCGTTCCAAACTCCGATACAACACATCCAGCCTCTAAAAGCGACATTCCTTTCCCATATGCTTGTTCTTCCTGGCCCTCGTATGTCCAATCCGTATCCATAAATCGAAAGTATGCTTCACTGGTCAAAGCCAACAATGGAATTTCATACAGAATAGTGTCAACCCATAAACCCTTCACTACCAAATGAACCTCTCCCAAATCCTCATCTTCTCCCTTATCATCATCTGCCACGAAGCTAGCCTCAACTTGATTTCGCGGATCCAGTCGAAACTCCTTCAAGAAGTCAAGATAAGGTTGGTTCAGGTAGGTACAGGCATTTTGGAGGAATCGGAATTCTTCGTCCTTGAGTGCAATATTACCGAGCTCTATTTTTCATTAGTTTCTTCCCAAACAAACACTCAAGCTGTAGTAGATACATACTACTAATCTGAAGCTGTAACCAACGAAATGCAGCTCTCGATAACTTCTTCTCCGGCGTTCGATTCTTGTATGCGTAAGTTACTCGCACATCGGAGAAATATTTCAAGACGGCGCATTGCATGGTTAGTTTGTAAAGATCAGTATCGAGGAAGCTGATCACCCCCTCGGGGTATTGCGAGGTCGCATAGAAATCCATATTTGATTTCGAATTCTGGAGGAAACTGCAATTCTGCTACGTGTATTATTTGATGAAATGAACCCCCACCATGAAGTTGGGTAGTGGGATGATGGGCGCGCGTGAAACGCTAGCCAATGGTTACGTAATTAAGGTTTGCCCCTATTCTTAGTCTAATCGGAGTCTGTCCCGCTAGTGATTGTTTCAGTTCGGCGGTTAGATAGTCAATGATTGAGTTATGTATACAGACTTCACTTCGTAAGAAGAAAACGAAGAATGATATATACGGAAACATTTACATCTTTCTTGAAAAGGAAAAAGATATATATGTATAATCCTTATATTATACTAGCTCTATCTAACTAATGCTAATGCAACCATGCTTTCTAACCCCTCGCTGTTGATGCACGAATAATAAAACCGGCAATCCCGTGTTAGCACCTAGTTATCTAGTTAATCAGACCGACTCCGGTTTGCCTGTAATGATCGATGCCAATACACCCCAAATCACTCCAATTTACTCCAGTTCTATACGTAAATTCCAATCATTGCTCATGCCAATATTTCATTACGAAATGGCTTAATATCAAGACCACGCTAATTCGCGATCTATGCAGCGTCCCTCATATCATCTTCTTTCCACTGATGAAATATTCTCTTATAGCTGAATACCGGACTATTCGGTTCAGTGACACTCTTTATTTCCCCTCTTGGTCTCCTTTCAATTGGTGAAATGGCGGTGGGCGAATATGTAAAGCCCGAGGCGTTTTTGATAAAGGAGGGAGATGTAGCAAGAACTCGATCCGTGCCAGGAGTAATGGGCTGATTTTTGGAAAAGAGATCAAGTTGTCTTTCGCGAATTAAGCTAGCTATGGCATATATAGCTTCCTCGGATTCGTTTTCCGCGCTACTTTCATCGGTTTGTGATTCGACATCGGCATCAGAGCTGGGAGGCGAAAGTGTTGTTTCTCCAGCGGATGAGAGGTCTGGAATCCGACCTTTGATTTGAAGTAAGCCTTTTGAAGGAATGGGGAAGCGGAATATATCGTTTTCTCGTCCTAATCGTGGCGTACGCTGAGGGGTGGTCTGCGCGGAACGAGGTCTAGTATGTCCAGCGGAAGATTGTTGACGTTGCCTAATATCTAATACCGAAGCCGTTGCTCTGAATGGTGGGTGAGACGGACTTCTTCGTTTCCTATTTTGTTCTGTAAATCCATCATCTTCATCCCGCGACATCAGTCGCAAATTTCCACTATTAGTCCTCTGTCTCCCCCTTCTTCTCATAGACTGTCGAGAGTCGTCGCCATTCCTCAGCCGCCTCAGATTCACCTCACTAGGACTGAAAACTACTCTTGCTCTCAAATTTTGAACAGCAGCATCTAACTCCAGCTCCACAGCACAGTGATTCCACACGCGACTTACTTTTGGCCAAGTAGCCCTTTCCCCAGACAAGCATGCCTGAACCATAAATTCCGATGTTGGATTTTTCAGTATCCTAGGAAAGTCCTTATAATTGATTTCTGGTAGGATTGTAATATCCCCGGAATATTTTTGACTCAGGATAGACTTGCATTTAGTAACCAAATTTGGAAATACTCCCAATTCAGCCAAGACCTGCATACGGTGGAGAGCTTCAGCTTTCGCCAGATTCGTAAGGTTATAGACCCAGCCTGGTCCTCCATTCCCATCTTTTTGTACATCTTCCTTGATCGCTTCCTCGTCCTTGGCGATAAATAGAATGACATGAGGATTGACTTGAGAAACGATGAAGTGGTTGACATTGAACATTTCAGCCAATCGAGTCATCGGTAAATCGTTGTCCACACTTCCATCAATCCAACGTTGAGGTGTAGGATTCCAAGATGAACTCTCTCCTGTAAGTGGATTCTTCATAAGTAATTCTGCTGCAGAAAATAGAAAAGGTACTGAACACGAGGCCGCTACCGCTGACCAGATCATGACATTCGGCGCAGTAACATAGTTGAGAAGTCGAGGCAATTCGTATACCGAGGCAGTTGAGACACATATGTTAAGAATGCGACGAGAACGATTGTAAGCCTCTTGAAACGTGATGTCTCCCAAAAGTTCCCGCATGACCCTCGTCAAGTGTTTGATATCAATCCAAGCCCCTTCTGTCAATAAGCGTCGAAGTCTGTCCAGAACCCCATCTTCATTCCCATTCTCTTCGAACACTGCAAGATCTCCGTGCGGAAAATCCTTCAACACATCCGGGATCTCTTCATCGGTTCTCGTGCACAACACAGCACAGACGATGCTACCCGCTGAAGCACCGGATATGATCCTTGGCAGTAGATGAGCTTCGAAAAGAGCCTTCAAGACCCCGACATGATTCATACCAAAAGTCGCTCCCCCACTCAATAACAGGGCACTTCTCCCAAAAGCTTGTCTAGCATACACAACCTGCTCCAATATATCCTTCGTCTCCAATCCATCCGGCAAAGTGAACTTGCTAGTTTCAACCAATGCGCGTATCGTATCCAACGTCGACTCAATATACCTTTCAATGAGATCCTTCGTTCCAATATAACTATGCTTGTACAATCTGATGTTGCCCATACCTCCTAGATCCCTCGACAAAGTTGTGCGCACCAACGTAAGCATCTTCTTGATATCACAATCAATCCTCGCCGTATCCATTTGTTTAGTCCTCGCTTCGATCAACAAAGCGTCGAAATCGGGTGACGATGAACCGAGTTTCCATGTTTCATTATCCTCGAGAACATCTAGTTCTTTCGCTGCACTCCTCCAAGTCTCCATCGTCTCCGCATTCTTCAATCGTAGATGCAAGATCTGTATTCTCTCCTCCTTCTTGCGCAGCGCAAGCCTTTCTTCCTCCGTCAACCCATCCCGTACTTGTTGTAATTTATTGTTGAGGACATCTGCGCCCGTCCTCAAAATCCTCGTGGCCGGTCCCAATAAACCCAATAAAGGCCCCGAAACATTTTCTTCCCCTTTTTCTCTGCCATGGCCGTGATCCTTGACAGTGGCAGATGTATCGGTAGTATTGCTATCGACCACACAAAATTGTGGAGTCTTCTGAAGGTATCCTAAAAACACCATGCTTCTCCCAATTTGCCATTCGAGGCGTGCTTTGTGGTCTCCTTCACAAACAAGGCCTTTGATCTGCTCGTGGAAATATGTCCGTGGCTGTGGAAAGAACAAGTGGAAATAAAACGAGTACACAGTAAACTTTAGAAGTTGTTGCAGATGTTTATATTCATTTGATTATTGATGTACCGGTAATTGTATATTGCTAAAGCTTTTAGATCTCCGTGGGTCGGTCTATGCGGTATCACAAGGGCGCGAGTCAATCTCCTTTTCTAACCGTATTTCCGAAACAAGGAATAAGCTCAGCTGATATGATAATTTTCAATCAAGAGAAATATCTAATAAGGTATGGAAAGAAATGTAAGAATGAATTGTTTCTCTTTGATGTTTGGTTGCATCACCTGTACAGCTTTTCCCCACACTAAATATGCCTGGGGGGTCCTAGAAAAAGTTGGGGAAACTTGAATCATCATGTGGCACCCATTGATTTATTCATGGAGTGCATAGTGGGTGATGATGGATGATGATTTATTTCAACATGTGCATGACTGACTTGTCTTAATAACTGTATTAATAGAAAAGGAAATTGACCTACCGGTACACGTGTACATTAATTATATCACTACTCGAGTAATAGTATTCAAGTGCCGGTACAGTTGGGTTAAGTACCGGTAATACGATTATCATCTCAGCTGAAACATCACCGATTCTTTTTCAAGCCCAAAGATGGCTTGCCATTCATTAACCACGATAACCTTGCTGTATCATTTTTCCTATCGGTCGGTATTAATTCAGCTAACCACCAACCTTACATCCCGTCCCGTCCCAAACTCAAACTCAAACTCAAATCTGCATTATCTGCAACAATATAGGCAGATATCGATGATCAAAAGACGCGGTACCCCGCACACATAGTTGTTGGTGCTTTCTGCAAGTTTCTGCTTATTTACAAGACGAGAACCTGTTATCGTTTGGGATTATGCCGGATAAGATACTTTATGAGCTGGCTGAATTGGCGCAGAACAGGGGCTTCAACGAAACCTATCGGATTGTTTACCCCCATCAACCTTATGACAATGCATCATCTACTATCTACTGTGTGATGTGATTAAGTTATAACCCTGCTGAAGATTGAAAAGCATGTGAATTTGTGACACATTGAATTTAGCATGTGCAAAGCAAACCGTGACATCTCACACGGCTCATGTATATGGATCTAAAATTCCCAAGAATTTTTATTCAAAATCTAGTTGCTATATTTATTGTAACCAAGCAAAAAGGGGTATACGCTTGTTACGTTATCAAACGCCGAGTTCCTCCCTATACGGTGAGGCTTGATACGTCGAAAAACGCCGAGTTCGTAACCTGTCTTCAAAACAAACAAAACCAAAAAAGTACCATTCATATCTTCCTCTCAAGAGCCTAGTAGAGCTTGCCATCTGGTCCCATAACTCCATCAGAAGAAGCCATGTTGCATTGCCTGAATAGTCTCTTTTCCTCAGGGCTGAATGCGCCAACAACTGAATGTAACACTCCTTGGTTGTTGAACAAAACCAAGTCGCCTTCGACCCAATCGTGCGGATACACGAATTGAGGACTAATAGCTGGTCGTTGCAAGCGGTAAACCAAATCTCTCACTTCCTTAAGATCAGTCATGACTTCTCCATTTGGAAGATGAATGGCTTTGATAGCACTAGGATGGATCTGTAGTGCCAAGTTGCCAGTGACTGGGTTCTTCCAGCACATAGGTAATATCTTGATATCCTTCTCATTGACAGGAGGGAGCTCCGAAAGAGGTAACTCAATTCCATCAGAAACCATACCGAGACCAGTAGAGCGGGACTTAGCCGGCGACATCCAAATGTATGGATGTGGTGCGTACTCTACTTTTGCCCCACGGACAAACTCCTTATCTTCCTCGCTTAATAGGTTGTACATATTTTGACCAGATATGAAAGCGGTGGTACCAAGAGGGACGTCCATTTCTTCGTCGGTTCCATCATCATAACGGAGCGTCTGGCGGCGACCAGCAGGAACCTTAACGGCCATCAAAGATGTTACTTTAGGTGGGTTGAGTGCATACAGGGCAGCATCAATATGCCACCTGTAGAAACGTGTGACTGCTAGATCATCTTCCTCTGGAACAGCAGTCTTGTGGAAGACTTTGTGGTGAGGGTGCTTGAGAGTAATGTTTTCCAACCCTTCATATTCTTCATAAAATCCATTTCCGATTACCTGAACTTGCGTTTGGTGAGGAATCGTTTTCAAATCAGGATGGAGGACTGATCGTTTCGCATCAAGAGTTTTGCCATGACCATATGTTTCTGCGGCATAATTGTTAATCACAGTTCCTAAAAGCAATAGAAAGCACAACTAACCAGCAGTAGGATCGAATCTACGAGTAAGCTCGTACTGAGCTTTGGGGGAGAGCCCAGCTTGGTTCTTGAGGACTACAACATGGTAGTTATATAAAGCATTGCGAATGACTTTGAAGTCCTCTTCGCCGAGGCTTTCCAGGTTGACATGACTGATCTCGGCTCCAAAGTCGACGGAGGAATTCTCCGATGAAAAGAAGGGCTTCACTTCCAAAGTCTTGATGGCCATTTTAATTGTCTGAGATTAAGATGATTTGTTCGACGTCTGGGTGTATTTCGCAAGGGAAATGTGTGTGACTGGTGTGTTTGGTTAGATAGAACCGTGGCGGGTCAATTCTTAAGTACCAAAGTTGTGAGCGAGGGGCAACGGAAATGACCGAATAGAGGATAATGGGTTCATGAATGAAGAAGGCCGGAGAAAGACTTTACGCATTTCCCCAACCAATTTGAAAGTAGATCGAAATAGCTTCGATAAGGTATTGCTGAGACTCTGAGTACTGCATATCGTGAAACTTGGTGCATTTACCGGTAGTTGAATGCGTTGGTAGATGGGTTTATCAACACAGAAGATAAGAAACTCGGAGCTCGCCGCAAGACACTATAAGATCAACTATGAGAGGCAGGTCCCTCTCATCAGCATTGATAGAAAACTGAAATAACGACAAAAATATCTGTTTCTTACCACATTTCCCTACCTACCTAGTACCTCTATAACAAATTTTCGATGTAACCTAATGAAGTATGATTCCCTTATCCTTTGATTGCTCTTTGATTGCCCTTTGATTTGATTGTAAGGATACTGATCAGATTAGTCACTCGCTTCCGATCATTTATCATGTACCTTTATTCATTCTGTTGGTTCTTGCTGTAAAGTAGCAAAGTAGCAAATCTTGTCATTGTCAATGAATGTTAACTGTTGTCGTTATTTGACGAAGAGAAAAGCTCCGAGGTTATTACGAGTAAGCTAAAGCCACATGGGAGCTACAGAAGTTAAAGTGGACCCCTTGTGGCGGGGGCGGCTCCAATTGCAAGTCAATGATGATGACATTGATCTTGAAACTCATGTAGAATACCTACAACCACCTAAAGTCGTTCTGACACTTCCTTCCATCACCATCACACGAATCCTACATGAACTTTCTTCGTGTTATCAAGATTCCTACGCAGCTCAAAATTTGTACTTATCTATTCCTATCACACCGAAAACTAAATATAATCTCAATACCCGCCACCATGAGTTGGATGGATTCATGGTCACGCCCTTCGAAACATTCCCCTGTTCCTCCACCTCTCTATTTGACAGCAGGAGAAAGCGTTCCTTACTGTTTAACATGTGGTCGAGTCATGAGTCAGCACCATGATGAACAGTCCCTGAATAGCTTAGTCTAATACATCCAACAGGCACCAAGAAAGCAAGCAAGAGGTCCAACAATGAGGTTAAATACTGTTCAGACCGGTGCCGGAATCGGAAACCAGGAAAATTGGATAGAAAGATCGAGCAAGCTATTATTGCACTTTTAAATCAGGAAAAAGAATCAGGGTTGGAAAAGACTGGTGCAAAGGATCGATTTGTGAAAGGAGATCATCGAGTTATCGTTACTTGTGATGAAATTGAAGAGATTGTGTTTGGAAGTCGATTTGATCCCGAAAAGGTTTATGGGAGGAGAAAGAATCGAAGGAGTAGAGCGATTGGAGGAGCGAACGCAGATGCAGAATGGAGAACTGTGGATATGGAGAGTAGTGAGGAATCGGCCAGTGAGGATGTACCTGTTGAGTCTGTGGATACCAAATCCGGTCCAACGATACGTCCACCTCAAACAGAAGCAGATGTCAACTTTAGTGTTGGAGGCGAGAGAGGTAGAGCCGAGAGGACGGAAGAATCGGTTTCTGATGCACAGAAGATGATCGATGGTCAAAAGCAGGCGGAAGAGAGGGAGATGGTTCGAAGGGCAGCTAGGAGGGCTGTTGTTTTTGGTTTCATTGTTGAACAACCTCTAGAAACGGCTCCACAAGCTTTTAAGGGCTCAAAGCATAAGAAGTCGACTAACTGGGAGGAGCTTGTTGCAAAGGAACCCACCAGGCGCAAGTGCGAGGCTTTGATGCAAGGCTCAGTGGTTGAGCCAAGCTTTGCTAAAGGGAATTGGTCTATAAGATGGCGGGAGTAGCATGACTCCCTATTGTCATAACACAGTCACCAAAAGAAAATACAAAGCTTTACCGCCTCAGTCCAGCATCATCAGATGAATGTCATGCGGTTGCATAGTTTTGTGTTCCCCTTTTGAACAAGCTTTAAGTCAAATATCCTCGCTGGGCTTCTGATTAAACTGATTGATGTTGCTGTAACCGGATACATACTCTTTGGGTATAACTGTAGTGATTGTTTTTGAAAAGTACATATCCGGTATAGCACCAAAGCTATGGAGATCAAGAACTTTTACTACCCCCACCCATCACCATCTTTGCACAGACTACGCTTGTCGTAAAAAGAGACGATTAGACTAAGAATGGGGTGAGGTCGTTTTGAACTCGAAAATCTAAATCTTAGAGGGTTCGACGAATGAACGCTATTTGCTTACATTAAGAACATACCCGATAACCTATCGGCTGTACTTTGATCCGAACTCACCTGACTATTACCTTTGGTGATTCTTGTGGAATATGTTCGTCTTGTCGACGTTGTCGTACTAAATTTACACATCCATCTTGCTCCTCCCCAGAAGCTGTCGAACTCGGAGACATTTTGTTGCAAATGCAATACATGAGTTATGGCGCCATTCTTTGACAGTAATAGTGCCATTCTCATTTCTTTCTTTTGCTGCCTGATTATATCTAAGATCGCTTGGGAATTTCTATTCTCCCCATTGAGACATTTCCCCGGCCCCGTCACTGCTAAGTTCACGAACTTCCATCGTGCATTTGAGGCCTACTCGGGGCATATCGACAAGCAAAATATAGATTCGCATCGCAAGTATGGCATAGCTGTTCGAATTGGCCCAAATACCATCAGTTTCAGTGATCCATCTTTGATTGGGACAATATATACAACCAAGAATGCTTGGCTTAAGGTAGGTGAGGAAAGCTCAGATTGTTACGCTTACTCATCTCCGACACTGACACCATCGTCATTAGAGTGATATGTACAGGCCTAATGATGTCCTCCTTCAAGGAAAGCGGATGTCAAATTTCTTCAATACCGCAGATACCTCGTGGCACGACAAATACATGAAGCCTGTCAGGGGTCTTTGGACCATGACAAAGGTTCTGGAAGTCGAGACCTTAATCGACGAGACTTTGGAGAGGCTCATCGAGAAGCTGAGCACCAGTTTCGCGGATGTATCGAAAACTTGCATGATGGATGATTGGCTAGCATATTGTATGTTTCGTGACGTCTTAGGAGGTGGTTTCTGCTAATATATGCCTTTGCAAACAGTTGCTTGGGATGTAACAGCCAATGTCAATTTTGGACGACCGTTTGGATTCATTGATCAAGAAAAGGATGTCGACGACCTCATTGGTGATTCTACGAGAGGGCTTTACTACTTTGCCCCTGTTAGTCAAATCCCGTGGATTGACAACTTCCTCGATAAGAATCCAATCATTCGAATTGGCCCTAAGCCAACTTTGACAGGAGTTATATACACCTTTAAAGTTGTCGCCCAATACCAACAAGAACTCTTATCGCCCGGTCACAAATCCAAACCCGTTAATCACTTCCTCAATAAATATCTTAAGCTCAAAGAAACGAATCCGGACCTCGTTGACGACAGTCAAATCGTAAACTATCTCATGCTCAGTATTCTCGCAGGCGGCGATACCACCTCATCCATCATGCGGGCTGTTGTATACTATCTCTCTAAAAGTCCATCCGCCTATACAAAACTCACAGACGAGCTGTACAATGCAAACCTCTCGCTACCAGCACAATGGAAAGACATCCGTGATCTTCCTTACTTGAACGCAGTTCTCCGTGAGAGTATACGTATGAATCCGGGTATCGCTATGATATTAGAGCGAGTCGTTCCCGAGTCTGGTTTTACCCTCCCGGATGGTCGATATATTCCTGGCGGAACAAACGTGGGCATTAATCCTGCAGTCACAAATCATGATCAAAATGTCTTTGGGATAGACGCTGATTCTTTCAATCCTGACCGGTGGCTAAAGGAGGAAGGGGAGAGCCAACAAGCTTTTGATGCACGCTATAAACATATGGCTAGCATCGTGGATTTTACATTTGGTGGTGGAAGTCGAGTGTGCATGGGAAAACATTTGGCCCAGTTGGAATTGTGGAAGTTGTTTGCTACTTTATATAGTATCTTTGATGTGAGCTATTCGCCATTTTCTTACCCCGTCTTGAATATCTTGGCCGCTGTCTAAGCCGTTTCTAAGAACTAACTTGACTACTCAGATCAAACTTACGGATCCCGAACACACATGGAAGTACCATGATGCCTGGTTCGTTTATCAATGGGACATACCTATGATAGTTTACCGTCGGGCTCGAAGTCGTACCTCAACAACTTGAAGCAATAGTTCAGAACGTTCAATATGGCGTTTGCTGACGAGAAGTGGGTCTCCATTTTTCGAGGTTATACCTTGCTCCCTCTACTAAGCAACAACATGAGCTTGTCTTCGCCACCTTTTGGCCACCTTTTGGCCATCGATTATGTTTCGACCGTTGATCCAGTCAATACGTTATACGAGGCAAAGCATTACTACCTATGGTTGTATAAATTTTTGTTAGTAGTAGAGTTCTCATATAAAGAAAGACATGGCCATGTACAAACTTCACGAGGTTCTCCTGAATCATGACCTTCGATTTTGGTCACTGCGAGGTCCACCAACAACTAATATATTATGTCCAAGACAGTAAGAGTTCCATGCCTACACCAGCCCCTTTTAATTGCCGAGTTATAGTGCAATTTTTATACAAAATGAAAATTACAATCCCCCAATGATATCACACACAATGATAACAGCAAAGTACGTAGAACTTCAAAATCAACTTCTGTTACCAACCACCGACCTTGATCTTGATCCCCGCCTTCCACTATCTGTCCCGGAATTCCACAATTCCACGATCCGAACTACCGTACTGGGAAGAATATCGCAGAGGCTGGGTAATATCGGTTATCACAGATCACGGCGACGAGCTTGATAATGGCAAGCGTGAAAAAAAACAGGAAAAAGACTGATTGCTGATATATGAGCAGATTGAGCAGATTGATAGTTAGAAGATACATATTGCTACGACTTGTAGTTTTCATTGTTTAATCTAGGAAGATAGTCCAATAGCAAAGTTATTAATCTTCCAACTTTGGAAAATTTGATATACCCCTTACGTATTTATATACTTGAGAAGATTTGGGCTATAGTCAAATAAGTTCATCTGAACACCTAAAGCTCGAGGGTTTGTAATAGATAAGTCATCATCTCAAACTGTTAATTGTCATTTACAGCCATATAATATTATGAATCCAGATTATACCAAAGTGCCCATTCTGAATTATTTATATGGTTAAGTGAAGGTTATGCTGAAGTAATAGTCGAGGTTTTGGGAACCAATTCTCGTCAAGCTGCTTCGTACATTCATAGTGAAACCCCCACTATCTGGAGGATGGTTCACTGGCGCCAGAAACGAAGTTTTTCACTTTCGCCAAACTGCAATTCAGTTTTTGACATCAGGCTTTTGATTAGAATGGGTCATGATATTTTTTAACCATAATAACTTATAAGACTTCATCCATAACGACTTCCACTCTCATTCTATATCTCATACACAGTTTACCAATCATCAGCCACAAACAGTACAACTCTCTCTCGTCCCATACATACATATCACTTCATTTACTCATCCTCGCTACCACACAAAAAAGAACCCACACACTCTCTCTACACCCCCTCCCTACCTAACAAAACCCAACAAACAAAACGGCAAAAGTTCAGCTCGAAGCTTATTCTCCCAATGACATCCAGTACTATATGGACCACTGTACCTAGTCACATCTTTTTTCCCAAGTCGAAGTGGGTACTATACTACTACGCCATGGGAGATGTGTTCAGATATTGGAATGACTTCTATTGAGGATTATGTACATGTTTGAAGGTGGCATATTCACTGATTGATTGGCTGTGTGCACTGGACACTGGGCACTGGTCTCTTGATGATAATGGTAATGGTAACTATGCTTAGCATTGGGAGAAAAACTCGTTCGACGGAGCGTAATAACTTTAAATTGATATGCCATTCAGCTTTCTGTCTTTACAAAGATCTTTCGATTTTTATCATATTTGGGAACTGGATTCTGGTACTTGGATATCTACTCGTAGAAGTCATTTAGATATTGGAATGTACTGTAGTATTGGTATGACTTCTTCAAAAGGTTAGATAATCAATATTCCACTGAACATCGAACATCTATATGTTTTTGAATAGAAGATTTTTGAAAAGATATATATATGATACAAGATGGTTTCCAAGCGTAATGGACAACAAGATTTCTTTACGATACAGATGGGTAACTGCCGAGGGTAGTGGTCACTTTTCAAGGGTCGAACTTTGAGCCTCTTTCCAGAATCTGAGTAACTATCTTAGTATGCTGAATGCGAAAATGAACGCTAATATGAATTATTGTTCCATAACCTAGGGTTCAGCAGCGGAAATAATGTTTGATCAGCCCACAATGTAGAGAGCAAGAATAGTCCTAGAAAGAAACTAGCACCTCTAAGTAACAAACTAAGCGAGAAAGGAATCTTGTGCTTGTAAGTCTAGTGCTAGGTGTGGTTCCTGGGCTTGACTTGTGATTATCAAGGCTTTTCTAGTAATAAATTGGCTTTCTTTTTGGACCCGAAACTATTCTATACCACCGCATCCGGAACAAGTTATAGAAGTATTAAAACTTTGGCCACAAGAACCGTTTTGGACATCGCACTTGATCGACTTTAACCCTAATTCGGGATAAGGAAATACAATGAGTAGACTTCTGACTCACCTTGCGATACCTTTCGCAACCTCTGGATGATCTCCACTAAACACCATTGTAAGTTTGAATGATAATAATGGTTAATAGATCTTCGACGACAATTCATAGAGCTTTGACAGATACTTTCAATCCACGAGTAACCATCAAGCAACCATCAAGCAACAGACTGGCATGATATCCGTTGCATATCTCATTGGATTTGGCAATGGATATTTGTCCACGATTGTCGAATATAGCATGCGTTTCGAAACTTAGCCTCTCGTGCATAATGCCAGCCATGAATCAGATATTGGTTCTAGGTACTTTGGGATCAGATACCGAATATACCTTTCGCATTTTTAGAGAGCTGGCTTGCTCAAGTTATTGTTATTACGACCTAAGATTGTTCTTGGAGCCCCTCAAAACGTTCTTACTTATTGGGAGGTCATAATCTTCAAGTGGATCACCCTGGAGGTGATTCTGTATTCTTTCATGATATCCCGATAAAATCAAGACTGGAATGCTATGGCTTTAGATTGTGCTTGTGGGGGCGACTCAAGAAGAATTGGTGTAATAATCTACTTGCCCCTCATTGCACGGTGAAGTTCATCAGTCTCAAGGCTCAAAATCCCAAATACCATACAGAATCTGTGTACTCGGCTCGGCATTACATAATCCCGATCGATCCACACTTGGCGCTTTAAGCGCTCCCGCGCGATAAGATTGTCCCGACATGTGTTCTCAATTGGAACTCTTACGTGGCTCAGAGCTGCTCTCGTGAATCTCAATTTCTAAACTTCAATACCACAACGATTTTTCTGTCAAAATGCGTTTCTTACGCTCATTAATACCTTCATTGGTACTCGTTGGTGCCGGAATTGTCAATGCTGCTTCATCATGGAGCTTCGATGAGGCGATTGTTTCTGTGAGCGGAAAGGGTGCTGCTGGGGGGTTTAAGGACAAGTGTGTGGCTTTTGAGATATATTGATATGTTATTGGAAGACATGGACTTTCTGGAGTAAATCATGCTAATTGTTTATTCTGCAGACTATCAGACCATGTCCCTCTTGCAAAACCAATATCTCTTGGCGCGGCAGATACTCTCAAAATCGTCCTTACGGCTACTGAAGATCGCACTGCCAAACGACCACATCAAGCATTTTTACTCCTTAGAGATCAAGACACCGGTCTTGAGACTACCTTTCCTTTCTCCGTGAAGGAGTCTGGTAAGGGAAAGGTTGACTTTGTATGTTTTTCTATTGCAGATAATTGATGAAAACCATGGGATAATATGCTAATGAACATGCAGGCCCAAAAAGATCTTCCAATCCAACTTCTCACAAGCTCCAAACCTTTACGTGTCACTCTTGTTCTTGCATCCTTTGGTTCTGCACAAGCATTCAGCAACCATGTTTTTGACCTCGCTCTCTCCCTCGATACCAGCAAGCCAATTCCCGCATATGAGAAGCCATTGAGATACGGGAAACTACCTGAAATCAACCACATCTTCCGTGCTGATCCTCAAAGTGGACCTAAGATATTTTCTCTTGTCTTCTCATTCGCAGTTCTAGCTACCATTCCAGTGTTGTTGGTTGCTGTAAGTAGTACCTGTGTAAACTTAACCTTCTTCAGCCCGAGTACTAATGCATTCTCAATAGTGGGCTTACCTTGGAGCCAACCTTTCTCACCTCTCAAAAGCTACCTCCACCGCACCAATCTCCCACGCCCTCTTTTATGGCTCGATCATTGCTATGGAAGGCATCTTCTTCTTATACTACTCAAGCTGGAATCTATTTCAGACTTTGCCCGCTGCAGGTGTTGTAGGATTAGTCGCATTTTTGAGCGGAAGTAAAGCGTTATCCGAGGTGCAAAGCCGTCGATTAGCAGGAGAGAGATAAGGCTGCAGTGATGCTAAAGTACAAAAGCTTGGAGGATATTTGAGACTACAAATAAAGTATGTGATATATGGGGAGGGATGTACAATACCAACCAAGAGTGAAAAGATGACCAATGGGCACTGAGAACTTTGGCCCTTGAACAACTCACAAATGGATATACTCCATGAAAAAAGGGCAAATAGTCCTTTTGTATTCTGGGTCTCGCCAATAAATAGGTATCTTTATGAGTGTCGCAGCGAAACATACAGGTCTCATATGCTTGCCATTCGCTTGCCATTCCCTTCCCCACAATCCTTCACACAGCTTCTACCTCAATCGGTGAAACTACTCAACTCATTTGCGCCTTCGAGAAATCCAACTCCGGATGCTCCTTCTGAAACTTCTCCAAGATATCTTTCTTCTTCCTCTCCTCACTACTAATCCCCCCATTCATCTCCTTATCCTTCTGTTCCCACATCATCTTCTCCACCATTCCCCTCGTCTCTCCATCCAAATCCCCCAATTTACTATTTTCGGGCGTGATTTTCGTAACATCTATTTTCGGTGCGGAAACAGCAACATGCGCCCACCATTCCATCTTATTTACTTTATCAAGGTGGATTTCAAGGGCTTTGCTGCCCGAAGGAAGACTGGTGAGGGTCCAGGTACTGTCGTCAAGGAGGATGGTGTGAGGGAGCGCATCCTATTTAAAACCAATACGTCAGAAAGGAAAGGGGCAAATGAGACAGAAGGTGAAAAAAGGACATACGTCGATCAGAGGAGTTTGGCCCTTGATGGATACTTTTAGTGATTGGCGTTTGATATCAACGATTAGATCTTTAGCCTTGAGGTTTCCGGGGATCTCGATGGTAATGTCTAGGTCGGAAATGGTTTGGGTCCATTTGTAGGGCAGGGCAGCTTGTTCTGCGGCTTCTGTTGCGCGTGCTGCGGCTGCTTCTTGGGGGGTTGGCTCTGGGTGTTTTGGTTAGTGGGGATGTTGGAGGGGGAGGCGGGGTAGCTGCCGCGGAGTAGATCGAGATGGACAATTTCCTAATATAGATACGGAAAGTAAAGTGAGGACTATTGAATAAACATACCATTGTCTGCCATTTTGCAATTTATGTACAGTGTTTATGCTTTGCGGTTTTTGTCAATCCAACTGCTCTGTTAATTCGAAAAGTAGACGAGGCTTCGAAGTTGCTTACAAAGCCCCTTCGGCGCCACAATAGAAATGCCAGCCTCGCTAGCCTCGTGGTACAAGGTATTTAGAGATCACTGCATTTCAACCTTAGTTTAATCATTCTTTGACAAATTGATACTGCAGAGTGGGCAGACTCTCCAATCAAAATGGTGTCCAAAGCCTTCGGGGATTCCTCCGACGATATCTGTCCCATCTGCAAATCCAACCGTTACCTCAATCCCTCCCTCCAATTCCTTATCAACCCAGAATGCTACCACAAAATGTGTTCCACCTGCGTGGACCGCATATTCACATCCGGGCCTGCTCCTTGTCCCGTCCCTCACTGCGGTCGCACATTGCGCAAAAAAGGGTTCAAGGCGGCGTTCTTCGCGGATCTCGCCATCGAACGCGAGTGTGATATTCGACGTCGAGTCAGCGAGGTGTTTAACCGCAGTGAAGATGATTTCGAGACGTTACTGGATTTCAATAATTATTTACAAGAAACGGAAGATTTGGTGTATGATTTGGTGCATGGGAAGGGCACAGTCAAACAGGATGCGGAGGATAAATTGAGGAGGTTTAGAGACGCGAATCGGGGAGCTATTGAGGAGAATAAAATTGCGAGGATGAGGGAGGTGGAGATGGGGAGGAGGAGGGAATTGGAGGAGAAAGAGATGGCGAGGCAAAGGAGGTTGGCGGCCATGAGAGAGGAGGCGGAGGAAAAGGCGGATGTCGAAAAGACCCGAATGCAGGTTTTGGATCAATTGGCTACTGGAGAGGGAAATGCGAAGGCTATCACACAACAGGCGCACAAAGTCATTTTGAAGAAAAGTTCGGCGAGAAGAGCCGTGGGAGAGAGGGATGGCGCGAGTGGTGCTGGAAATGGAGGCGTTGATGGAGACGGTCTTACGATCAGAGGACTTAAGAAGAAGATGGCTCCCGTGGCAGAGAAACCTTACGACCCATTTGGAGGTATCGATCTTACGCCTACGAAATACATATTACGGGATGATTACGAGAATCAGTGGGTTGAGAGTGTCAAACGTGACCCTAAGCACATGGCTGGTGGTTATAGCCTCCATGAATATTACGGAAGAGCTATGCTCGATGCTTTCAGTGGTCTCGAAATATTCATCGAAGATGAGGTGAAGGATCGACCTCAGCTTGGGTCACCTTCTGTTGCTACCATGGCAGCCGTTCAAGCATCTACAGTAAAGATAAAGGTGGAGCATAAAGCGGAACTAGATGATGTGTTTTGATAGGATACCTGATACATAGTATGGAGAGATGGGATCAGGGATTTGTGGCGTTCAAGGAGTCCAAAGACAACTGCGCGTAGTTGCTGGCGTCTGAAATCATTTGGAAATAGTTATACATTTAAAGGTCAGGCCTTTGTAATTATTTTACCTATACTGGTAGGCAGATACCTCTAAGTAGGCAGAGGCAATTTAATATCACATCATGCATTTTGATGGCCTCGAACCTTGCTCTCGTCTTCAAATTCCAGTACCCTCATAACGCCATGCTTGTAAGGATCCATAAAAACACCAATAATTGTTTATCGTAGCACAAGAAACCACGTGAACCATAATGTCCAAAAGGTTTGTGGACTTCCCCGGAGTTTCTTTTCGTTTATTGCTGCCAGGCTTGTTGTTGCCCAGGTCGAGGAAACACAGGAACCGTCGGAATATGGTCTAAACCACCTCCTATCGGTTGCTGGGCGTTTTGCCAGCCCATACCTGTAGCCGTATTGACGAATTGACTTTGTCGGAATGGATTTGTATTTCCAGTAGGTTGTGGCGCAAGGTTGCCACCACTTGTTTGAGGCCGTTCTGATGGTTGAATAGCTAGATTCTTTGCAAAAGGATTAGTGCCTGTTTGCATCGACCTGAGAGGAGCTGCCATTGGTTGTTGCTGGAACTGCTGGTCAGGTGGTGGTGTATAAGGCTGTGATTGCGGTGAAATTGACATGGCAAAAGGATTTGTTGATTGCCGAATTACTGGCGATGTAATAGGGGGTGATACCGGGAAGGAAGGTCCTGACATTCCGGTAGTATTCGTCGTCATCGATTGCCGGAAAGGATTCGTCTGCTGAGGAGCTTGTAAATTCAGGTGTTGTTGTCCCTGTTGTTGGAAATTTATAGTCGATTCTTGTGGGATGGATGGGAGACCTGTTGGTTGGAAAGCTTGTTGAGGAGTGTAGCCACCAAATCCAGCACCCGTGAAATGTGGCTGCATGGGCTGTGGTTGTTGTTGCTGCTGCTGCTGTTGTTGTTGTGCAGGTACCTGTGGCTGCATATTGAAGGCATTATTAAAGCCTTGCTGTTGTGCAAACTGTCCTGGATCTTGAAAGCCCGACTGTTGTTGAATGAATCCATTCTGTTGAAACTGCTGTTGCTGCTGCATTTGGAAAGGATCTCCGTTGAACTGAGGTGGCTGTTGTATTCCAACTTGAGTAGCCATTGGCTGCGGTGTGTCGATAGAGTCGAAAAAGTCAATTAAATCTGCAGCGGGAGCTTTAGGAGGTTGTGTGGTAGCGTTCGAAGAAGATGTTTGTCCTGCATCAGAAAAAGAGCGCCCAGTTGCGGCCCTACCATCGCTTTCGTTCTTCGGAGGCACTGCAAATGGCTTATTTGTCCCACTCTTTCCCCCCTTGCTAGAATCCTGCTCTGCAAGATATTGCCTTCTATTAACCTCAAAATCCGGATCCATCAAATAGTCCTCTAGCTGCTTTCCAAGGTTAACAGGTGCGTGCTTGAGTTTTGGTACCTCGACTCGCGTTTGGTGCTCATATTGTCGGGCAACACTGAGGTATGAAACAACAAAATCCGTTTGTCTGGTAAAATTTCTGTATATTTCCATAGCTCGTTCTGCATCGGGTTTTGACATCTCAAAGAAGTGACCTGCGATCTCATTAGCAAATATCTTCTCTGCGAGTGAAATCAAGTACCCAATATGTTGATCATCGCCTGGTTTATAACATGAAACAAAGCCAGAAGATCCAATACTAGCATCCGGAAGACTGTAATCGTAATCTCATTCTCGGGTTCGTTATCCAAAACCTACACCGTTGTTTAGCAAAAATTCCTCTAAATCGAACATCAATCATACATCGCATTTCAGTAATGATGTGATCTGTTGCTGTACGGATTCCGTCTCTCTCAACAGCCCTTTCTCCACCGATAACTTCTCCAGTCTTCCCTCAGCACCACGTACAAAGTCGCATTTTGTGTCTCGAAATGATCTCGCGCGCTCGGTCAAATAGTTCGTGTAATGTCGAATATTTCGTCCCTGGGTTTGCACTTTGCCATGCTCTGTTAGCACGATCTCTATGGTATTGCCTGTTATGGCTAAGCCATTATACAGAATATCACAGAATTGTTTTCTGGGTACACACCATCAGTGAAACTGCTTATTGCTAGCATGTTCCTGTGCCGCGCAAGATATGCCAATGTTACATCCGGAGACCCTTCTCTGATCATCAAATGGACTGTGATCAAACTCTTGAATACCACCGTCCATGTCGAATCTCGCAGACGATTTTGTAAAGCTCGGAATACTTCAGCGACTCCCGCTTCGCCCGAATGAGTGGCTATTAAGATATGTTCGATGTATCTGTTTTAGTCATTAGTTTAGTGTCCGCGATGAAGGCTTTGGCTTGGGTCTGGATCGGGGTGAAGTACTTTGATTTGGGAGGGGCAGCCTGTTTGCAATAATGTTCAGTATATGATCTTCAACCACGAGGAGATATAAGACAATGTTTGAACATGTCATACCTTAATCTTTGTCGCGCCTTTCACGGACTTCTCAAAAGAACTCGACATTTTGAACCTTGGTATTGCCAGTTATAATGCGACAACTAGTAGCCAAGGGGGAGTATTTCACTCCCAAATGGCGGGTTTCCTCTTATCGAAATTGAATAAATATTATGTAGGACCGGATGTATTCGGAGAATTTGTAAATGAGCGAGCGAAGGGGTATTAAGTATGATTGTTGTGAGTTATGTGACACGGAAGTTTGCTTGGAGATTAATAAGGAAGTTAAACTTTTGAAAGTCGTCGTCGGATAAGGAGGGTGCTTGTTTTATTCGGCTTTGTCGTCCGATGTAGATACAAACTTTGTAAATGATGACAAGGAATCCAATTTGATGAAGAACGGGACCCCTGAGAAAGGATTGAGGACGGCTAAGAGTATAGCACCGGTATTGAAGAGATCCAATGATGTATTATTGAAGCCTCAAAATGAATACCAATGGGAGGTAGGTAGGTAGGTAGGTAACAAGCACCTAACTACTCGGTACATCGTTAGTTATTTCACACCTTATGCAAGGGGTGTACAGTACCAGTTCTAGGACAGACAAGTTCGCAGTGAGAAGTGGGTAATTAGCAATTAGCAATTAGCAGTTAGCACTTGATGATTTTCCAATTCTCCGAATTAGTCCAGTAGTGATACGGGCCTTGGCCTTGGAAAGTCTGCACTGGGCTGTGATCTTACGGTATTCTAGCTGACTGGGTACGTCTGACCACTAAGGGAACTTTTACTCGAGTATATCAGTATATCTAGCTACCGGTATCTTACTCTTCTTTGATTTGCTCTTCAGTGTTCACCAACTTAAGTCATTTCTTCATACATGCCGTTCTCATAGCTTCTTACTCAAACTATCAATGCTCGGATTAAACCTAAGCTAGGTACATACCACTGCAGCTAATCTACGAAATCACCGTCACAAGGATACGGTATCGTTGTCTAGATTGGCGAATAGTAATAAGCCACAAATGGATCTTGGGAGTTTCCTGGGATTCAATACATGAGGGTTAACAGGAATACTATCATTACATCAAATTGGCAGTGCTGTGATTGGATTGTAACTTTATTATTATTATATTTTTGGCTATACAAATACAATCGGAAGAGGAATAAGAAAATCGGGAATTGAAGATAATGCATGAATGTTGTTCACCTCGATTGGGAGGGTAGCATACGAGCTCTGGAGGATGGCCATTGAAACGACTCATTCCCATCGCATTCTTCGTTGTGTGTGAATATTGTGAATATTGAAGCCTTCCAAGCTTAAAGGTTCAGAGATGCCTTAATCGCGTCCGTTAAAAACAAGGGGGGTGTGTCGAACGCTTATTTCACTCTTCCATCCAGTTCTCGCAAGCAGACCACTTAAGCCCGGTGAAGGGAGAGTTTGCAAGCTCGAAAAGGAGGAATCGTACTCAAATAATACACGCTGGCTTTTCATCATCTGTTGATCATATATTAGCAATTGTGCATGAGTTGAAAGGTTAATGTTGGGGTCTTACATGTATAAAACTTGGAAGGATGAAGAAGAAAAAAGAGATATTGAAAAAATTCGCGACATAATATAAAAAATTTGAGGACCGGAGCTTGCCGAGACGCTAACCACACCTGGAGAGCTTCGAGATATCATTTCATTTCCAGGTAAATCGAATCATATGTTTTCATGAACTTTTACAAAAAGAAAATTGACTAGAACCATGACCTTAGTATCGTGCTATCGCAGGCACTTACTCAAAAATGGAATGCTCTGTGTGCGTAAAACTATACCATGGACTCGCACAATTGGATTCTCTTCACTTGTAATTCAACAGAGAAGTTTCACCAATACCAATTCTCGATTATATGTGGCAGAAGAACATGTTAACATTGACACGAATGGCACCTTTTGGGAAGAATATAGGAGTAGTTGTAAGTATTGGCCTCATAGTATTTTGTCTGTTACTAAAATCTCCTATCAGTCACTCTTCCGACGGCCACGCTCGATCTATCACAACCATGGAACGGCGAAAACATTGGCCAAAAAGTCACCGTCACTGGGTTCCTGCGCAATAAGAAGCAGATGGGTAGAGGTTTCAAATTTGCTAGAATAAGTAGAGGGTCTTTGGCGGATGCAGGAATCCAGATTATATTGAAAGAGAGCTCCGAAGAAGGGGAGACTGGAGAAGTCTTCAAAAGCCTCAAGGAACACAGCGCTGTGTGTGTGACAGGAACTCTGCAGTATAAGGTAAAGAAGCCAGCTCAAGCGGTAGAAACTACACATAAACTACGGTCTGCACAGTTTCCTTCTACGAAGGAAATCGTAACCATTGCAGACCTTGAGATCCACGTCGAAGACGTAAGAGCAATCAATTCATTTCCCAAGGACATTATTGTTGGACCTGCTCAAAAGTTTGGGCCTCATTCCAGACATCTTGAGGTTCGGTTCGAACCAGATCTTTATAAAAGGTTATTGTTTCGGTCAGAGCTAGCTAGATTAGTTAGAAGACAACTTAACCATATGGCGTTTGATGAAATCGAGACCCCCATCTTGTTCAAGTCAACTCCTGAAGGTGCAAGAGAATTCCTTGTTCCTACTAGAAAACCAGGTTATGCGTATGCTCTACCGCAAAGCCCACAACAATACAAGCAAATTTTGATGGCAAGCGGCGTTGCCAAATATTTTCAATTTGCTAAATGCTTTCGGGATGAGGATCTTCGTGCGGATAGGCAGCCAGAGTTTACTCAGGTACTGTATTGTTGGACTGGTACAGTCTGCATATGCTAATACCAAGTAGATTGATATGGAAATGTCATGGACTGATGGTCCAGGTGCCATGGAAATAGTCGAAAGTCTCGTAAAAGTCATGCACGAACAGATATCGCATGAACGAGTAGGAGTTCTTGATAATCCTGAATTACCAGAGGGATGTTTCCCAAGAATGACATATGAGGAAGCCATGTCAAAACATGGGTCTGACAAACCCGATCTCAGAATTCTGGACTTGGTAAACAAACCATCATCAATCCTTGAGCGAAGCTAATTAATACAGATTCATCGCGTGGATTCAATTGTTCCCGGAAACCTTAAGGGAATGATGACCTCGATCGAGAATCCTATAATCGAAGCTTGTAAATTCCGGCTTAGTGGCAATCCTAGGAAGGTACAACAATTCATCCGCAAATTTATGGACTCTGCAGACGCCGAACCCTTTCAGAAAAATCCAGATGGCCCTCCAGGAATTTTTGTGTTCGATCCTAAGAGACCATTAGAAGGTCTCCAAGCATTTGGCTTTGAAGGTAATGAGGGTCTGAGAGACTTATACTCTTCACTTCCATCTTCCCCATGCAATAAGAACGACCCACGGGGACCTGATGCCACATCCACTTTTGATGAAGGCGATTTGATTATCCTCCAAGCGCGACCTGATACTCGTCACTCGGGCGGTTCTACTATTCTAGGTAAACTTCGACTCGCAATCTACAAAGCCGCCATCTCCGAACAACTTCTTGCTCCTACTCCAGGACTCCATTATCTCTGGGTCACAGACTTCCCACTGTTTACTCCTAATACTGCCGACCCAAGCGATCCTGGTCAAGGCGGTACCTCAGGATTTTCCTCTACTCACCACCCATTCACCGCCCCTAAAACCGCCCGCGATGTCGACCTTCTACTCACCGACCCTCTCACGGCCGTCGCTGATCACTATGATCTTGTACTTAACGGTGTTGAACTCGGCGGTGGCTCAAAACGTATCCACTCAGCCGAAATTCAAAAATTCATCATGCAAAAGGTATTACAAATGAGTGACGAAAGAATGTCAGATTTCAACCATTTGTTCGAAGCATTAAGAGCCGGGTGTCCACCACATGCTGGGTTTGCTATTGGCTTTGATAGATGGGTTGCAGTATTGACAGGAAGAGAGAGTGTTAAGGATGTCATATTCTTCCCAAAGGGAAACAGAGGGGAAGATGCCATGGTAGGAAGTCCAGGATTGGTCACGAAGGAGCAGGAGGAGATTTATGGCTTGAAATCCAGATGAGGATAGGGAATCAGTGAACGACATTCATGAAGATATATGAGTATGAGGCAATGTATCAATGTTGATTGATGGATTATGTGTACGATGACAGTCATACGATCTTCACATTTTCATGAAAGCATTGATTGGCGTTCGTCATACATTTGGGTATCCTATATTCCCCCCCTCTTCCCTTCACTCTCACTACAAAACAAATTTCATTTTTCCTACCACACGTAGCACACACCCAAAATGAATCTTCAATCGCATAGCGCGCATGCATGCATGTACTCGTATATCACGCCCTCCTTTGTAAAGTTAAAAGCCAAAACACAACTACATGGATGTATTGTATACATGCATGCTCTTCTGTCGTGTAGCCATGAGTGAGTGATACAACAGTCGGTCGGTTAGATATGTAGTGTACTGGTGTTGTACTATAGAATAGAAACTCGAAAAGATTAAGGTCGGACTTATTGTATCATATGGAACAAACAAGATTGCTTGGAGAAACCCACGGGGGAGTTACGGGTCCAATGATTTGGTTTGCTTGGAACATGCTATGCTATGCTATGGTGTGGGCGTGGTTTGTGTATGTATATGTATATGTATGTGTATATGTATGTGCATGTATATGTATGCAAGATACCGCCAGACCAAATCAAATCCCGATAAAATGTGTTTAAACGGTGTAGATAAATAGATGGAGAGATAGATAGATAGATATAGTGCGTGCATGTGTGTATGTGGTGCTCCTTTATTTTACTTTACTTTACTTCACTCTAAAAAATAATGATCATGAAGATGAAGATGAAGATGAAGGATGATGGCCTGGGCGGGATAACATACTGCACTCGTGATATATTTCGGAATAAGATGGAAGTGTAGGATAGGATTGGATTGTATGAGATGAAAGCCCGAGATTTGTTTGTTTGTTTGCTTGTAGGTTACGAGTATTATAGGGTTTCTTGGCATGGCATGGCATGGCATGGCGTGTCGGCATGAATATGTATGTATGTATGTATGTATGTATGTATGTACTTGTAAAGAAAGAAAGATATTTGTCGATCGTATTAATATGATGTCGTTTTTCAAAGGAACACTTTTTGGGAATGTCCTATCCTGTCCGGCTCCGCGCTGATGGGTAGGGGTAGGGTAGGTAAGGTAGGGTTGGAAAGATGGAGAGACTAGTGTGTCTTTTACTCGAGTATATTACTCGAGTATATTGCTCGGTATGTTGTGATGTGATGTGATGAATGAATTGTATCTGTCTCAAGCGGCAAATAAGAAGGAGAATAAGTTGAAGTTGAATTTGAATTTGAATTTCAATTTCAATTCAATAATTTCCTTGCGCGTATCATCTCATATCATATCATGCCCAGTAGTAGCCTTGTGCTTTCTCTACTTCTAATCTGAGCAGTCTGGAAGCTGATCGTGTATGGATAATATATACATTTCTTTCTATTTCTCCATGCTCCTCCCCTTAAAATCGCGTATTGAATAGAATGATGCCCATCCATAAATAACCGTAGAAAATTCGTCATCGTTAAGCCGGTCATTACATACCTACTGTAGTTCCTCCACGCCTCCACGTGGTGTTTAGTACCAGATAAGCCGTCGGAGGACCCACACCCACTCGCAATGTTTCATCGTCCGATACTCCGCTTCAATCACCGCATACCGTACTAGCACCGCATACCATACCATAACCATGAACTCAAATTATCGGAAATAAAAGAATGACTTTGAAAGGCTATTTTTCCTTTTGGTGAGATTCTCTCAACATGCCCATTTCACACCCTCGACATCCTTCCCCATATCATCACAATGTTCCTCCCTCGCTTGCTGCTGATGCGTATCGTATTCCTCCACAGCCCAAGATTTGTAATCCCTCGGTTCGTTCTCGTAGCGCGTGATGGATTCACCCTGATATCTTTGATCTGCTGGTCCCTCATGGGATCCAGACGATGTAGACGAGGATGAATAATGGTGAGAGGTGTGTGAGCCATGGTAGACTTTTCGAGAGGTGGAAGATGAGGTCGGATTTGATTTTGAAGAGGTGGAGGGGGTGGAGAGGTATTGTTGGGAGGAGTTTGAGGAAGATGAGGTCGGGTTTGATTTTGAAGAGGTGGAGGGGGTGGAGAAGTATTGTTGGGAGGATTCTGAGGAAGAGGAGGTTCTTTGGCTTGAGGTGCACATTGTTGAGTAGGTGTTTTTAGACTTGGGTTTTATGAGATGGTGATTTCAGTTATAGTTGGTGAATCAATATGGTGATGAAGTGCCGAGGGTTCTCAGAATTGAAGTAATGATGTGAGAAAGATCAATGAAAATGGCGGTGGGTGCTGGTTTTGACGTGGTCAATGAATGCAGGTAGATGATACACAGAGCTGGCAATGTATATTTGCCACTGGACGTTGCATATATAGTAGGGGTATGGAAGATGATTCCAGCTATGACAATAGAAGTCTGATATCTTTGGAAGTTGAAGACCACAAGAAAGAAGTTGATGAATATGAAGGATGGGGAAAGACAAGCAAAGGGTTTTATATCTCCTTGGTGCCAAACGGATGATTGACTATCGATTCAACGGGTGTGCTTTCCCAAAAAGCTCCATGGATTACACGAGGAAAATGCCCCTTTCTATACCCGACTCGAGTAAACAACAATTGAGGGCACTGAAGAGGGTGAATACTATCCGCCTTCCATATCGTCGCCCTGGGGATCATCATTGGAAAAAGGGCGGTGAAAACGGGGAATAGCTACAAGATCGTTGACGACTCCGGCAATCGATCCCATAGGATACATTTGAGGTTGTTTGAAGATTTGTGGGCGCATTAAGTATCACGGCATAGGAAATAGGCATTTCTCCATGTTTCTGTATTCCCACACCAACCTCTTCTGAGGTTTTTGGAAATATTCGATAGCAAATGCCATGTCGGCATAAGTTTCGTCTCGGATAAAGGCGGATAGGAAATAGAAGTAAGAACGAAAACGGGCAATGCATGGTATACGGAGCCTTATAATTCTATGTACCTGTCGAACCTGCACACATAAGGCAGTATGAAATAGATTAGATTTGACTACTTTTTGTCTCAAATTTCGTGACACTTGAAATCATGAGAATATTGATATGGCGTTCGGGTGTAAAGAATGGTCTCGGGCCGGAAACATAATAGCTGAAGGGTCCCTAAAACAAGAAACACAAACAACAGCTGTTCATATTTTTTCGGCTCGTTGTGCTGCCTTAATTTGAAGATCGTGTTCCTTGGACTCCGGGTCCAGACTCCAGACCAAACGACGGTACAGGCCGAAGATAGGAGCAAGTGGTTTTTGTGTTCTTGTCCCCCCCCACGTGGGGTTTGCTATTGGAGACGGGAAAGGGTTCCAATGTAGTGTAAAAGAAAGAGTAGCTGGATTGGAATAAGTGATTGATTACCCCTCAAATAAGATGAGAGTGTGGCAAAGTTGATGCCCAACACCTCAAGTACCTACCTAGGTAGGTACCTACTGGTAATCATTTAGACTAGGATTTTGAAGGGCGGACGGAAGAGAAGGGCTAGCGCCGCTCAGACTTTTAGGTAGTCGTCGTCTAATGCAAAAAGATTAAAAAATTTGAAGCGGCAAGTAAAGTTCCGCCCCTCTTCTTCAAACCAGAGCCCCACCCAAAAACTAAAAGGTTTCCTGAAGAAAAAAAACACTCCACCCCGCTCTCCCGCTCCCAAGAAAAAAGCTTTCTCACCCAAAAAGTCTTCAAAAGACTATGTTCAACATTAGAAACCAGGAATGATCTGGCAATACTCTCTGACGGGGAGTCGAACCCCGGTCTCCCGCGATTTTGTCACATGAGTGATGACAAGCGGAAATCATGACCGTTAGACCATCAAAGATGTTGTTTTGTTATGATGGAAGTCGCTTGAGTAAGTATATAGAGAGAGTTTAAGTGGTCTGGAAGTGTGGGGCGGGGGGGTAAGCACGGACCTTAGTTTATCAGATTAGACCCCGAAAGATCAATCCACTCTGATACGATTCTATGAGAGAGTGGGAAAGTTGAAGGAGCCCGGATAACTACCACTTGTTATATTTTTTTATATTTCTCCCCCTGTGGCCGGATGGAGCGGCTTCATCTTTCTGTTTAACTTCCAACTTCAGCTGTCGATAAAGGACTCTAGTGGTGAGTCGATCTGCGCCGTCGTTTCTATAACTCTTTCTTTTGAGCGTCGGTGACGGTGACGGTGACGGTCTCCTCAATTTCACACTGTTGTCTTTTCAATTCTTTCTTGGTTTACGTTCTAAATTCTGCCACATTAGCTTCTTCTATGCATCTGTATTTACTAGGCATTCGAGAAATGCTCATAGTTAAAGCATATGCGACCTCTGATAATTTCTCGGTATAGTTGGCGTTTATAATATCCAAAGCAGTAGATAAAGAGGATGTGTTATTTGACGCAGAATCAGGTGTCTCATCAACCGTGGTCAGACTGCACTCTTATGCTAATGATTTGGAAAAGAGTTCATCACCAAGGTCTTGATCAGTGTCCTTGAAAATATCCACTATTTCCACATCCGACAGCAGAGTGGTGAGAGCAAGGATCTCATTGTATGTATATATAGCCTAGAGTTTAGTTGAAGACTCTTGACTCTTTCTTCGTGGTGCTATATGTACATCGGCTCGATCTCTGGATACCCAAAAAAGATCCAGTGCTCTTGATTGCTGGCTTTTAAATTTATTCTATCTCTACTTGGATTTATAACCCTATGGATCTCATATTCATTTGGTTTATTTAGTAATTTCCGTAGAGCAATATCGTAAGGATGTGCTCAAATACAGTCGTTGTAGCTAAACCTCACTTGTTCTTGGAAGTCTCCATTAACATTTCATGTGTGTCGTATCTTGGCATAACCCGTCACAACGCTGAGGTGCTGGGTGGACATTGAGCTGGAGAAACGTTTCTTTAAATGATCTGAGATTCTGTCTCCGTGTTCATCTGATAGACGTTCTTGTAATCAAAGTTTTTTTTATTTATAAAGTTATACGAGAAACAAATGGCTTGAACCAATTAGGAATGAAATATAAAATTCAGATCAAATTAGTTGCATTATTAGAGAATGAGAAGCATCGATAAAGAAGTCAAAACCGAAATGAAACCATACAGCACACCAGTGAGTGGCCCAACATCACTCCGTATACAAAAGAGTAAACTCGAGTGCGGGAGTAGGATCTTGAACCGTATACTCCTTTGTGCCCACGAGATTCTCAAACATGACTCCGGTATCGCCCACAAACACTGGGTTCAATGGATCCTCATCATTCATGATTTCGAGAATCACTTGTGTTTTGTCTGGTATGATGCCTTTCTTGACGGTACCATTTGTGGATTGCAATCTAAAAGTGAAGGTGGGAGGAACGTGCCAAGCCCCGTGATCTGCATCGGTAGACGCTAGGAGACAGGTGTTATGGTAAAAGCCAGGCATAACGGGTATGGCGGCGAGGTAGTAGGCGGCTTGAGGCAAGACGCCGCGAACCTGAAGCTGATAAGGGGTGTTGTATTTGATCTGGAATTATAAGAGTTAGCACATTCCAAATAGATGGGGAATTAGCTCACCTTTCCCATGTCAATTGGTTCAGATGTGACCTGGACCTGGAATGGCCACTTGGTCGGCTCCTCATCAACCAACTGCGTCACCCAAGGCTCCATACCTTGACCTGAGATAATAAATTTGACCAGCAATGATAACGAGGTTTTACCTTCCTTCTTTAAATGGGCCATATATTCGGGGTCAGCTTTCTCTTTCTTCATGATGTCATCAAGGAGAGATTTCACTAAATGTATAGTTAGCCATATGGGACTTATCTTTACCGTTTGACATTTGGAAGTCAAGGAAAGCCTCACATGCGATGTTTGAATCAATCTGCTCGAAATTAAGATATTTTTTCTCCTTGGTTTTCAAGAAAAACCTCGCGAACGACGTGACTGGCTTATCGCCATCGGACATTGACATATCCGTATCGGGGCTTATTTCAAATTTGGTCTTATACTTCAGGCAGTCTTTTAGGGAGATGATCAAATCTACCATTGATTGGAAGCCACTTTGCTATAGCCGATAATTAGTATGCAATGGGATCCAATGATTTGAGATTAGAGGCACACCTTCACCACTCGCCAATTGTATAAAGAGGCCACTGTAGAACACCAAGCTGGCGGACTATCAACCTTTTAGTCAGTCATAATATTCATATCAATCATATTGAAAGAGTGAGAAACGTACTTGTTACAGAGCAGAGGGTCGCCACCGTTAGCATGCCAAGTGATGGCATTATCAAGTCTGCTGAGAGTCGTCTGTTTACTGACGTCGGTGGCAGTCTCATGACTGGCACTGGCAGAAGCCTGCACGTAAGGCGATGAAAAGGATAGGGATGCTGCTGCTTTCATTGCTTTTGTCTTGGACTGGAAATCGGATCCCTGGACAGCCTGAGTCTCCTGCGAAAAGTAAAGTCGGCCTCCCAGCTCCACGCGGGTTGGGAAGAATTGACCTGGGATGGAACTGTCAATAAAGATCCTCAAAAGAAAGAAATAACTGGGGTTTTAGACAGATATTTCAGAATACGAACCATATTTTAGATGAAATATGTGCAGGCTATCCGCATCAACGATGGCATCTAGATCAGCTCTGCACTCAGGGGTTAGTTCCAAACTCTCCGCGTCAAGCTGTACAATAGCACGGGGGAACTGTACGCTTTGGTGTAAGTAAATCATCTAGCTAAAAAAAATAGCTCAATATGTATCAGGGGAAAACTCCTACATTGTAGTTTATGTGCATAGTTTTGTTTTGTTGAGCCCTGGCGGCTGTCAAGGCGTTTCTCTCACTAGTAGTATATGCCGCTTTGGCCCCTCCAGTCACACCGAATGCGCCGGCGCCACTTGATAGAGAAAGTCAGAAGAGTATGGTACCGATACCTTAGAAATGACTTACAATGAAACTTCCACGTCTGTTTGGGTGAATGAATGCTCTGCCATGGTGGTGGATACCGCGTTAGTTGTCTCGAAAACCTCAACAGATGATTGATCTGACACCCGGAAACGGGGGATACGGTATTCAGTCTACAGATAATGGAGTCAGCGAATTCCATTTTTAGTTTCATGGGCGTTGACTAATGGAGCATACTCTGGCTTTGATATCAGGGTCGATTGGAATCTCGTGGGTGAGCATTTGTCTCTTCACCACATTGAAAGCTAAGATATAGTCAGCTATAAGTGCAGATGTTAACCTCATATCCATTGGGGTGGGGTACCAGGAAAAATCGCCCTCTCAATAACGGGTATATATGTGACTGGATCCGTGGAAACATTGTCCGCTCGGATAAGATTGCCACTCAAGAGATTATTGAGTTAACTGAACTCAAGTAGCTTACTGTTCATATCAGACTTGAACAATACGCGTTGACAACTTGAACAACCGAAAATGAAATTACGACTGTTTGATATGTGATGGCCGCCGAGCCTAGACGTACTAGACATATAATTCTCCAAAATCTCAATGAGATTATTGTTATTCCATGGGCAATCAGTGGCTAGAATACGCTAGTATTAAACAGCCTGCGAACAATGCCACAATAATTCACGATCTCATCGGTAATAGAGTAAATTTCCATTGCTGATTCAATATAACTACAACCCCTCGACAAAACACTAAAAACTATAGACAAAGGATCAGAGAAGATAGATACCAGGTAAATTTAATTAACCTCCATGTGAAGTCATATTCCTATGCAAATCATCCAGAATAGGCGCATAAGTCCACTAGACCAATTCGAGCACCAAATTCAAGAATCTAAGCAGCGTCTCCGGGCTTGAAAACAACGATGAGTCTTCCCACGGTATTAAAAGTGCATGAAAAGTCGTGACCAAGTAGAGATGGAAAAGCATTTAAGAACAACTCGAGTGATAGCAAGAAATATCTAAGCAAAGCTAGCTGTGTTGAACCTAACAACCTTTGTGCACACTTATGCCATCACTCAAAGTGACGATGAGGAAAAGAAGACGATGTACTGTGTTAGGAAGAAAAATCTTTCAAGCACTGTACTATATACAAGTACGAGCACTTCGAATTGTCCAGACCTCTTATCAGTGATCACGCCTCCATCTCATTTTATACTGAAGATATTGAAACCCCATCTTCTTACTCCAAGACTCCCTATGTTTATTGAATACTCTGGTCTAGGTAAGATATACTCCGTAGCGAAAGAAATATCAATCCTACCAAAGCAATAATATTTCAGGGATGGAGTTTCACAAGGCGATCATGTGCTGGACCCTTGAAAGATCCCCACCAATCCCCTCGAGCCCCTCAATTTGATTGGAACGGACATCCGAACTTGAGATATACAAGTACTTGATACTTGGTAGCACCGGTACAGTATTTTTGTTGACTTCATTCGGATACATCTTTGACTAATTTTGAAGGATCAATCTGTCGAATTTCTTAGTCACGATTATTTAGTGTCATTGCACTACACTGGTAGCACATGCCTGTTCTAAATTTAGCATTTCTGACTCTCACCTGTCAGCAGTCCAGCATTTAGCATTTAGCATTTAGCATTTAGCAATCCGACAACCTGTGTATATATAAGCTATATCATAAAGCATCATATCCAGAACTCTCTATAGCACTCACCACCTCTCGATACCACAAATACCACGCCCACACAAAACAAACCATGGCATCCACACCTCACGACCCCACACTCCACCTCCCCCGGCTCCTCTGTCTCCACGGCGGTGGAACAAACGCCCTGATTTTCACCATGCAATGTCGCGTCCTCTCTTTACACCTAAAACCCTATTTCCGTCTTGTGTTTGCCGAAGCACCTTTTGAATCTGGGGCTGGTCCCGACGTCACAAGTGTCTATGGAGAGTGTGGACCTTTTAAACGATGGCTGGGTTGGTTACCCGAGCATGAAGTTATAGATCCACGTGATGAGGTTACTGCTATTGAAGAGAGTATTGAGAATGCGATGAGCGATGATGATGCGAAAGGGGCTATGGGGGGATGGGTAGGATTGTTGGGGTTTAGTCAGGGGGCGAAGATAGCCGGAAGTTTGTTGTTGAGGAGGCAGATTAGAGAGGAAGGGGGGAGGGATTTGGAGGGGCAGGATTGGAGGTTTGCGGTTTTGATGGCGGGGAGGGCGCCATTGATTAGCTTGGAGAGGGATCAGGATCGATGGGGTCTGGTGGATGAGAACGATGTTTTGACCTTACCGACTATACATGTTCATGGACTGAAAGATACGGGGTTAGACTATCATAAGGAGTTGCTTAAGATCTGGTCCGAGAAAGGAAGTGCGCAGCTGATTGAATGGGATGGAAACCACAGAATTCCGATTAAGGCCGGGGATGTTGAAGCTGTGGTGAACCCGATACTCGCATTGGCGAAGAAACTGGGAGTTTTGACAGTTGACCTTCCTGTTTGATGTAAAAGTATATCCATTCTTAGAACAGTTTGATCTTGGATCAAGGACTAGCGTTGAAGAGATATATTGGTATATAGAGATTCCACAATAGACTATTGACTTCATAAAATCTTCTCTCATTCTTGGCGTAAATTCGTTTGACTGAAGAGTGAATTGAGCATTGGAGATCATTCTTAGAAGAGCTGGGTATATGCAAATTCATCATGTATATCGCTGCATTTATCCGCTCAATACGCTCGATTTGTACTTGCGAATCTGCCTTGAACTCCAGTAGCCTCCAGCCAATAGCATATAAGTACATAGATTTAGAGATCATTTTCATCGATCGTCTAATCTGCCGTTTCGCAATGAACTTCCAAAGAGGGTATCTCGATCACCGGACAGACTAAGGACCACTTGCTTCAGCAATAACCTCTCCACCCTGATTTTCTTCTGCCTTTTGTCGTGCCTCCTCCTCCGGTGTCCTCGTCTTTAACTGCAAAGCATGAATGCCCCCCTCCTTCGCCATCTCCTCTTTCAAAAGGGCGTACACCATTCTGTGTCTCGCAGGTTGCATCTTTTTGGCAAACGCTTCCGAGGTGATGTCGACTCGAAAATGGGTTTCCTGAGATGTGGAACCGGCCATAGCTTGGTGATGTGAGTGTTTAGATGAATCATTGTATATATCAAGGCGGGTAGGTTTGAGCTCTTCCGTGAGCTGGAATGAAGCGTCAGTGGGCAAATTATTTGAAATGGAGGGGGGAAAGTACTCACTCGGGTGCGTATGATGTCTTCATAAGGAGTGTTAGACGTCATAATGGAGGATAGATATCGCCGTGAGACAGCGGGACGGATTATGCGGAGCATTAATAAATTGAAGGGTGAATGATAAGAGTTGGTTGGAATGTAACCTATTCTTTGATATTGAATGGATTGTGTTACATGACAGACAGCCTTGTCTATTGGGCAAGGATTAGAAAGAGCCTTGTGTGTATCTTAAGCTAGACTTATTCGGGAACCGGCCCACCATGCGGACGTTATCCGAGAACCCTTCCCGAGAATTAGTTATTCTCGCGAAAACCACAAGGCTCTTTGAAATCCTTATTCCAGATAAGAATATGTGAATGTTCATACGGCAATAATAACATGTTGGCATTTGCAAACATACATTCTTGCTTCACAGCAGACAGTATTCAAGGTAGGAACAGCAATGGAAAATCAGAGATTACTGTTCACATTGATCTCGACGACATAACCTCACCTATCCCCAGAATTCTAAACATATCCCGCATCCACTCCACTTCGGACTTCGGACCTCGGATGCTTAAGAGCAGCTCTCGCAGGCCCTCCTTGTATTTCAGTTTTGCCATCCAATGAACCACCCCCACCAATGCCCCTCCAACCCCCGTCGTCTCAATGTTCTGCATAAGAAGATCCTCATTATTCCTACCACGAAATCCATCCTCATTCCTCCTACCAACCTTCAAAGCTCCATTCACTCTCTTCTCTGCAAGAATGACATCTACCCTCCCAAAATTACCCCTCTTCGAAGCTATCTCAAATCATGAACCCAAATCTATATCGGTAATACATTCAGCATCCGGGAGACCCTTCACATATGGGCAATTACTACATGATGTCGCAGAAAGAAGAGACGAGCTTTTGAACGAGGCCGGGGGAAAAAGATTAGAAGGAGAAAGGATTGCTTTTCTTGTAGGGAATAGCTATGATTACGTGGGTGCGGAAACCAGAATATCCATATACACAAAGAATATAAATTAAGATAAGATACAGTAACTTTGCTCTCCATATTTGGCACACATTCTGTAGCCGTTCCGCTGTCCCCCGCATTTCCTGCCCATGAATTGCAGTATATCTTGGATCAGAGCGAAGCTTCAATGCTATTATCTTCCAACAAATTTGAGAATAAGGCTCAAGAGGTGATGAATAGTGATCTGAAGGCAAAACCTAAGCAAGTGAAGCTTGAGAAGAAGCTTGAGAACTTGGATTTTGGAAGAGTCACAATAGAAGGACCATCAGAAGGCAAAGGAGGAATGATGTTATACACATCAGGGACAACCAATAGACCAGTTAGTCCCCCAAGTGCTTCAGTACGTAACACACGCTTACAAAACTTAGAAAGGCGTCCTGCTTCCCCAATCCGTCTTAACAGCACAATCAAAATCTCTGATTGAAGCCTGGGACTACAGTCCTCGAGATCATCTGCTTCATGTCCTCCCACTCCACCACATCCATGGCATCGTAAACGCAATCCTTGCCCCCCTATTCTCCGGCTCCACAATCGAATTCTTATTCCCCTTCAATGCCACCGCCGTCTGGCAGCGCTTCGCTGCCCCATTTTTACCAAATCCTAAAACCAAGGAGCCCATTACATTTTTCACGGTCGTCCCTACCGTCTACAATCGTCTTCTAGCAACGCACAAAGATCTCCCCGCAGAATCCCAATCCGCAGCCAAAGAAGCCATCTCCCCCCGCAACCTCCGCCTCAACATCTCCGGCAGCGCTGCCCTCCCAACCCCCACCAAAAACGCCTGGTCCACCCTCTCCTCCAACAACATCCTCCTCGAACGCTACGGCATGACCGAAGTCGGCATGGCCCTCTCCTGCGGACTCTCCCCCGGCGACCGCGTAGACGGCAGCGTCGGCTGGCCCCTCCCCTCCGTGCAAATCCGTCTCGTCGACACCGAAACCCACGAGATCATCCTCCCCGGCGCCGAACTCGATGCCAACGGCAAAGAACGCGACGGAGAAATCCAACTCCGCGGCCCCACCATCTTCAAAGAATACTGGCGCAACCCAGAAGCGACACTTAAAGAACACGTTGAAGATACTGATGGCGGCGGTCGCTGGTTCAAAACCGGCGATGTGGCCGTGCGTCGCCGTATCGATAGCGCTGGAAAAAGCCATCAGGAATGGGCTCAAGGCCCCATGTATTTCATCCGCGGCCGTAAATCCGCCGACATCATCAAGTCCGGCGGGGAAAAAGTAAGCGCCCTCGAAGTCGAACGGGAAATGTTGTCGCTCCCCCAGATCTCAGAATGTGCAGTCTGTGCCGTGCCATCGGGAAAATGGGGTCACAAGGTTGGTGCGGTAGTGGTACTCGACGATGAGTATCTAGAGGGCAAGAGATGGGGTCCCTTGGATTTGAGAAGAGCACTCAAGGATCGATTGGCCGGATATAAGATCCCGCAGGTCATGAGGGTGGTAGAGCATATTCCGAGGAATGCCATGGGCAAGATTAACAAGAAGGAGCTGGTGAAGAGTGTTTTCGTCGAGGATGTTAGTGGGGATGACATGTAATTGGTGAACGTTTGTAAGATATGGGTGGTGTGTCAAGTGGGTTTAGGGTTTTAGACGTGTAGATAGATGTTTGACTAGAGGATAGGGGATAGGAATATTGTGATGACGGAAGCGAGCCATAGGCCGAAACAGACGACAGTTGTATATTTATTTACCACTTATATAAACTTCAAACGACAGCTAGCAATAGACACAAACTCAAGACTACTCGAGTACATATATTAATCTCATCACATGTGAGTAAGACCCACAATTTAACCTTCATCTCATCTCAATAAATATGCGTCTTTGATTTTGAATTCATGCCCCTGCATCTCTATGAACACTTCCGATATCATACCTGAGCCTATATTGCCCAGTGTGGAATAACGCCATGCATAAAATAACCACCACCAAAAGCAGTAGTGTAGTAGCAGAGCAATAAAAACGATATGGCATAAATACTCCCTTTCCCATAATTTTAGGAGACCAAGCTTAGGTATTGCCTTCAATAATGCATGCAAATAATGCCATGAAAACCATAAACCTTTGTTGAACCGCCTTCCATTTAGCCCTATCCTAGTTTCGTGGTATCCTCATAGAGGAGAAACCACGAGATCGTAACAAAGGTAAAGGAGAACCGTGTCTCATCTCATGTAATGTCGAAAGCGCCTAAACTGAATACTTGGCCTTGGCGCGAGTGCTTCCGCTGTGTGCACTATCGGTGTGACCGGAAAATTCGACGGCCTCGGATGCTGGAAGCTTCAACACTTCCTTGAATTTTTGACCGATGTTCATTAAAACCTCCTTGCCCTTATCGGTGGATCTTCCCTTGCCTCCTGCGACATCATCATCTCCACCTCCTGGAATGCTCTTGCCGATTGTGCGAGTCCAGACACCAACACGGTAGAATCCCTTTCTGACATTGACCACAACACCCATCAGCTCTCCATCATCCTCTCCCTCGAGAGTCTCTCCGATAGCCGCCAACATGACATGGAGCCAAAGTTCATCAATGGGGACGTTGCGCTTCTCCTTGAATTGGTATGACCACTTTCCTCCATGTTTGTTTTGTTGATCCTCCCATTCCGGTCGAACACCTTCCTTGAAAAGATGGTAATCAGATTTGAGGGCGAGTTCAGAAGTTGGTGCGATGTTGTTCTGCAAAAAGTCGTCAGCCAAGCCAAAGAAGAAGACAAAGACATTTACTTACATAGACACCCCAGAACTCCTCAACGGAGTTGAAAGTGATAACTTCCTTCAAGAGATCATTCCAGTTATCACCCTACATGAAACTATGTCAGTATTCGACCTATCAATCTCGATGGTGGATAGAACTACCTTTCCACTGGGTGGCTTGGTGAACCACAAAGTCCAGTTGTTCATCAAAGGATGCTTAACATTGAAGTTATCCTTGTCATGAAAGACGGTAATTTGTTCGCCATCTGCAGCTGGCTTGGAATTCTCATTTGAATTGCTGGCGCCTTCGGGTGAGATTGGAATGGTTGACAAGTCAACTTGTTCAGCAGCTGGTGCTGGTGCTTGTGCTACGACGGCTGCCATGTTTGTATTATTTTCGATGGGTGAAGTAAATTTGAGAGGTATCAAAGATAGATGGTAAGTAGAAGAGAGGTAAGAGGAGGTAAGTGGAATCGAGTCAATGCTGAGAAGGTTTGTAGAGGGTTTCCTGTGTTCTTGCAGAATTGAATGCAAGGCTAGTCGAAATTCTATTTCCGTGGCGGGGTGATGGATGAGTGAATAGCAAAGACAAAAAAATAGTCTTTAAGATGAGTTATTCTCGGTGGGTTTTACTTTGATTTGATTGATTTTGTTGCTCCAGGCAAACTATCTTAAAGTTATATGTTTTGAGATATCGTTCCCGTTCTTGTTCTCGTTCTCGTTTCGTTTAGATATTTGTTGCTTTTCCTTTTGAGTTGATAGCACTTTCTTAAATTTGTTGGAAATGCGATGCGACTAGACTTGCTGGCCCTTGCTTTTTGAAGGCTCGGCTCAAAAGTTGCTCAAGCCTTGGGGTTTATATAATGGAGATCACGTGATTGGGCATTTGGCCACTGGTCGGAGATTTGGTTGATTGATGGGGCTTCGAAGAAGCAAGAATCTATCTAGCGGATATACAATAACCGTCTATATATATGGAAAGATTCCGAAGAATATCTACGTCACTGACCAATAACATATGGAAAAATTATTTATTCTCTCCCGAATGTATTGATTGATATGATCTAGACCATCTAAATCTCTAGTGTAGTATCATGTATACTGAAGCAAATCCTAAACGCCCCGCTGTGATATGATTATGATGCAGTACCTTTAAAAGTCTATAGAAGTCGAGATCTGCTGAAATCTACCATGCCCGTTTTGTCCAAAGTATACAATCAAACCCCTTTCTAATCATATATGCACATATTCTAAAGTTCCTTAACCTTCTCTACCACTTTACCAACTGTGATATCCGACTTGCGACCGTTTAAGTAACTGAGGTAGCAGTTCCAACCCAAAGAGACGATGTTCACAACCAAGACTCTGTGCTCAAGAGGAACGAGTTTGAAGTTGACAGCTTGAACAGCAGGCCAGATCATATAATTCTTTTGGAGGGCGGTAGTGTAGTTTGTTTCGAGCTTCTTCTTTGGATCGGTTCCCTCGAGGACAGACATGGTAGTAAGGAACACGCCCAAACTGATAGGTGCGACAACACATTGATCTGCCGCGACTCGAGCTGCCATTTCGAGGTTCTTGTTCTTTAAGACGATGTGGGTTTGGAGGAATTTGAACCATTTGGTAGCAAGTGGACCGAAGATAGCTACGCAAAAAAAGTTAATCATCAATGTCCGCTTTGCATACTGTATCAAGCTCTTTTCTACATACCACCGCCATACAATGCCATGCGACCTGTGCGAACAATCTCATGGTCTTTGATACCCTTTCTTTCAACCAATTGTTGTGCCAATACATCTCCAGTTGCGAAAAGAATTGCCGTTGTCACACTCTGAGTAAGGACAGGGCGAGCTGCCAACTTCATTTGATACCTGTTAACATTGATGTTAGCTATCGATTTGGGAACTAACTGAGACAAAAATAATTATGATATCAGTGATTACACAAGAGATAAGAGAATGCTCACCAGCGCAACATCTTGTCAATTGATTGTCAAAAATTGATAGACTTTTAAAGTTATGTTCCTGTTGTTTATATTTGGATATCGATAAACAGAGAATCAAAAATCAACCCAAGCAAGTCAATGATTATGGTTGTTCGATTAGGGTTGTATGTATTTCCAAGACCTTTCAGACCGATAGCAAATAAATAATTATTATCTGAAGATCCCCAGCAGGGATATGTAACGCTAGTAGGGGTCAGGGCTATACTGACCTCGGATTATCGGATTATTTGTCGATTCGCTACACTGAAATTAAGCAGCCCCATGTTGCGGAGAAGAAGGCTAATAATGTTAAGGGGAGAATGTCTCTCTCCTATACCAGACTAGTGAATTCGATAATTGCAAATGTCGTCTCAAAAGATGGCAAGGCTATGTTATATTATTGTACTCCTGAATGAACAATGACAAGGAGGAAGCTGAAAGACCAAGACAAAAGTACCAAGCAATACGCTATTGGAAAGGGGGGTCAGTTCAAGCAAGTATTTGGTAAGAGTGAAAAGAACGAATCTTGTTCATTATGTGCGTTATTATCTATATCTTGTTAACATTCTATATACTTCTCATGCTTCTCATTATTCGATTATTCTATAATTCTTCATGGAACATTACCTCCGTTCTTCATCGTTCATCTAATGATTAAACCTGCTCACCTCTTCACCATATCTTGCAGGCCTTAGAGGCTTAGGTTGTGGCTATGTACGCATCTAATCACCTAAAGAGTTTGTAGTCTCTTCCACCTCAGGTTATGTTTCATAAACAAAACGTTCTAGGTAGCGGCGTTCAGATACAAAAACTGAGCGGAATTTTGAAGTAACCGCTGGTTTTAATATCCAACAGCATCGACCGTCTCCTCTATACTCATACTGCGAGCAACATTACATAATTTCGCTTGCGAATTTACTTCTCAGGCGAATGGTCGGTCCGTAAATGGTCAATACCCAAGGTACGACAGTCAACAAAGCTCCAATACCACCCAACAATGATGCTGCTCCTTGGAACGTGAGATTATTGAACATGATGGTTGTAATGAGGGGAAATATTCCGCCCATTATATTACGACAGAAGCTCTGAGCCGCAAGAGCCGATGACGCATATCGATGATAAGTGTCTGCGAGATAGTTGAACGTTGCAAGATATATGGAATAGATGCCCATAGTCGCGCAACCAATAGCGAGAGTCGGGACTATCCAAGGAATGGAGGAGAATTGTGTCCACTAAAACGGTCAGTCAAATGGCTTCTGGTAGAACAAATAGCACTTACACCAAACCAAAAAAGACCGATAGGCAATAAAGCCGATTCGAAACAAGCAAAGTATAGTCTCGCCTCTGGGGACGAGAAATCTATGTTCCTTCGAATTATGCCTGGATTCTGTACATTCTTGGACGACCAATCGAGGTACCTAGCAAGCCATCTATCTTGATAGATAGAGACGAACGTGGATATTATAGCCCCAATCGACATAGCAGCGAATATTGCACCCGATTGTTGAAGATCAAAGTCATGAGAAGCCTCAAACACGAGGGGAATTGAACCACTAAGAAGGTTAGGTGTTAGCACATATATGAAACGAAAATTTCATACCATGGTATGGAAAGTAACTTACAAGGTCAAATAGAGCACCGCCCAAGCGAAGGCAACCCATAAACTGAAGAAAAATACTACGGGCTCTGTGAACAAAAGGTGAAATGGGCGATATAGAGAGATTTTAACCATTTGTAAGAGCGATTCCCTTTCTTCGTCCGACTTAACCTTCCATCTGATTCGCAGTGACACGAATTTCTCATCTGATGTCGACGTCGGCATGTCAATACCAAAGAAGCCTGCCTGCTCTCGAGCTTCGTACCACTTGTTCAAACATTGTGCTTTCTTACTCAACAATATACTACCTCTCGTCTCTGGAAAGAAAAGAATTATGGCCTAAAAAGAACAAACATTAGTATTTCCTTCGTTTTGAGCTTGGAATTGACTCAAAATTACTTACAACAAGCAGGAGTCCATTTGTGATAACCTGCACCCAAAAGATCCATCTCCAAGATGTGTTCTGCGCGATGAAGCTACTGACCAATGGCCCTAGACCAGTCCCGAATAGTGCTGCGCCAGAGAACAAAGACTAATTTCAGGTTAGTTGAAAATACCTTTACAAGTTTGAGGGTGGCTATTTAGTTACCATGGGTGTATTGCGACCCTCTTTGTGATGAATGTCGCTTATGACCCCACCAACCATTGTTGAAAACACAGAGCTTCCACAACCAACAAAGAATCTGGCAACCAGCATGCCGGGATAAGATCGAGTCACCGCACAGCAAATCTGAGTGATGAAAAATAGCGCGCCAGAAGCTACAAAAATCGGCTTCCGTCCATTCAATTCGGAAAAGGGAGCCAAAGCCATGGGAGCAATAGCAAAGCCAGTACAGAAAGTTGTAAAACCAACCAGAATTGCAACGTCTGAAACGTGCCAAAGTTCTGACAGTTGCTTGACAGCTGGAGAGTATGCACCTGCGGTGAAGGCCGTGACCAAAGTTGCTATACAAGAAAGGAAGACGGTGAACCGCTTGCGGCTCTCTGGCCAATCGAATGGTGATGTATACTTCTTCAAGTCTGGCCGCGCTGGTGCCGTTTCTAAGGAACCGGTGGATGAGATGATGCTCGTTGGTGAAGGGATTGTCGTTTCGAATGTCAGGTAATGATAAACGATTGGACTTGAGCCATGAAGTGCATCCGTCGTCGATGGATTCATGGTAGAGAGACCATAAATCTCTGACCTCTTTTGCCCATCATCATCCGTGGTAGATTCAGATAATGAGGTTTGCCTAAGATCACCACGAGATGGCATATCCAAATCTGCGTCGCCCATGTGTGTTGCTCAAGATTATAGAGCAAGACTGAGTGTTCCCAGTGTATTCTTGTTTTCAGATTCGATGGCAATGAGTATCGAGCTTTATACAAATAGAAATATGATGCAGCACAGCAAAAAGTAACGACTCAATGGAATCGAAGAAAGCAAATATTGATTAAAATCTGAATTTAACACTTATTCCCATGAAGCCAGAACATTTTGGTGGAAGCGAAGCTTTTCCGGTAGATCCTCTCCGACTTAGGCCACGATAAGATAGATGACCCGTCTCTTCCCAGATATCTGGCTGTAGAAGTGCGCTGTCTACACTCGACCTTGAAAATAAATTCTTATTCCCGAAAGAAAGTTGTCAAGGTGGGTCGGGTCAGTCTTCCTCGGATAAGTGGAGTATTGAGGAAGGGGCATGCAGAAATATCACGTTTTAATGCACGTGATAGCATCGCCAAAAGAGAAAAAAAAGGTGCGCCATGATTGCGCCCTATCTATATTGAAGCCATAAACAGATAAAATCAATATATCGAGCTCTAATATAGATGAAGTATTGAAATAATGCGGCTTATCATTTTCGAAAGAGACTCTTCGATGTGGTCAGCTGGTTGCCAACTTGACTGTTTCAGTTACATCTTCAACCGTGAGTAGATCATAAGGATGATCAGCTCCATGCCATTGCCACCCACGATTACTCGTACTATCGAATAACATCGAAAATGGTTGCGAGAATAGAGAAAAAAGCATTTTCCAGTAATCAGAAAGGCTACTTGCCGCTACTTTATGATATTCTGCAGGTCGTAGGTGCAGTCGATATAACTTCACTAAAAGTTTGGCTGCTGCATCACTGCTCTTCGCGCTCATGAATTGGCGCTTACGAGTTGGCGTCTACGAGTAATGGGTGGGATTTATTGGATCAAAAACCCTCCATACCTTGTAGGTAGCGGATCGCAATATTGGTATGGCATGGAGGGGTCAATTCGATCTCTCAGCCTTGTTTAATCGAATAAGATCATTTAAACAAAGGGAAACCATTGCTTTTTGGAATACATACCTACCTACTCGAGTAGGTAGTGATTCATTACCCCTTCTTTTCTTCGTTTACATTTCTTATCAATCTTGTCTTTATCTTTATCCTTTCACCTCACTCTCCATTTCTTTCTCTATCTCTTTCTCTTTCTAGACAAGTGAGTGATATTGAATTGTTTATACAAGGCCACCAAAACGCCAATCCCTTAAGATGTGATAGGAAAATGATAGCCGCCAATCAGATAGTCCGGATATACCCCTCCAACTTCCCCTCCCTAAACCATATCCGGTTTGACAAGTTCGACAAGGCCGATGGCGTGATAACTCGTCTTAAAAACACAAAAAATGATTAAGTAATAGATAATAAGGCATCATTTTATCGAAGAGTTACCGTAAGTCAATTTCCTTTAATAAAACGCCCTTCCCTTCATTCAAATCTTAACTAGATCTTGATACTCGACTACATCATACAAATCTCCTCCCAACACACAACTCAATCAATCAAACACTCACTACACATTCAATATGGCTGAAGAAAGAGCAACCCCGTAAGTCTACCTCTTGATTACCTCACGGAAGAATAGGTCCTTTCTCTCGCCTTCTATTCCTTGACATGAGTGCCATAACTCTCCTTTCTTTACTTGGCAGCAAGTCGTCTGTCAACCTTTAGGAGGAAGTCCAGAATGCACTTTCGAATACACTTCTACTATGCCGTCTCTCTATGGATTCTACTAAACAGTGCATAAAGCCTCCGCCTAGGATCCATCGCCCCAAACTTCAAGGCAGAGACTACCACTGGTCCCATCGATTTCCATGAGTTCATCGGTGACAAGTGGGTTGTCTTGTTCTCCCACCCAGAGGACTACACTCCCGTTTGCACCACTGAACTCGGTGCCTTCGCGAAGCTCGAGCCAGAATTCACCAAGCGTGGCGTAAAGCTCATCGGTCTCTCGGCAAACACAATCGAATCACACGGTGGATGGATCAAGGACATTGATGAGATATCCGGAAGCAAGCTTACCTTCCCAATCATTGGTGACAAGGAGCGAAAAGTTGCCTATGCATATGACATGTAAGGATCATTCACGATCCTCCTTCAGCTATAGATCGTGTGCTAATAAGATAATCAGGCTCGACCACCAAGATATTACAAACATTGACTCCAAGGGCATTGCATTCACCATCCGATCTGTCTTCATCATCGACCCAAAGAAGACGATCCGCCTCATCCTCTCTTATCCAGCTTCCACTGGCCGTAACACCGTCGAGGTTCTCCGTGTTGTTGACTCCCTTCAAACTGGTGACAAGCATCGCATCACCACTCCTATCAATTGGATTCCAGGTGATGATGTGATTGTTCACCCTGGTGTCAAGAACGAGGAGGCCAAGACTCTTTTCCCAGATTTCCGCATTGTTAAGCCATATCTTCGATACACCCCTCTGCCAAAGGAGAAGACATCTGCGGCCGTTTAAAGCTTGCGAGGACTGAAACTATAATTTGATAAAGGGGTCCCCAATGAATGATATATATGACAAATAATGATTTGATCAGTGAGCGGCCTGGCGAAGTCTCCCGACAACTTTGACAAGGAGTATTTAAATAAGCACAACCAAAATAGAAAAAAAAAGTATCAAAAGTCTAAATGCTCTCTAAACCCCTTGTGTTTTGCCTACATACCAAATATTTATCTCCGAGATGGTTTCCGATAATACAGAAATAATCTATTTGTACTCCACCGGTTGGTACCCATTTTTAGTCTAATTGTCGCTCTTTACGACGGTCTCTATGAAACCTCAGAATCTCATTGATAGGGTAGTAGCCTACAATATGTAGTCACATAGCATCAGGCTCTAATGCACCGTAGTAATCAATCTGAAGCAGACGGGGCTGAAATGTCTCCTTTTTAATATAAGTATTTATATATACATACAGTGCAATATTCTTTCTAGAAACTTTTAGAGGATCCTACTTTGCAACGGACAACCACGTGGAAAAACTACACTATCATCGGATGAACCCCATATCCCTTCCTTGCATTTTGACTCAAATAGGACTTTCGCACTCGAGGTTCAATCAGATCCAAGTACCAAGCCCTAACATGTCCGAGGTATGATAACACTGTAAGGCTATGGTACAAATGCAAAGGTCGGTGAGCCAACAAAGAAAAGAAACAACAAACCACGCATTAGAGATTGTAATCTATTTTGCCATAATTCCCATAATTCCCATAAAAGTGTAAAATTCATATTATTTATTTATATTATCGAAACTTCGAGATCGGCATTCCAAGGAGTAGGAAGTGGGCTGGAACCGCAGAAATTCCATTCTTCTGGGTCTCGGTTCGAGAAGTTATCTAATAATTCTAATAATAAGGCGGAGATTAGGAACCCTGGCTTGTGAGTTGGGACAGAACGGACAAAATCGCGTTTGCTTCGTACAGAAGAGAAGAGTTCTAGTAACGGTACGAGGTCTGAGACCGTAAGTTCGGGTTGCTTATCCGATCTGACAAAGTCATACCCTACCCTATAATCTGGAGATATCGGCGGAAACACCACATCGAGCGGAGAAAAGGTTCAATCATTCGACTACCGCGACTATCGAGCTGGTCGGCGCTCTAGATTACACTTTGCGAACTATTCTACGGAAGGACGATCGACTTTCCCCGTTATTCTTGTCGTGTAATCTGTGCGGCGAGTGGATCTCCTGTCTTCTCCTTACAACAAGAAATAGTCTCTCCCTGATCCTGGGATTACATTTTGGGAGAGTCTTGACGAGGCCGAGTATTCTTTTCGGAGAGCCCTTGCTGTTTTTTTGGGTCCTTTTAAGGTAAGCATCCATATCCACACGCACGTCAAAACGAGACCTGTTGTTGTTGATGTCTCTTTGCGATTGTTGATGATTTGCTTTTTGTCTTTCGCAGCATGATTCAACATGTCGGATCCGCTAACTCTTCGACCGAAAGACTCTACAGAGTCCTTGTACATCTCCGAATCTTCGACTGACGACGAGGGCTTGGACTTCAGGGCGGAGCCGCCAGAGAAGACCGACGGTGCTTTCCTTACGGGTGTGCGGAGGGGACTCAAGAAGCTAGGATCTGTTTCTGGTAGCCGTGGTCGACCTTTTAATATTCAAACGAGCAAAAGCTCTACACCGGACCTCTATCCACGTTCAGCAAGTACCGACCGATCCTTGATATCGCAGCATGAAAGGAAGTTGAGTGGTGCGAACCTCGAAAAGCCTCTTCCAACCCTGCCAACGACACCTACATCCCCGATCGTCGAAGACGCTCCGGGCGACCCCCCTGACACACCAAAAACTCTAAAGGCTATGTCGCGACCTGCTCCGACAGGTAGTAGAATCAGCACGTTAGATTCTACGAGCGCTCTTCAAAATCCCTCTAGCGGATTGAGGTCGACCTCGGGCACATCCAAGGTGGATATGAGCAGTAGTCAGACTAGTCTCCCTAGCAGACAGGATAGAGGTGCAGGGGCCGAGGATAATCAGGAAAATGTTTTGACGCCAAGGAGCAATGGACCTCCGTCGGCCGTACCATCTCCAGCACAACAGCCTCGCTCTTTGGCAGCTGGTGGAGCTGGCACTTCTGGAACAACGCCATCGACACATTTGTCAGGTCTCATGTGTAACGTACACCGAACCACTGGCAAAGAACCCCATCCCTTGGTCGGCGCTACAACTACAATACTGGGCGATAAACTTTACGTATTTGGCGGTCGAATTCTATCCCGGACGCGTCCTTCGCTGACAGCCGACTTGTACGAGCTTGATTTGATACAGCGGCATTGGACAAAGGTCGAAACTACAGGGGATATACCACCACCGAGATACTTCCACAGTGTTTGCGCCCTTGGCGATACCAAACTGGTGTGTTACGGAGGAATGTCCCCGGCTCCACCACAGAGCCAGGCCCAAATGGCTGCATCTGCGCAAAGTGGTCAGGATGCCCAGCCAGAGGTCGTCGTGATGTCTGACATTTATATATATGATGCACCATCAAGAATATGGAGTTTTATACCCACAAACGATACACCGCAGGGAAGATATGCTCACTGCGCTACTACACTTCCTTCATCGGCAGCATTTGCTTCCGCACATGCCCCTTCTTCCGCACTACATCACAATCCTCAAGGCCCAAACCCCAATCAAGGTGTCATAGGAGTCAATATAGATGGTGCTGGTGGCGCTGAAATGGTTGTTGTGGGCGGTCAGGACAGTGCCAATCACTACATTGAGCAGATTAGCGTCTTCAACCTACGCAGTCTGAAATGGACCAGCACTCAACAGCTTGGAAAGAGCTGTGGGGCATACCGTAGCGTTGTAGCGCCTCTTCCAAGCCACGTTTCTGCAAAAATAGGCAAGGCAACGCCTAACAAATCAGATCATAGTGGATCGAGTCAAGATTCACGGGAGCCTGGGTCGTCAATGCTGATTTATTCTAATTACAACTTTTTGGATGTCAAGTTAGAGTTACAAGTCAGAGCTTCCGATGGAACTCTAGTAGAAAAGCCCATGCACGGATCATTTTCTCCTCCCGGTCTTCGATTTCCAAATGGCGGGGTTATCGATACCAATTTCGTGGTTAGTGGGACGTATCTCACTTCCTCAAAACAGGAGTATGCATTGTGGGCCCTCGACTTGCGAACTCTCACATGGAGTCGCATCGACGCTGGTGGCAGTGTCTTCAGTCAGGGCAGCTGGAACCGTGGAGTTTTGTGGAATCGAAGGAATACATTCGTTATCCTTGGTAACCGAAAGCGAAGTCTTGTCGAGGATTATAATCATAGACGCATAAATTTTACTAATGTTTGTATGGTCGAACTTGAGGCGTTTGGATTGTATGATAACCCTCGAAAGGCAGCACCTATGTCAGGTTTTGTCTCGGCCAGTTCGCCTTTCACAACCCCTTCATTAAATATCAGCAGCAAACCAGCAGGGTGGAATGCAGGTGGACGCACACTTTCGAAAGCGGCGGAGGAATTAGGACAAAGTGCTTTAGCTCTCAGAGAACTGGCTGACATGGACATTCTTTGTGTCGGCGGTGAGCGTATCCCAGTGAACTCTCGCATTATTGCAAGAAGATGGGGATCATATTTCGTCCAATTATTACGCGAGGGTACAGCAACACAAGACGGCAACGACGCCGCTACACTACGTCCAGACAATCTCTTTCGCCATAATCCAAGCAGGAATAGTAGTGTTACTATTACACCTAGTCTCGGTGCGCAGTCCTCAAGTCTTTCTACTTCATCAACTTTGAATAGCTCTTCTCTATCGGATCCCGCGGCTCTCGCTCTCCCTCCCGACTCGGGTACATTACCACCTAATTCCAGGCCGCGGACACTCTACCTTCCTCATACACAGCTCACACTTCAAGCTTTACTCAACTTTCTATATACATCATCTCTTCCTGCAAACAATTCTCCACTCTGCACCCCGCAGATACTCTGCAGTCTATTGCAATTAGCACGACCATACAAAATTGATGGTTTACTGGAAGCTGTCGTAGAGAGGTTACATGGTGTGTTAGATAGTAGGAATGCTGCAGCAGTTTTCAATGCTAGCGCCATGGCCGCTGGAGGTGGTCGTTCTACATCAACAGCCTCAGATATTGCAGATCCCTGGAGTCTCAACAGGCTGTCTAATGGGGCCGAGACCCTCATGCAGCTTGGACTTGATAACGAAATAAGCTCTCACGCCCCACAATCCTTACGAATCAATACCAGTGTTGGTAACCTAGGGACTGGCCAGGGCGGGAGAAGACAAGACGATGAAGAAAGCATGAGTGCGACAAGCAGTGTTGCAAGTGATATCAGTGGCAGTGATATCAGTGGAAGCATTGACACATCGGAATCTGGTAGAATTAATAGTGTTGGAGAAATTTGGAGGGGCGATATTAGTGCTGTTATTGGACTACAGAAGAGAGGTCTCCGAGGTTTGATGGAAGGCAGAAGACTTCGAGAGAGGAGTGCTAGCGTAAGCGCAGCCTCGTCGCAAAGAGTAGGACTGGGGATTGCAAACGGTTAATATGCAAATAGCTAGCTACTACGCTTTATGAAGATTAATGACAATATATAATGATTTGCTTGGCGTTATATATCCTATACGAGTACTCACTCAAGTAGACCGCTTGCCATATCAAGGATACTGGTCTGGTTGGGCCAAAACTTTTGCTTGTAATGGATCCTCATGTTTAATATCTTGCAAAATGTTTGAGATTGAGAACTCTTAAGAGTGCTTTGAAGTGAAGATCAAAATGCACATGCTATCAATATATGCAAGCATGCATGCAGGATGGAAGATCCCCCACTACGTCACCGCTTTCATCACCCACCATTAACCGGCAAAATATTTATTTGGTTTGCCGTCATCATCAATAATGGTTGCGACCTAATATATAAAACCAGAATTATAGCATTTTATAGAAGATTTGACTATTCAGACAATTACTACCAGTTTAATTTCGCAGCTTGATTCCCATCCAAGATTTTTCTTGCTTTTACCATACAACACACGAAATCCACGCAACAAAACCCAACGAAACATGGCAGAAAATTACATTCTGCAGGTCACGGCCGGCTCAGAATATGATGTTAGGAAACATCAGATTGTGCCAGTCAATCAGGCAAAATGTATTAGGATTGAGAATGAACTTTGTGAGGTGGATTTGAATGTTCGAGTTCAAGTGTGTGACCGTTCTTCAGTCAAGTCTACTTTGGGCTTTTGAATCGTCATATGAAGTATGGAGTATCGCGAACACTAATCATTTCTCCCTCTCCCATAGGATTATCGCGGACTCCCCAAAGCCTCCCCCAATACCTCTCCCTACTTCGATCTGCCGCCGCACGATAAGAATAAAGATCAATATAGTATTGGATTTCGATTTAAGCCGAAACAGGATATCAACGCGGAAGATTTGGTTTTTGGAAATGATTTTGATCATCCGATTAGGGATCGTTTGCCCCCGGGGTTTAGTACGGCGTTTAGGATTGTGAAGTGGGTGGTGGATCCGGGGTTGGATGGGGATGTTTATGCGGATGAACCGTATTTGTATGGGCCGGCGGCAAGTTCGTTTAATGTGTTGTATGTTGGGGATGGGGGAGATGGAGAGGGAGTGGGGGATGAGGATGCGGGGTTGGTGTTTGAGGAGGGGGGCGATGAGGAGGGCGAGGATCATAGAAGGGAGTGTGGGATTCCTGAGGGGGAGGCGGCGAGGAAAAAATACTTCTTGACGGAAGCGAATAGGAGGGAGTGGGATTGGGAGGAGGGGAGAACTTATGGATGTGACTTTTTTAATGCGTATTTGGATTTTAATAGTAAGTTCGGGGTGACTGTTTTTATCCTTTCCGCATATAGTGAATTTGGCACTAACGCTATATCTTTATCAATAGGTTTCTCTCTCAAATTACCAGGCTTCACAATGCCGATAATGAAATACTGGGATGGACAAGGTCTCCGGTTAGTGATTTTTCGATTTCCCCTTATCTTCTCATGAATCAATTGTCGTGGACATATTTTTGCAGAGTGTTTGATCTTTCATGCCAACGCTCTTTTGTTTTGATACTAGGAAAGAGCAAAAGCGCTCACATACGCTCAGATACGTGCTGAAAAATCGCAAGACGGGAGAAGTCTTGCTCGTGGTTCTCTTTACGCTGTATCTCAAAGAGGACGTGGATGAGAATGGGAAGCTAAAGGATGGTGTGGAGGGGGGTAAACCTTTTGATCAATTGCCTAAGGTGGTTGCGGAGAAACATTTGAGGGAGAGGAATGGGGAAGGAGGGGATGGTGGGGAGAAGGAAGTGAAGGTGGAGAAGGTAGATAAGGTAGAGATATCTACTAATGATGATGAGGATATTGATTGAGGTGATGATATTAGGGAAGGAACCTTGCATACAGAAAGAAAGAGGCACAATTTAAAGATATTATATAATGTAAGATAAGTACTCGAGACTCGAGTAGATAGAGTAGATATCTCCAACAACTAAGAAAGCTGGAAAGCACAGTACACAGTACACAGTACGTGTATACTGGTACTGTAACTCGAGGAGTATCGCGATTCATACGATTATACCCAATTAGCAGGTTAAAGAATGACCCCGCACATATTATAATACTCGAGTACAAAGTATCAAACTCCAAGAATTACAGATATCTTTGGGAGAATATACTGGTATATTCGATTGAGTATATATATGCGGATAGTAGTGTTTGAGTTGTAATTAGGTAGATTGTGAAAAGATAAGATTAGTCTGAGAGTATTCGTATATTGTTGCGTATATATTATTGATTTAAAAACAGATGATATATATAAATGACCTATTAAATAATCTGGGACTGAATTAAATAATAAATAAGGGGTTTTAATGATTGATTATTATCACTGATGTGATTTTACTGTTGTTGTTTTGTAGGTTTTATTGATATTATAACTCGAGTAGTGAACACCGAAAATTAAATTACCAGGGCGGGAAATTCAACTTCAACAATCAATCACAATTCCATATTCCCCCCATCTCCCATCTCATCCCCCATCCGCATTCCCAAATAAATAAAACAGCAACCCAATTAAAATCATCAATCTACCTTTCAAGTTTATACATTTCCATTTCTCCTTTTCTTCCATTTTTTTCCCTTTTTCCTTTCTTTTTGTTACCCTGTTCCAAAACACATGAATTGTGAGGCAACCTCAGCAGCACTACGAAGGATTTGTCGTACGCAGCCAGCGCAAAACCTCCAACAACGAGTACAAGAAACAACACTGCCCACTCATACAACTGCCGTCCTAATCATCATATAAACAACCGTACCACCACATACTAAAGTTTCTCCACGACTTTCTACACCTGATCAAATTCTACCACCTTAGTTCCTCTGGTCTTGGTTATCTTCGAACATCCACTCATATCGTCTTGTTACTTACAGAACGATACGTCCTGATTTCACTCTCACCCAACCACCCACCCACCATTTCGACTCCACCTTCACTTCATCCATGATTGATCACGAATATCGCGCGTAGAAGAGCAGAAGCAGAAGCAGAAGCAGAAGCAGAAGAAGAAACAGAAGTAAAGAAATACATTAACATGCATTCAAGCCATCCACCGCGAGAGGATGAGCCCAGCCAGCATTTATTCCCCATCATGACAACCGCTTCTACCCCAGCTACCCCAGGTCCATCCACACCAACAGTCACGCGAGCACCCTCTATAGATCATACCAAGGTCGATGACATTCGGAATATTGAGAGGCCAGCATCGACACCATTTCCGCGACAACAGTCTTTAGATGGAGAGATTGTAGAGCGACACGTCGAGCCGGATATTCTTGAATGGGTAGAGCCTGCGCCGATTCAACGACAAGCCCTAGATTCAGGTTCACTCTTGTGCGACCTTCCCGTCGAAATTCACGATTGTATTCTCGATCACTTGTTCGGTTTCAGGGCTGCGGCGTCTGCGAGAGTTATATCGGGGAGGTCTAAGGTTCTCCGAGGTTGGGGTACTGCGTTGAGACATTCAAGACGTCGTGAAGTCTCGGAGTTGGCTCTTGTGTCTCCTCAATGGAGATATCTTATCCAAGAACGATTATATAGACATCTCAAGATTAAGGGAACGAGGGATTCCATTCAGCAGTCATTGGAGTGGTTTTATACCCATTCACCTTTGTGTGCGTTTGTGAAGCATATTGAAATATGGTTTCCAGTATTTCAACAGAAGAAGTTACCTTTGGAACGAAATTTACGCATACCTCCGACCAATCCAGATCGTTCTACCCTAAATCGCACACTTGCACATCTCGGCGCAGAGCCTACGAATAGTGTCACATATCAGACCCCAGATAATAATTGCACCCTGTCAGAAATCTTCCAATTTGTTCGAAATATATTTCCGGAAGCCTGTATCTTGACTTTAGAAGGCGGAGAAAGAAAGAAGCCCCCTCAAGTTCAACAATTCCTCCCGAACGAAACCACATTACAACTTCCCACCATCGATACCATTAGAACACTGGTCTGCAAGGGACAGTGGAATATCATACGCACGAATGAAGATTTCCAGACTATCGCGGCAGCATTACCGAATCTCAATGAATGGCATGGATCTTATGCCAAACCGAAGTCGAAGGCATATCTCTGTATCGCGCAGATCACTCCTCAAATACCACAGAATATTACACATCTCAATCTCTGTCTTGAGAACGACTATCGCAGAGAAGCTGTATCCCCCGCTTTCTTCAGGAAAGTTGCCCAGCAGACGCACTTCTGCGATGAACTGGCCAAATCGATCCCAACTCTTGAGCACTTAGCATATACCGGGAGAGTTTGTCGTGGGTTTTTCGACACGGCGGCTAAACTTTCGAATCAACGTACCACTAAACTAAAGAGTATAGAACTTATTGTCAAAAATTGCTGTCGCCCTGTTCAGCAGTGGAATGATGGATCTGGTATAAGTGACATGTCATTCATATCAGCGTTCGAAGCATTGGTTTTATCGAGTGTACGAGCATTGGACAAGTTGGCGGCACTTGAGTACCTGAGGATTAGATTCATAGATCTTGGTGAGTTTGAGCATACTTCTTGTCGTCTTGGTGATGTTAACGGTGCTATAGAATCTCATATCCCGCCGCTCAATCCGTATTTTGAACTCAAAAATAATCGATGCACAGGAATCTGGAGCTCAATAATCGTCGACGCATTGGCAAAGAGTAGACCAAGCGCGTCATTCGTAGAAAAAGCAGAAACTTTGGGCGAGTTGGAGGTTAACAAAGATGGACAATTCATGACGCCTGCTACATTTTCAAAGTTTCGACCGCTTTCTATAAAAGTCTCAAATTACCTTCCACTTTCAGGTGGTATCACAATTACATGAATGACACAACATTCTGTCATAAACTCATTGCACATATGGGAACCGGCGCTAAGCTAAAGAAGATATTCGTCTTGCTATTAGCATGTTTTTCGTTGGAGTATAAGGGGTGTTGTAAATTAGTGAAAGCATGGGTCATTGAACAGAACAGCTGATTGAGGATTCGACTTGGTCTGGCTTGGCTTGGCTTGGCTTGGGCTGGGAACGGAACTGGAGCTGGAGCTGGAAGCTTCTCATCCAGCATTTAGCAGGCGTTCTCTACTCTCGTTCTGGAATCAAAGGAGGGGGTGTTTCTCGGGGCATTCGTTGATAGTTTTATTTGTTTGCAAATTGCAGAAAGCACAGGAAGGACAATATTGTATTTAAAAGTCTTAGGGAATGTTAAGCAACATGGTGAGGATTGTTCCTTTGGGAATTTCATGATGTGGATGTGTGAGTTTGTGAAAATGTACATGGTGATATATATATCCTTACACGACGGTATTCATATGCTATACATCTCTACCTCTATCTCTAGCAGATATCGACACTTGCTTACCTCATTCGGTATTTCCCCTCATATACTCATCTCCGCCTCCGATGCACCTCCCCTCTCCTCCGCAGCCCCCCGTCCCACATCCCCCACAACAATCCCCAAAACCCACACATTCGTCGCAAAAAACAGCAAGCTAGCCACCCACAACCCCGGCACAAACGTACTCAGACCCAAAAACTCAAGCGCATATGCTTGCTGTAACCACAGTGCTTGCGTGCCAACCCAGAGAACAGCAGCGAGCACCCCCGTGCGGGGAAAAGTCATAAAGGTGCAGGTGGGTAGGGATAGGTATAGGGGTAAGAGACAGGTGTACCAGAGAAAGTATTGTGATGTGCTTACTTTGTTGAAGGTTACGAAGGTGAGGGTTTGGAGGAGGAGGGTGCTGGGGAGTGAGTGTTTGCTGAGGAGGAGGGGGGTGAGGAGGGTGGAGAGGAGGAGGAGGGGGAGGAGGGGCAGGGAGGAGAGGTTGGATGAGAGGGGGGAGGGGCTGGCGGAGTGCAGGTACAATAGTGTGTTGTAGGGGGAGAAGTTGTGCCGGTGGTCGATGCGGGTTAGGTGGTGGAGGAAGGTGTGTTGGAGGAAGGGGGGTCCGTAGCTGGATAAGGGTTTGGGGGGTTAGATTTTGGGGTTTGGGGTTTGTATTTGTATTTGTGTTTCCCAGTTGTATTTTTGGGCGAGCGGGGAGTGGGAGGAAGAGAAAGGGAAAAAAGAAAATGGGATCTTACATGTAATACATAAGAGCATTAAGACCCATAAACGTCACCAAACTAGTCACGACCAACACAATCCTCTCTCGATTCATAAACCCCGTGACCTTCCCCCAAACATCATCCCTCTTTCCACTTCCTCTCTTCCCCATCTTCTTCTCTCTCCCAGAAATCCTCTTACCCTCAAACCCCGCAATAGTTTCCCGATCCAAAAACCACACAATACTCACCCCATACACCACTGGATAAATCTTCAAATGCACCCCCAACCCTAACAACACCCCCGCCACCGCCACCCGCCCCCTCAACACCGCCCACAGCATTCCCAACACCAACGCGCCCAAAATACCCTCACTACTCCCCCTCGTACTAATCGTCGCTACCATCGGATTCAACAACCATATCCCTGCATATTTGCCCGCGCGCCCCGCATCCATTCCTCGTCCCAGCAGTATCTTGTACTGAAAATACCCAGCGCCAATGTCACAGGTTGCGAATAAGATTTTACCAAAGTGGAACCAGAGGTAAGAGGGGGAAAAAGTGGTGGGGAGTAGGAGCCAGGCGAGGAGAGGCGTGTAGCGGTAGGTTTCCCGTGTGTAGGGCGAGAGAGATTGGGAGGTGTAGGTCGAGGCCGAGGTGAAAACTTGGTAGTCGATGTCGGTGTATTTTAAGGGGGAGTGCGCGTCTTGGTAGAGGCCGTAGAAGAAGAGGGTTAGGCGGAGGGCGATGGCGAGGGTGAAGAGGTGGGGGGTGGAGAGGGGCATGTTTTGTGGTGGTTGGATGACTTGTGGTGTTTGATGGGGTTGATTGGGTTGGTCTGGTGATTATTCACAGTATTTGTAACTTTGCTTCGCGCAAAGATCAATAATTACAGGTGAAAATGAGAGGAGCAAATTGAGGAGTGAAAGAGCGACTGCGTAGAGAGATGATAGATCTCAGACGACGGGTGAACGTTTTCGGTGAACCCGAGGAGATGGAAATGGTGAAGGGTCTAAGGAATGATCAGGAACACAGCATTTATCAAACTGCCTCCATTCTTGTCATCGTCACTTGACTGAGATAAAAAAATCTCAAACTTGATATTGATATAGATATTGAAGCCAGCACGTGTCTACACACTAATCTCACCCCACCTCCCCAGCTAAACTCACGCCATTCACGCCATTCACTCCACCCAAAATACAGTATCCCTGCCCGCTTACCTCAACATCCAATCTACCACGCGCCTCACAAATCTGCACGCCCTCTTCTCACCATGCAAGAATCCCGCCAACCTGCAACCTCCCAAGATATGCCCGGAATCAAACGTCAACACGATGGTACTTCCAAGGAGAAGCTGGAGCAGAAGGAGGGGAAGTCAGAAGAGAAGATTGTAGGAGGCTCAATAAGTCCCTTCATGCCTATGTTTGAGGGCTTCAGAGCCGAATTGGATGAGCATCATGATCGTCGCGAGAGGATTATTAAGGCGGGGAGGGATATCACGGCGGGGAGTAAAAAGATGTAGGGATTCTTTGGTGGAATTTTCTTGTTGGGGATTGAGCTAATTGTTTTGATTAGAATTTTTGCGCTGCAGAGGTATGGGTTTTTTGGAGATGATTCGGAGATTTTAGACGTGCTTTCCTTTTTTCTTCGCTGTTCCTATTGCCTTTTTTTTTTGAAAATTCAAGGGAAAAGTCTGAGGGCATTTTTAACCTTGAAAAATACCTGAATGGGGTCGGACCGGCCTTGGAATAGTCTTGACAATATGCAATAGGAACGATGGAGGAGATACAAGATCATCAGACTAACTTATGTATTAAGGGCACAAAAACTCCATCACCCGTTACCCCAAAAGATAGCCAAAGAAACTCAAGAAAGACTCAACACAATCAATGGTCTTTACGCCAGTATATCACCTGATCTCACGGGTATTAACTCCTGGCGCTATCAAAGACAAATCTCCGGAGGTATCCAAGAATACATGGAAGCGGTATCATTCTCCCACTACCTACTTCAGCAATCTTTGATCCCCCTCTCCACTGCCCAATCCTCTTTACCCGAAGGTATAAACCTCACAGGCGATGACTACGTCCTCGGAATTTTCGACGTAGTAGGCGAGATGATGAGATTCGCTATTACGAGAATGGCGACAGATGGTGAATTACCCGGAAAAGACGAGAGGACAATCCTGACGGACTTGAGGGATATCCGGATGAGATTTGAGGAGTTGGATACGACAAGGTGTGGGAACATAGGATTAGGCAAGGATGTGGAGAAGAAGATGGAGGTTATGAGGACTTGTGTGGAGAAGGTTGAAACAGCGGTTTATGGCATGATAGTCAGAGGTAGGGAGAGGCCTAAAGGTTGGGTTATGGATATGCCAGATGAGGGAAAGGGGGCAGTGGAGAGTTATTGAGTGGTTTATCAAAGTGAAATGGTAAGAAAAGGAGGTAGCTACAGTGTGGGAGAAATGCTTTGCTATAATGCATTGTACAGGTATTAGTTCAAACGATTTTGCTGTCTGCAAAGCTTGAAAAAGCTCTTACTATCCGAGAATATTCCAATGTATGGATTTATCTCGAAACTACCAAGAAATCCCACTAGCTTAAAGGGATACCAAGGCAACAACAACGATGACCCTCGGCACGACAAGGAGATAAATATTCCTTTGATTTCACCTTACTTCAAAACTTGATCTCGTCCAAAACTCGCTAACCCACAGTCTACCGCTTTCGCATTTCACTTTATTGTCTAATCAGGACAAGGACGGGAAGTGAATACAGCTATTGCAGAGACGTTAACGTTATTCTTGTTATACCAGAGATCGGGTATAGAGAGGGACCGAAATAAGAACGCTCAGCACAACGAGGATGTATGTATAGCTTGCTGCTACTGCTCATCCCTATCTTCGATACACATGTCTAAGGCAGTGTGTCTTGCATGGATAGAAATACAATTTCCTCCAAGTCAGAATAAAGGTGTTTATTGGTGTACTACGGTCAGAAAGTCCTTACACAGAGGTTCTATTTTAAAGATATCCTAACCTCGCTATAAGGATATCCTTCGTTATAAAGATATCCTTATATCGAGGTTTTTTTTATACCGTGCATTGAGGAGGGATATATCCATAAACGGCTTAGCCAGAAAAAATATTTTGATACTGCATCTCAGCCACGCATGCATGTTTGATCTACAACAACCTCGATTCATCAACAAATTCAAGTTGGCCACAACGTCGCATTTTTGTATTTGTGCTTTTCTTTGGAGAGCATCGCTATTGACACAGATAAGTCTTTGCTTATTAGAGACACAGTATTTGATTTATTGTATTTCGGCTATGAGTACAACCTCTGCACTACAGTACAACAACAAACTTGAGTCGGTCACAACCTCGCCTTCTTGGTGCGTACTTAAAAGAGCATCGCTATCCACACAGATAGCTTTTATGTTCAGTCATAATAGTATTTTTCCAGCAAAATGCATAACATTTCGATCGTCCCTACTAAGGAGACTCATATCTTCTATCCAATAGGAAATACTCCAGCCGTCAACCTTCTCGAATATCATGCTCCTAAATCCGACAAAGAGACAACAGATATACTTCTTCTTGCTTGTGGAGATCCTAGAAGTGTTTTATATTCCTTGTTCTCCGAAGGGAAACCAGGTAAGATCGATCATCATCCAATCCGCATTTCAACGATCAAAACATTTCTAACTATTTACAATTAATTTATAAAGGCAATGAGAAATTCAACTTCGTATGTTGCGATATCGATCCTGCGATTTTAGGTTAGGGTCACTTCATATCACAACTTTCACTGGCTTTTACAAGTGCTAACCTTTAACAAGCGCGCAATATACTTTTATTCTCTCTCGTCGTCGACAACGCCACATCATATGACTCTCAATCCTCACATGATAAGACAAGAATTAGAGCAATATGGAACTTATTCTACCACTTTCTGATTTCCAAAGAGGATGCCAAGCTCTTACGAGACCAATCTGAAAAACTTCTGTCATTCTCCGAATCGACTGAGATGTGGATAGCATCCCCCTATTCATTTGTGAGCTTTGTTAGCTTGCAAACTCTTGATGAAGTCCGGAAGATCTGGGAGAGATACGCTATCCAGAGAAGTACAAAAGAGCAGCAAAGATATGAGGCACCCAGACGGCAAGAAATCTCGAATAATTGCAAGACATACTTTCGGGATGGCGGAGCATGTGTAACATACACTGCTGGAGTTCACTGGTGTGCGGGGGCTAATCGATCTTGGGATTTTATACAGGGCTATTGGAAGACTGGTGTGGTTGCAGGGAATGAATGTGATATGAAGGCTCTCGGCCCCGGTGGAAAGGGAGTCTTGAATCCTACTTTTATGGTGTCTATCGTCTCGGAAGAATTCGCCCTTGCCTACACCAGCGATCCTTTATCAGGATATCACGTTCCAAACGTGTTCGACAACCCCGTGAGTAAAAAGCAAGTGCTGGAAGACTTGGCAGCATCTGCAAAGAATGACTTTGCGGAATGGTGCAAAGCTTTCCTAAACTATGCGACAGCCGGATCCATCGTGGCAAACTTCTATCTGGGAGACGCGGTTACGTTTTCGCATGAGCTAGCATCTCGAAGCCAGTCAAGAACCACATCTGTTCTCACCCGTCTCTATACAAACCCATGGTCTGCAAAACCATTGCTTTTGGATGGCCCAGGTGCAACCAATTTACCTGTCTCTTTTGAGATCATCGATACTTCGAACATTGTGGATTATTATGGGCATCTCAGTATTCTCCCTGCAACTGTACCTCTCTTATCTAGAACTTCCAGTTCGGTTCTATACACTGAAAGTTTGCGGATCTCTTCTCATGATCTCCAGGATAATCTAAAGGCTGCACTTTTGATGGATGTCAATGTGGCTTCGCTGTGTTTTGGACTTACGCCATTTGGTAACATCATAGGCTATACTACCCACAACAATTTTGGAGAGGACATGACACAACAGTCATCGCCTAACAGATACCGCACGCGGCTACCCTGGCGACTACCATCACTTGGAGATCATCTCGCGTTTTTCCCGTCAGGTCAGACTATCAAAATCAAAGTTGATCCTGATGAACTCTGCCAATTATGCTTCGACATATACCTAAAGATGTTCTCGATCGAAAATCTGAAAAATCGTCCCACACCAGGAGTCCAACTTTTGCGCAGTCAAATAATGAACTGTTACTCAAGACTAAGTTTCGTTAATGTTTTGCACCTTATCAAGCGAAATGTCACAACTGACTGGGAAAGTTTCTGTACAAGTCTACAAAGCAAGATTGCAAACGACAAAGTTTCCCACATCGGGGCCAAAACAGTCATGGAAACCATTATGCACTTAGACACATCCGGTTTCATGCCAGGGGCTTTGGCTAAAGTATATGGAACTGCATCTTATTCTTATGTCACAATGGTTGTGCCTCGGAGAGATCTTGACATATTTTTCCAGCCAGACTCGGCATCCCAACCAGAAATCCATATTACCATATTCAAGCCTAATGCCAATGACGAGAATCTCTTCTTCTCCGTAGACGGTTTCTTTGGAACCCTCGGACCACAGACCGATCCAGAAATATGCGGGGAATTTATCGAAGACCCTCACGGGTGGACTGGTGCTTCCGACCTGATTATTAGTTGCCCCGTTCCTGCTCACATTTTGACGGGAAAGAAATGGCATATTGGGGTATGCATTACCGTGGATTTAAATGGAATGGATTATATGTTGGAGTTGGGACCAGAGGCAGTGGTCTCTTCGGTCTCAGGAAAGAATAAAAAACGGGTGACTGTTTCCAAGGTGCCTCCAGGTATACCCAAAGGTCGCCTACAAACGCCAAGTTCAGAGCTCGCAATCGAAGACCTCGAAATTAAAGACGACACGATCACCATATCTGCTACTGAACTCAATGAGTCTGTTGCACTTCAGGCAACATACCATTTTTCGAATGGAACTGAAGAAACCAAAGCCCTGCAGAATGCTGCCTTCGTTACACTTTCAGATATCACCCCATGTTCTATGCTCCTGAATATTGGCGAATTTAGCCACCGACTCATCTTCCCATACCCAATAGATGGAGCCAAGGCCAAAACTAAAATTGCCCGAAAGAGTCTCTGGATTCAAGTCAACGTCCCTGTCGCACCAACTCTGAAGCCTGGTGGCTATGATGCTAATCCCTTCCCCGTCATCACTTCCCAAGACCACCAACCAAAAATCTGGGCCCTCCCTCGCATCAATCTCTCTACACTCCCGAGGGTAAACAGTAACAATCCAAATTGGATCGGCCGTGTGAACCAACAAATTTTCAGCGGTCGCGAGAAACGCGGAAGCCGCGCCGAGGACACCTCGACCAGTGAATTTTCCAGTGCTCTTTTCCAAATGAAATGTACACTGAATGAATTCATGTCCTATATGAATTTAAAAAAGATATGTGGTATCATGGTAAAAGGAGCCACCAAGGATGAAAATATCGGGGACTTACTGTTTATATCTAATAGACTTCGTCACAGCCGCGACACAAATTCTCTGGTGTTTGACGGCTGGGTCGTTTCTGAAAAAATCGGCGAGAGATTTCTACGCACCGGACGATCAAAATTAATGGCTTTTTATGTTACCCACGCCGAGCACATCTTGTGGAAGAAAATCATGCCTGCAGCGGTAGAATCATGTCGTCGGAACTGGAAACACAATGCATCATGTGAGTATCGGAACGCTCAGGCGCCTCTATCTATCGAGCCTTGGGTATCACCGATCTGTAGATGTGGTGAAGGAAAGGATGTTGGGGATTTCCCAGATGACGCGATGGCGAAGCCGTTTAGAGAGTGGGCTACGAGGATTGCGTTGCCGTTATTGTCGGCGGTTTCGTATGTGGAAGCTATGAATCCTCCACGAGTAGTAATTCGTTAGTCCAATGAGGCTCTTCCTAATTGCATACTTACGCTTCTTCAATCCCTGGTATTGTAGAGACGAAGCCTAACCCTTTAGACCAGAATAGTATCTCACATTAACCCACGATTTCTTTGTTTGTGATACAACAAGATTTCCTTCTTAAAGCTTCACAAGGCCTCGAAAATAGTCTCGAATCGTGACGACATGTTCAATATCATTGTTGGCAATCTGTGTTGAGAATATTGCCAATTAACTAATATCTAGGACTGGTCAGGCATATATTAGTCACAATGGCCTGATCTAATGTCAGCTTCGGGAACAATAAAGCCTAGACTTTTACACTTCACTGTACATACGACAATGTCAAACTGACGACGCACCTGCAACCCACGTCGGCGAACATACAAATCTCACGACGTTGACACATTTCTTCAGCCGTCCCGTTTGTCTCCTTCCGTCTTTTGCGCCTATTGCCGAAATCCCGAGTCGGCGTTCTTATCGCCCCAATGAATACCTTTGGTCCCTTGAAACATTGTTTACTTGAAACACGTCGTTTTTGTCATGTGTTGAAGTTTTAGTAATGTGGTTTATAGTTGGTGTGGGAGAGTTGTTGTGATGTTTATGGAAGATTTGAGGAGTCTAGTCTCAATACATACTCGAGTAGAGTACACAAAGTTGAATCTCCAGCCAAAAACATCATTTCTTCAGAAAACATCATGACAGATTGAAGTATCAATTTTCAGTGCGAAGTATATGATAGAGATAAAAGAAATACCCGATCGGAACGAACGGCACTTAGATGCAGTGAGAATTCATGAATAGTTTCATCATTTCCCACGTATATCGGATCGGATATGAAGGGGCTGAATGTAATATGCTCTGCAGGTGGAAGCTGACATCTTTTTGTGAAGTGGCGTCAGCAGGTTGACACGTTGATGCGTGTTATCGGACATCCGGGCATCTAAATGGTGATTCAAAAATTCTTGAATTCAAATTGTCTGGCGCTTAATTTGAATAGAGTCATAGGGTTTTGAAGGGTTTGCCATGGAAGATAGTTCTTAAGTGTATGTCGAGGACGTGATGCTTTGAAAAATGTTATATTTTCGAGGTTCTGCACACCCAAATTGACGATGAAACATGGTTTGGGCGGAAAAGTCCTTCCGTCGAAATCAACGTTCCACAGATGGCGGAAATGGCGAGGGTGGCATAATCAGCCAGACCCATGATATGCATCAAGAGGCTTGATATCCTCTGATACTATACGGTGTTCATCATGCAATAAAATGTAAAACAAGCTTCGGCTGGTCGTGTTTACCTATTTCTGGACGTGTATGGTTTGTTGATGCGGGATATTGGATCTTACCTGCTTGGCTTCTGTTAAGTTGAGCATCGAATTGGATATATGTAAAGATGAGGATCGCCGCATGGTTCAAACTGTTTGCTGAAGCTCTCGAGGTACACAAACAATTCGGAGACGCTTATCCGCTTATCCGCTTATCTGTGGACGCGCAGTTGCTGTATGATTTCTCGGTATAGATGCGAGTATACGTATAGGCTGAATCTGCTCGGATACTCATCGAATCGAAGTTGCAGGAAAGATTGAGCTGAATCAAAGGGAAAAAAAGTATAAATTGAAGGTCAAGATGCCTTTTGAACTTCCTCCTCGTTCTCGGCTGGATTCTAAGAGGCCATTTTATATCTCTAGAAGCAGGATGCCGATAACTTCGACCTTTTACATTTCGAACGAGTCCCTGGCGCTGGGAGACGAAACGGACGATACGGTCGATAAGGGTAAAGCGAGGGAAGAAGAACCAGCTATTCCTCTAGAATGGTCTCTCAGTAAATTACCTAGTGCAAGACGATATCCAGGGAGTACCAAAAGGTTCTCTGGCAGGAGTTACTACCCTCAGTCTGATGAAGAGTCTCTCACGGGAACTGGTCGGAGTCAATATCAGAACATAATCAAATATCCACTACCCAGTCTATGGTCACCACATCTTGCTGAGAATAGGAAATTATGGATCAAGATGTTTGTGGTATTTTGCGTGTTATTGATCACCACAATAATGGGGACAATGTCGATATACTGGGGCGGTGACCACTCCCTACAATACAATATACCGGTATTAACTATCGCGGTGATTGATTTTGATCATTCGGAGGTGGGGAGATATCTTCAGGATATGGCGACTGCGGCACGAGCCAAAAATTACCATAATTCGCTGGGCTTTGTGAACCAAGATGGAGATGCCATGTATGGAAACGTGGAAAATGCTCACGCAGCATTACACGACCAGAAGTTCTGGGTGGGCATTGTAGTGATGGAGAATGCGACGAAAGCCATGAATCATGCGTATGAAGTGGGAGATGAAGCGTATGATCAAAATAGTGCGATTCATGTTCTCTATGAGGAGGCTAGGAATGCGCTGGTTATCGGAACAGTGGTGTATCCGAGGCTGCTTGAGTTCTTGGATGAATTTGTACTTGAATTCACAAAACAGAAGCAGATGAGTTTGCTGCAGGGAACGAATGGGTCGGATGTGGAGGCTTTGCAGAGACAAATTCAAAGCCCTGTTTCGGTGGGGTTTACAATCATCAATCTGGCAGCTGCTACGCCATCTACGGCTGAAGCTGCTACGGAAATCGGGACGATTTGTATGTATCTCTCACCATTTTTTCCATCTTAAGCTCAACCTCTGAGAAGAAAGATACATCTTACTAAACTAAAATCCCCAGATCTTATCATCGTCTCTTTTCTTTCCGTTCTCATGTTCGACAAACTCAGCGATACAATCATGGGAAACATAGCCACCAGCACCTACTACATATACCGTCTAACCATCCTCCCCTTCGTCTACTTATTCCTCTCTCTCTTCTACCTCACCCTCTCCTGCATGTGGCACATACCATTTTCCCTACACTTCGGACCTGCCGGCTACCCCCTATACTGGATGCTATCCTGGATCTCCATGATGGCCTTCGGCCTCACCATCGAAAACATCAACAACCTCCTCGGCATGCCCTTCACGCCTGTCTTCTTCGTCTTCTGGGTCATCTCCAATGTCACCACGGGATTCTATCCCACAGAAATGCTCAACGATTTTTATAAGTGGGGCATAGTGTGGCCATTGAGACATGATATGATGGGTGCGCGAGCAATTATTTATGGCACGAAAAATACCCTGAGGCAAAATTTCGGAGTCCTAATTGCGTGGGTGTTGGTTAGTTTGCTGTTGATGCCTGGTACGGTCTGGTTGCAGATGAGGAAGAAGAGGGTGGGGGCGGAGGAGAAGAGGAGGGTTGTTTTGGAGAGGGTGTGGGGGGCACCTGGGAGGGAGAAGGGCGGGAGGTTGAAATTGCCGAAGTTGAGTCCGCCTAGATAAGAGGAATGGTGGATGGTAGATGATAGGTGATGGGTGATGGACATTGTGTGGCGTATTTTGCATTTAGAGCGCGGGTTTTTGCTTGTTTGAATGTTTGCACGTTTGCATGTTGGACTATGGGCGCAAGAAATGGATGCTGGGATTTTAATATTGGGGGAATTATAGCATGTCAGTTGGCAACTTCTCACGTTTTTTACTGGTTCATTCATATTTACACACTCGAGAAGTAGAAACAGATGTCAGAAATTATTGAGAGCGACACAGCGTCAACATTCAGATTTGTGAATATTTTACTTCGAATGATACATTTGGAAATATCCTCTTCACTCGATTTTAAAAAAAAGGGTTGTGAAATGAATGACCATTACATCAACCTACTCTGTCACTATCAGACTATGACTATATCAAATCAAGCGCTTTTACATGCATGCCATTACCATTGCTACATCAACATATCAGGTATAAGTTTTAGATAATATCATAATGCCAGGTGATTATCTGTGAAAGTTTGAGCATCCTCAAATATATACTCCTACGATCACAGAACCATGTCGCTCTTTTCGCTTGCAGAAGAGAAGTATTCGACTCTTCTTTCTCTTTACCTGCCTAGGTGGCGATTAACGATCCCTAGGTATCCATGTAGCTGGATTTCTGTGTTATAAGTCTTGCTTGCAGTCACCTGCTACCTAGACAGACATCCGAGTTCGCTGTCGATGTCGATGTCGATGTTCATGTTTGCTGTGAGGGGCGAAGGAAGCCCGAACAGTAAATGTCAAGTTTAGTCTACGCTAGCTGCATATGTACTAGTATCAATTCTCGGGAAATTAACCTTGTATAATTTATAATTAAAACTCAGAATAGTATAACTAATTTTTATATACCGATTAGTATACATTTTAACCGAGATATAGTATAAGACTAATCTAGATTAAAATATATATATATATATTATTTTAGACTTACTTCTTATTTATTTATAAAACTTATGGTTTAGAGTAGCTACTAAGCCTAATTAGGAGATTCTCTCTATAACAACCCTATTGGCTAGTGTATTGTACTCTCAGGCTTCAGGTGCTGTATTCAATTGGTTCCGTTAGAAACGAGAATGTGGGGGCTTCGCTTCCCGTGGGGTATTGGAGCCTAATGGCAATACAAATAGCCTTCCCGGCGGTCACGATACAAACACGAACAACCACTGTAAACAACCACCTATCAATACTATGGTCTCCAAAAATCATATCTACGAGACCGACGAAGACGGCTCTACTATCTACACTGCCATGACTCCCCCATCTACCATTATCGACACTCTTATCTGCGATCCGACACCCTTCAACAACGATGCTGATAACAAACATGCATCCAGTTCCGTCCCATGGCCCAACCATACCTTCCTCCTCCGTGCCTCCTTCTCCGGACACCTCTTAACTCTCTCCTCTGGGACCATATTCCTCGGGCCCCCAGGCAACCAGCACGAAAGCATTCACGTGAGTCCATCTGTCCCCAATCCCCCATTCCCATTCTCGTCTTGTCGCCTCATTAATGCATAGTGGAAATGCATCGAAGACAAAGGCTGGTTCTATTTCCAAAATACTGCATCAGGATGCTATCTCGGGCACAATTTCCATGGCAACATTATTTGTTCTTCCAAGAAACACTATGGATGGGAGCGATTTTCTGTGCGATTGAGACCGGAAGGAGGCTATTATTTAATGATGATGCATTTCGACCGGTTGTGGAAAGTAGGGATCAAGGGAGGCATTTTGGCAAAGATTGCAGAAGGGGAGTCGGGGTTGGTTAGGGAGGGGGAAGAAGAGGGAGAGGTAATTGTTTGGGAATTCGTCAAAGTTTAGGGCTCCTCAAGTTGGATACAAAGTTCCGTTCTTCATTTCTAGCTTTCCCACTCTTTATTCTATCAATTCAATAATGAATATAAAAAGTCGGATAATTATAGATTCTATTTGATCTACGATAGCCACCCTTTCCTGGGCTTTTCAATTAACACTCCCTCACTCCCCTGGCCTCCCTGGCCTCCCTGGCCTTCCTAATCTCTCTGGCCTCCTTGGCCTCTTTAGCCCTTTCCTTTCTCGTCGTCACTAATTCTTTATACAAACAATTGAAACCATTCAAACTTACTAGATATTGAAGCATTGATAGTAATGCTTTTAAAGCATTCATTTTAACTTACTGAATATTGAAGCATTGAAAGTATTCAAGTTGATTCGAATGAAAAGTTTTGAAAAGTTTCGATAGATATAAATGAATGAATATGAAATCATTGATTTAGGGTGAAAAAAAATGAAGCTACATCGAACTAAAACTAACTAATTTATATTGAGTTTAAATTATAATTTCAGATCTTAATACAAGATCTCATTGTATTTGATTTCACTTCAATACATGATTTAGTACGATAACAACCCAGTCGTGGGTAAATTACCCTCCTAAGGTGCCCATAGGGACAAAAGCATCCAGAACCATGGTACACATTTATCCCTCTCCCCATCCCAAAGCTAAAACAAACACAAAAACAAACACCCCATCATCTGCCCCCAACCTGTCCCTTGGGAATAGGTTTTACCCACGAAACCGCTAACTTAATCGCAATCGTCACAACGCCAACAATCCAAAAACACCTCGCAAAGTTCCTCCTCTCATAACGGAAAATGATTGAAAAAACGATCCCTCCCAAATTGCCACACGCGCCAACCACTCCACTAATAATCCCATTTGCAGACGGGTGAATATGAGGCACGAGTGAAAAATTCGCCCCATTTCCCGCTTCGAGAAAAAGTCCCATGCCGGCTACTAACCCAAACATCTTTGCGTGATTACGTGGATCGGTGAACCCGATCGCGATGAGAAACGCGCCGGTGAAAATGGCAAGGATGTGGAGCCAGATTTTCTTCGCCCATACACTTTCGGTTTTCCGATAAAGGAGATCGGAGAGGATACCACCTAGTGGACGGAAGACCACGTTGAGGAGACCGAACATGGCGGCCCAGCGACCGGTGCCCGTTTCTCCTAGTGTGGGAAAGTTTTCGAGGTAGTAGGAGCCGAGGATAGAGTTTATGGCGAGTTCGGCGCCGAAAGAACAGAAGTAGCAGGAGGCGACAAGGAGGGTTTGAGGTGTGAGGATTACTTGGAGGGCATCGTGGAAAGAGGGTTTTTGTATGAATTCTCCGCGGGCGACGGTGAGCATTTCTTGGGATGCGAGGGGTCCTTCGTTGTTGTAGGAGTCGGCAGTATTATATTTGGCGGATGCGATTTGAGCTTCCTCTTCGAGGCCTTTTTCGTTATCGAGGATGGAGTTGGAGGACGAGGTCGGATCGTTGGGGGTATGAGTGTTGCTAGGTTTGCGGCCGGTAATGGAACCAGGTATAGAGACTATGTTATTGGAGGGGTTGTGGATGCCATGGACTTGGAGATTTTGTTGGACAGCGAGGTGGCGTTGTGACCATTTGCCAGTGGGGATATCGGGGCAGAGAATTAACATCGATATGGCGGTGGTGGTAATCAGAATGAAGGGGACAATGAAGGATACTCTCCAGGCGACGTGAGCGGTGAGTCCTTGATTTGACATTAAAGAATCGACAATGACTGGCATGACGAAGTAAGTTATTCCACCGCCACTACAAATTTAGTTGTTAGTGTGTGATGATTAATAGCTAGCGTAATATACACTGAGGTAGCACTTACACATTTCCCCAACCACCGGTCAATGAGTTGGCTGTACCAACAATGTTCCTGTCAAAAAATCCAGTAGACCATACTTGACATGGAACAAAAGCGCCACCTAGTATACCGATGAAGAATCGAAGAACCATAAGACCAGTTACAGTCGTCACGGTACGCGCAAGAGCAGTCGGAACAGCACCAAGTAGTAGGCATCCTGCGAATGTAACCTTGAGACCGAAATTATCACAACATGGACCTGCGACTAGTCGCACGAGGAGACTATGGACAGAGTGTTAATACAATGAATGAAACAGAAGTGTTTTTCATACTTACGTAGCAACGAGAGCAATGATGTTTGAGTTCGCAATCTCATTTTGAGTGAGATGGAGATCTTTTTTGATAGTGAGAGATAGCTAGAACATGTCAGAGGCCGGTCAACGACGTATAATAGGACTGAACCATACCAATGGCGGAAAGGCATACCTGATGTAAGGATTAGCATGATGTGATTTTAATAAGTGATGGATTCTCGGATGACTTACCAGGACCAAAATGCTATCATGAAACCCCACCACGAGAAGAAGAACACTCTACCATATTTGTTGAAGGGATTGAGGACAGGGATAGAGCGAGCTTTCCCATTGACAGGATTAATCTCTGGCGCTTGCCAAAGAGTTTGGATTTTGAACATGGCAAGGCCCGTACAACATCCACGGAAATAGATGTCGATTGAGAGCACTCAGTCTGTCTAGCTTCTTTTGATACAACTAATTCTTAATTTCAAATTCGAGGGAATACAAAGGATGAATATAGTACTAATCATCTGAATATAGAATATTAAACAAATATATAAATGATAAAATGATATTGATCCAAGATTATAGATAAGTAATATCTATTCACTGGTAGTTGAAGTATTTCTGATAGAAAGATTCAAGATTGGATTTATAAAGTAAGGTAACGATTCTATAGATTAATTCTTTGTATAAATCTATGGTAAATCAAAAGATTAATACAAATATAGATGCTTAATCTATATTTGATAGATAAGATCCAATCCGGATATAGTATAAAAGAATCAAATCTAGAAAACTTTAGTTTAAAAGTTTTGGGTTTCAGTTTTTGATAACTATTAACCCAAAAAGATATATATCTGAGATATTGTAGATCTCCGAAATAAACCAGAATAATAATTGAAGATTTGTTAGGGCAAAACTAGGACTATTCCTTGGTTTTATACACGGCTGATAAGATATAATATAAAAAGGAAAATCTTTTAGAAAATATCTGAAATATCAATAGACAAGATTAATCATTTTTGGATAGTAATAGAAATATAAAGAGTTTTTGATATCGAAACAGTTTATAAATAGAAAGGAATGAAATGAGAAAATGGTATTATAAAACAAGATACTCTGCATTCCTATTCTTAGGTGATATGTAATAATTCCCCATCTTCGTACCTTTGTGTTTTAGAGAGGTTTTTGAGGTCGATCGTGGGTACCGTCATAGATGAATGGTCCGTCGACGATATGCGGTACATGAACCTTATCAAACGAATTCTAGAGGATGTATACTTTAAGATCAACGTTACCAATGGCATTGGATAGATATACCATTATATTGTCGTTCCTGGCCCGAATATCGGTTGGTGGCTGCTCTGATAGCTTTGAAGGTGATAAAAATTTTGATGAAGGAGTCGAGTCGTCGCTTCTTATCTTTGACGAGGCTTAGCGAGTCCTAGAGTGGATTTATGTAGATCCACCTAGTAGATAAGGGTTGTGGGGGGAAATTTAAGTCTATTTTGATCTCCTGCAAAAAAGAAGTGCATGAAATTATAGATTCTGCATCAATGATATATATATTCCTTCTCCGCGGCCACATATCGGGGATTTTGGGCTGTCAAAGATTCCGATTTGATATCTAGCTGGGAACATCCAGTGTTTCGTACCCGCTCAGGAGTGGCCTGAAGCACTGAAGGGAGAACCTTCAGACTATGAAGTGTTGGCGACGACAAACTCATACTTATATATTCTTCCAGAAAAGAATCTTCATGGTGTTCCGAGAGTTCCAAAGCTATGCAATGAGTTCAATACCAATCTTCAACGCTTCGCTGGCCGCGGAGATCATTGTTTTTCTGTCATGGCAATCGATATACCAGGGTTTATCGTCTTTATAGTTGGCTTCATATCTGTAAATAAACCCCCCACAGTAGTGGTATCTTTCAAATCTTAGATATCTCTGATATCTTGCCTATCAATAAACCAATTGGTCATGATTCGTCCCTCATCTTTCCGTGGCGTATTACATCAAGCCTTTCTCGAACACCAGGCACAAGTGCTTGTTCCAACGAGCTACGCACCTTAGCTGCCGAGCACCAAAGGCTTAGCTCAAGGGCCGAAAATGATAGTGGGATATGTGGCTGATCACTGATACTGCTTGATAAGAGCTTCTGTAAGGTCATATATCGGTGGCTGGGCACCCCTCGACCAAATAATAAACCACACACCAAAAAGACACACCCCTTCGAACTTATATATCAAATTATACAAAAATTAGGTACTCCATACACTTGATTTCAGTATGTAACTTCTATCAGTAATCATGCTAATATTACCAGTAACTTTTAAATGAAACAGACCTATTAAAATTCATCAAAGCATCTAAATCTGCATGGAGATATACGATATACTCTTCGAGTGATAAACACTAATGTCCCAATGAACCCCTCCTTCATTTGAGTACTGTATAGGAACAGATTTATCACGTCTATAGACAACATGCTTCGGAGAAGCACTCTGTTTAGTAGATTAGGTATGGCATAACTCGAGAAGAATGACATGTCCAAGAAGAGGTAATTCCCCGTTAAGTGTCTTGCCTGGCTACTAGCTGGACCTGGCACCTTTCAGACATTTTGTCTGTCCAGGAGAGAAAACAGCCCATCCTGAATCTGAAGACACTTGCGTAGATATGGTGATCCCTAATTTCCAAAATTCTGACAACCCTGGGGCCTTGTCACGGCACTTCATGAAGAGCAACAAGCTTAGTTATTGCCTAGCCGTAAATTCGAGGAGAACTTTTGAGGTCGGTGAAAGTCTAGGACGAGAAAACCTAGAGGATTTGCGACTTTACTGTCCGCCTTTATTATTAATCTCAGTCTACCCTCCGAAAGACATGAATCTTGTATATTGGATAATGATAAAGGGAGAACGCAGATGCGTCGCAGATGCGATCGCAAGTCGGTATAATAAACACGCCCATTGGAAGCACAGACCCTTTTTGGTTTGATTACGTAAGAATGATAATCAAAAAGAGCATCAAAAACATCCCTGCTTGTCACGTCAAGTCACGCGTCGAATCGCGTCGCGTCTCCCCATATTACTTTTTTTTTACTTCACCGAAACTTTAATTATACCTTTCTTCAACCTCTTTAGCTTCAACTTCAACTTCACTTTTCAACTCTCGACTTTCTTTGATACCCAAAATTCTGGACCCAAACCCCAATGTCCACACTCGACTGCGATTCCTCCACTTCACCACTTCCCAAACGTCAAAAGATATCGTCCTCGATCTCCACATCCACATCCACATCCACACCCACACCCACGCCCACGCCCGCAGCCACAGCCACTACTTCCCTCCAAGAGAAAATGTCTTCCGGCACTCCCACCATCACTCCAGCTCCCGCCACAAACGGCACCCTCAAATCTTCCTCCCCACCACCCCTCCTCATTAAAAAACTCTCTCCCCGCGCCCGTCTCCCCACTCGCGGCAGCGCTTTCGCCGCCGGATACGACATCTATGCTGCCAAAGAGACGATTGTGCCTGCCAAAGGAAAGGCATTGGTAGATACCGATATCAGTATGGCTGTACCGGATGGAACATGTATGTTTCTTAATCTCTTTCCTTTTTCTTTCATTCCAGCTCCTCTGCAACTTTTCCCCTCCCTCTCCATCCCTCACGCTCCTTCCCTCTACCCTACCCCACCAAACTAAACTAACACCCCCCCCTCTCCAGACGGCCGCATAGCCCCACGTTCCGGCCTCGCCTCCAAACACATGATCGACACCGGCGCCGGCGTCATCGACTCTGATTACCGTGGCCAGGTCAAAGTACTCCTCTTTAACCACGGCGAGAAGGATTTTGAGGTCAAGGAGGGTGACCGCGTAGCACAGTTGATTTTGGAGAGGATTTACACGCCCGAGGTAACGGAGGTGTTGGTTTTGGAGGAGAGCGTGAGGGGTGAGGGCGGGTTTGGAAGTACTGGTTAGGTTAGGTTAGGTTAGGTTGTGAGCAAGGAATGGGGGTGTATATGATTGATAGATGGGGTCTACCAGAGGTCGAGATATACCGTGCTATGCACACTTTTAAGGAATTGATGCCATGGTTCAGGAAGGGAACAGAATAGACAAAATAAACATGTTTATGCCGGTTTATTATCTATCATACCTTTATGTTCTATTTCATCACGCGTTCTACATGTAGCTCTTCCAGATTTACAAACTTTCCGCCTTGAACTTTACCACCGGATTCTTCAAAAAGTGCACATTCCTCACCAACCTCACTTCGGCCGCCTTCGACCTCACCAATCCTTCTCTTTTGACATCCTCATCCTTCCCTCTTCCACCCACAACACTCTTCCACGTCGCAATCTCGGCATCCCTCACGATCTTGGTCTTCGCAAGCACCTCATGCATACTAGCCAAAACCTTTTCCGTGGCTCTCGCCAGCGGTAATTCCGTAGCTGCCACCTCATCATCACTAATCCACGCATCTTTCTCTACCAGGCCTTCCACATTACACACTGCCTCTTTAAATCTCACCAACATGAGCGCCGCAAACATATCTCCCGTTCCACTAAAGAAACAATCAATTGCCGGTATCTTGATGCTGAAAATCCTCGGTTCAGCTTTCGATGTCATAGTCGAGCCTACGACCGAAAGATGGGGCTCGGCACCGGGAGAAGGAAGTGAAATGGATGTAACCATGATATGAGGAATTTTATATACTTCGTGTAATGTCGTTATGGCCAATATAAGCGTATCCATATCCTGAATCTTCACACCAGATAATGTCCTGCGATTGTTAGCCAATTTATCCATCGCTTCCAAAAACTCCTTCAAGAAAGAAAATAGGTGCCCTACTCAACCTCAAATTGATTCGGCAGAATCAAATCCGCACCTTTAATCAATGCTTTATAAGCCGGTACCACATCTTCCGCCACATACAATTTCCCGTTATCCCCCATAACCGGATCCAACACCCAGAAGAAACTTCCCGGTTTCATTGTACTCTTTAATTTCAGATCGCGTGCTATTGAACCGACGGCTTCGACACAGGCGGCCCCAGGCAGATAGCCCGAGAGCATCATATTGAAATCGTCGAGGTAGGAGTTCTTGAGACCTTGATAGAGGTCCAATATTTCAGTCGCAGTAGCGCGCGTGCCTTTAGCTTGCCCATAACCTAGATGATTGCCTTTGATACATCAGTCAGCACCAATTGCATCTTGTACGATTTGCGATAGGGGACGTATCCAGGCGAACATACTGAACTGTACGGTATTCAGAGCAGCGACTTCGCATCCTAGAGATTGCATAACGAAAGTGGCCATCGTATTTCCGACATATCTTCAGTAAGACAATAAGGCTTAGTCGACTTGTGCGCAAGTATGTATATAGAGGTTTTGTGACTCATGGAACTCACCCGTAGACAACCTTGAGCAGACAATGTTAGTTCAGGAAGAGTCATGTGGAGGGTAATCTCCCTACATGGCTGGCCACAGCAAGTACCCGCGTATCTGGCACTGGAAAGTCTTCAGACATACTGCTTGTTTGGTGGAGAGGTTGTTTGGCGGGAGGGAGAGAGAGGCTTGAATATAGAGATCAAGTTTTGAATGCGCCGGAAAAGCTGGAAAGGAAGGTAAATAGAGACTCAATTGCAGTAACAGGGTATCATGAAGAAAATGACAGAAGGATTGATATCGAGCTTGCAAGGTAAGATCTCATTGCCTCGAAAACATTTTGTTTGTCAATGAATTGAAGATAATTATGGTAATAATAATCTCTTAATCTTATCTCTCTTTGGATTTCAAGTATGGATTGGATAGTGGGGCATCAAGATGCCCCGCGCTAGACTAAATAAGGATATGCATGAAAACCAACAAATTTATACAGAAGAGAGATGACAAAAGATTGAAGATTGAAGATTGAAGACACTGTTCTCTGGGTATATCGATCTCATTATTGTTTTGTTGACAAATCCTATAGAGGAAAACTAACGAATTGCTTGATCGCATGCCAGGACCTGAAGAACAAAACTGTTCATGGCACAATCTACCACAATCATTGTCCATATCCGTAAATTTATCCGTAAATCAACCCACACGCCATACTGAATATACTGTAAACATTCATATCATCCTTCATTAAACCCTTTCGACCACCATATCTACTCATCATCACCAATCTAAGATAAAAGTTAGCCTCTCTCCTTTTACACATCAAGACAATTTAATGTAAACGTACCTTTGGTGCCAAGTAAAATCTCAAGTAACTGCTGCCAGCGAGTGGATACTCGACCAAAAGAGGAACCTCATTAGACAAGCAAAGCTTAACAGACTTGGACAAGCCAGCAGCCTTGCAGAAGTTGACCAAGTATTTAAGGGAGAAAGTCAGGGAGACGGGTTCAGAAAGCTCAATATCGACGTTAAGATCTGGCTTGTCGACATTGCTATGGCTGCGAAGGGTAACAGCACCATTGCCAATATCACCATTGCAGTGGAACTTAACACCATCTTTCGAAGCCTCAATCGATACTGTCAAACAAACAATTAGTACCATCTCTCGTAAAGGCAGAACGCCAGTTACATACCAGACTCAGACAAAGCCATAAGATCAACACAGATCCTCTTAAACTCCGAACTTGGCATAGTAATAACAGCCGCATACTCTGTATCAGGGATACCCAAATGTTCTTGGTCGATATCCATCAACTTCAAATCATACTCGCTCAATCGGTCACTTTCACTGCTCTCAAACACCAAGTTCAAAACATCTGGCGCGTCCTCGGCTTTGATGGTGAGGATATCTTCGTTTTGGGCAGCTCGCAGAACCTTTGTAAGAGAAGTGAGATTGACACCTAGAGCAACATTGCGATCACATCGGTAAGGAGAAAAGCCTTCAGCCTTAAGCATCATCGAGACGAGCGCAACGTGAGAGTTGTCCATAGCTTGGAGAGCGATTCCTGAATCATTGCAGTCGAAGTTGCAGTCTTGGACGAGATCTTTGATGGCATCGACAACCTAGTTTATACCGATTAGTATGGTAGAAGTAGTTTAAAGATCATATTCTCTAATATACCTTCTTGAGGAGATCGGCTTGCTCGAGGCGGGCTTCTAACACTAGTACATTGTAAGTATTCAAACGGCAGAACTCATTGGAAGTTTAGCTTACTCCTGGCGGTAATTGAGTCTATAGATGTAAAGAGGGTATCAAGAATTTGTGCTGAAAGTGTTGATTTGTGGAAGGAATAATTTGGGATTGCAAAGTTGATTTGTTTGAATTTTTGAGATGGAAGGAAGGCCTGCGACGCGGTGTCGAGAAAACGCGTAAAGTGGTTTTTTTGGCTGATGCACGGACCTTTAAGGTAGACCAATGACAACAAGATTATCTTTCGATTTATGCAAATAAATTCATTACTCAGCAAATCAACCATATAATTGGTCAGAATCTATGTATACATTTTAAAAGCTACTTTCGAGCCACCGGTGACCTATCATTTTCATCCCACCAAATCAGCCTTTTGATTTGTTCACAATCTGGCTATACATTGTAAAATCACTTTTGAGCCACCCATCAAATCAACCTTCCTTATTGTTCCATATATCTTGGTGATATTTAAGTAAAGAGATCGTCCATATCTTCTAATTTGCAACCTTTTGTCTCTGGGACATAAAGCCAGGTCCATATGCCAGACAAGGCACAGAATACCGCAAAGAAGACATAAGCCCCCCAATTGGTATATACCACCAGTGGTGGAGTGATCAATCCAATAATGAAATTGTTACTATTGAATTCAGCACATTTAAAGGTTATAAAAGGGGTGCCACTTACAGCCAATTCGAACAAGTGCTCAAAGCTACCCCTTTTGCACGTAGGTCTGTTCGAAAGATCTCTGACGGCATTGCCCAAGGTACAGGGCCCCAAGATGCTCCGAAAACTAGCATGTAGAACAGTAGAAATGTTACACTGATCCATGCAGCAGCCTGGTGTGATTCCCAGTCGTAAGAGAAAAGACAGACCATAACAGCTATCATAACGTGACTGATCGTCATGAAAAAAGAGCCTAGCATAAGTAATGGCCTTCGCCCGTATCGATCCATTGTGAAGAGACTCGTCACTACACCAAAGAGCCTGTTCTCAATTGATTAGCAAACTTCAGGGGACTATCGATTGTCTATAACGAGATCGGACATTGAGCAACCCATCGGGTGACTCTCTTCGCAAGCTACCGGACCAGGTATGGTGTGCTGCTGCTCGAGATTGCCACATATCTTTTGGGGAGGGTACTTAACTTACTGGCAAATATTTAGAACTCCTGACATGATCAATTGCATTTCTGACTCCAAACCCATCCTAGCAAACAAAGTCGGAGAATAGTAGATCAGAGCATTGATACCAACGAATTGCTGAAAGAACATGATAACTACTCCAATGTGTGTACGTTTAATGGAGTCAGGGGCAAAACAATCTCCCCACAAGGCCAGTTCGAGCCTGATATTACCGAATTTACTTTTCGAATTGATCAGATTTCCGTGCTTTTGTAGGTGAATCTCCCGAATATGCAAGACGTCGTCGCGCATTTGGCGTGCTTCTTGTTGAATTCTTGAATCGGTAGCAGGCAATTGTCTCAATTTTGTCAGAGCTTTCAGAGCGTCGTCGTCGCGTCCCTTGGAAGAGAGCCATCGAGGCGAAAATGGCAGAAGGTAGACACCAACTCCCAGCAATAAGGCAGGAACGATTTGAATAAAGAAGGGAAGACGCCAACCCCATTCGCCGCCTAAATATCTTGTACCAAATGTAATCCAGAAAGCGACAACTATGCCCACAACTATAGAAAGTTCCTCTGTATCGATAGTAATTAGTCAGTAAAGTTCAACGTCTGAATTATATTGAAATATTGAAAACAGGTTGGCCGATTGGCAACATTGATCATTCGAACCGGCTTTGAAACATTGAGATCTCAGGTCGGCTCAACGGCTACATTAATCTTCGAGCCAGCATTGTAACCCTAGATTGACCGAATGGCTATATTGATTGTTCGAACCAGCTTTAGAATATTAGAATGCTGAATAGGCCGAGCAACTTTGGACGGCTATTGACCATTCAAACATGCTTGGAAAAACCGACGCATCGAATTGACAAACATCAGAGAATACGGTCTTCAAATTATCCACCCCTAAAAACATTGAAAAGACGCACATGCCATACTAGGGACCACTTACCCATAACGAGCAAAGTACCGCGAATCTCCGGCGGAGCGATCTCCGAGATATACATAGGAGTCACCATTGACAGCATACCGATGCCTATGCCACCAATAAGCCTGGCCACAATGAGCATGTTGAAGCTGACAGCCGCAGTTTGTAATATGCTTCCTATCAAAAAGATGCATACAGCAATCACAATTGAGTATTTCCTCGAGTATTTATCTGCGATCCAGCCCTGATTCAAGGCACCGAAGAAAGCACCGAGTTCGATCATTGCCGTTAAGAGACCCTTCAAAAAGCCGCTAGATTGAGGCCCTACACGAGGAAAATCGACGAGAAAGCTATCCATGACAAGGACGACGGATACTACGCCTTGGTCGTAGCCTAAAAGCTGTTAGAATAATGGATTGTTGTCAATGACTGGAAGCACGTAAAAATATCAAATACGACATGAGATCATGGCTCGTTCGGGGGATGAGAGCTTGGATGTACGTACCAAATAAAAGCCCGCCAATCGTACTTAAAATCGCTGCTCCAGCAACATAAGGTGAAGCAATGATGCCTCTGAATCCGCTTTCCACATATGAATGGAGGGAATCTTCTTCCGTTGCACTTACTGGCACAATTGGGTGATTGATCAAGACATCTTCGACGCCTGCTTCATTCGAATCATTTGAACCACGAGAGCCGTTAGAACCATTCAGCCCATTCAAACCATTTGAATCCTTCGACGCCTTCATCGTCTCGCGCAATTCGTCGATGGGGTTTGAACTGGACGCCATCTCATCAATTGTAGCTTTTGAATGTACGAAATGATCCGAAAGATGGAAAGGTGTAAATCGAGAGGACGTGAAGGGGAAATTTTCATCACTTGCCAGGTCATTGAATTACGGATACCCCGCATCGTGCTTGCCAGTCTTGTTCATTCTAGAAAGGAGTATGAAGAAAGTGTGACTACCTGCCTGGATAGAATAATCAAATCGTGTCTGCCACTTGAAGACCGAATCGAGAAGGGAGCATGTGAGACATGTGGGTGGTGATGTTGAATGATTTTGAATATTTGTGCTTCATTCGGATATCAGAAGTTTGTATATCGCGGCCATCCGTAGTATCTTGCAAATGGCAACTAACAATGAAAATTGTGAGTCTCGTTGCAGTCGCCATCAAAAGTATCTAACACACGACGACTTATTTTATAATTGGAAGTTTTGAGGACTGAGACCGACCCTTATTTGTGGTTGGAGACTGAACAATGGTATCATCGGTCCTGTCGCCGACCACTACTACTTCCTACCTACCCTCTGATAAATACACCATCGCCCACAGAACAAGTGCTACTGTAGACACCTTCAAAATCCAGCCTCGATCAATCATGCGAAATAGACAAACTCGCCCCTTATTACAACTGGGAGTGTAGACTCAGAAACCAACCTGCTTCTTTTTGGCCCTCCAACATATTGGCGACTCGAGAACGATTGCGTTTCTGTGGACAATTACGATTGAAGCGCCTTCCAAGGGTCTCTAATCTCGAAAGCACAATGTCGTAGAAATATCAAACTATTTTAAGAAACCTCATGGCTCAGCCTTTTCCATGATCCCCACCTATGTCGATCAAACCAACACAACAATCAATCTTCCCACCTACCACCTGCCTGGAAAGTGTATGGCAAGCACATGGTGTTCGGCCGGCCGGGCCAGCCGACCGTGATCGTTGTGCAAGGACATAACAGGTAAATCATTTAGGACACACAGCCTTATTTGTTATTATATTTTGTACGAGTAGAGTATTGTAGATTTCACAAAGATGGTTGTAGAGAAGTTGTACGAGTACGGTACTTGAGTAGATGTAAAAAGATGTGGGACAAATTAAGTAGCGGAAGCGCTGTTTCAACCGATGAAAAGAGGGGAAACGAACGGATAAGCCACCAGGCCACCTTACGGTCTGTACCGCAAATCCTCATCCTGTTTGTCTTCGGCACAGGGAACGATTGTGAAGCGTGGTGTGAGCGATCATGATGATCTGAGATCAAAAGCTGCCGATGAATCAGGATAATCGCACGACTTTGCTCTCAGGGTTGATATCAAATAACCCGGGCATTCCGGGGTTGTAGCATTCAGTTTCGTAGAATCTTTTCTATGCTGGATTTTCAGGGGACCTTGAACGTTTCAGACAATCAATCCCCTGCCGACAGAAAGTACAGTATTACATACTCCGTATACAACACCCAGTCAGACTGCTTATATGAAGCCATCGCTATATATTTCGTGTAGGCGCCACATGCCAGCATGGATGTTCTTCACTGGCTTCGAGAAGGGTGTGTGTGGGTATTCTTGTTCAGTTGGAAAATGCGGATGATGATCTTGAGCAAACAGGGTCTAATGGATTCCTCATGCCACATGGTTTTGAAGATATATCGAACCAGCCTACCTCGTTGATCTCCGAGATAGGAAAGGGAAGTTTGTTCGACATGTGCTGGGGCTGCAACCGGACCCGGGAAATCGAGATTGTAACATCCCCTGGGCTCAAGAACGGCTTGAGATGGAGAAATAGCGATAGGAAAGAGTAAAGTCATCATAATGAACAAGAAGTAGAATCTTTGAAAGTCACCTATGCCAGTCTGGTATTTTTGCGAGTTTTCGGTCTTCTCTTTCGCTTTCGCTTACACGCCATTATCTCATCAATCTCGAGCTATTGAAACTATTGTCTAATTTGCTGAGGTTATATTCGTAAATTCATTTGATAGTAATTTGCTCTTCCGACGGCGTATACTATTCTTACCTGACTGATACCTTAGGTGAAATTGGCTCAATGTTTTTCCGGTGAGGTTTTTGAGACATTCTATAGACAATGTAATGGTGGTGGAACATGCAACCATCATCACATACATAAGCAGATGCAGGACTACAATACTAAAATACCCAAGGACTGGGTACCTCACATATCAACCATACTCAAAGAGTACATGTACATTGTACCGTCCACATGATCATGGCTACAAGCAGTAAATCAGGTAAGCACTTAGAAGGTACGAATGCGACGTTGCCGACGAACGAACTGAAGCTGGACATGAGAATCAAAATGAGGTAATCATGGGAGGGGAGGGGGGATAATGATTCTGGAAGTTGTTCTAGCTGCTGCAGGTGTGCGGGTTTGAACAGACTAGCCCGGCTGCAAGTACTAGCTAGGTAGTGATTGTGATAGTGGTTGTTGTTGTTTTGTGTTTATTTTAAGTATCAAAGTAACTATCATGATGTAATATTGGGACGACCTCGGGATATATATTTTTTGGAAAAAGTATAAATTTGTTTGGTGATGAGATTCGTGATGAGGTTCACGATGATGCATTCGAGACAACGGGTGAGCGTGAGCCGTGAGCGTGAGCCGTGCGGTAGGTTGGTTGAACATGTAGGCTGATGTAGCTTTGATGAGAGATCTTTAGGTCAAAGGTGGCGCAATTCTTCTTTTCTTCATCATTTGCCATATAGAGTACCTAGTTGTTGGACGGGCGGGACGAATGCGGTGTCCAGATGCATATTGATGAGTAGAAAGGCAATTACAATGAAGGTATTACCTTCCAAATTTGGAATATGAAACAATCGAAAATGGAATGTATCGTGAAGTTTGAAATTATCAGTAATATCTTAAATGATCCTTTGAGCTTCTTTCTTTCTTCGTGGAGGAAGGAGGTTGACTTGACCGACTTGACCGACCATGGCTAATTATATTATGTACATATTGTGGGTTTTGTTGTACAGAGCCGCGGTGAGTTGATATTTGAAGCTAGAAAGTGCAGTACCGCATCTCCGGCAACGGGTAATTTAAATCAAGAATGGGATTTCCTCGATTCCGGATCTCGGGTTCACGTTCAGTTGATTCTATTTTGAGATATTTTCTCCCACCTTCAACCAATTCACCGACACTGCCTCGAGAACCATGTTTCAAGTTCCACCTACTGTATGACCGTGATAATGGCGGCATGTTCGAAGTGAAGTGTGATGGAGGTAACTAGACCATGATATGTATGGTATCCTTAGTTGACCCAGATTCCTGTATCGCTTTAAAGGTTCTAATACACAATACTGCGACTATATGCTGCATATGCTGCTTGTCGAGATGGGTAAGGTTCGATTGAAAACATAAGATGTTGCTGAAACTCTAGATACTGTAACTGTACCTAAGTACAATGTAGACGAGCTCATGGTTAAAGTTCGCATTGAATGCCTTCATAAATCATCGTTCAGGACCCTACAGGCAATGATTGGTAGAAAGGGAGCCTAGTAGACCTTGTAAGCCGTAAGCCTGTAAGCCATGTGAGATGTGAGATACCTGTGAGATTGGTATGTAATGATCGCAGGACATGACCCACCAAAACGTGGTAATAAACTTCGAATTAAATCCACACATGGCCAAGTATAGCTCTCTGCAGACAAGGCAACAAGATTTTGACATTAGCCCTGCGGATATATCACATAAACTTAATACTGACAGCTAGTAGCGTGAAAGTTTCACACCCTACCCCTACCATCATTTACAGGTAAGTCCTGTTAATGCAATGATTTTCAGGGTCCAGTCCTTTAGTCCTTTGCATATTCATCAAATCATCTACTCGAGAATCAAATCAAGTCAATATTTCAAAAAGATATTCTCAGCGAGGCTGCTCTGGCTCTAGATCTGGGCCGCTGAACATCACATCAGAACCAACATCATACAAGTCCCACACCATATGAAGCAAAGTAAGATTACATATACCATATTTATAACAGTTAAATTACACCAAAGTTTCTAAATAGTTCTACATCAGCGAAGTACTGACTGTATCTTGCTCGTGTTCTTCATCAAACTTAACTTTCCCGTACAGAAAATAGATACCGATATACATACAATAATGGTAATGGTAATGCAAACAGGAATAAGACATTTTGTTTGAGATCATTTTGCCGCCTAGAGGCCTCGGGTATTGAAATGAGAAAACATTAAAACATTTTGAAAAATGGAAAAATGGGGGATCTTTATTTTTGGCGCGACTAGCGTGTTGCTATGGAGATAATTCTACCTTAGAGTCCATTTACTCTCTGTTAAATTTAAAGTACCATTATATGGAGACAGCAGTCAGACATGCTTGCGTTCATCAGACTGATGCCATGGTAACATGGTAGTAACCCCTGGCTACTACATTCAAAAAAACGTGGGTCTGGCTGGAGAAAAGTAAAGACGGTAAGGATAATTGAGATGGGTGTAGGGATCATGGGAGAAATCGACTAGGGAATCATCTTGTCGGAAACTCCATAACTAATTTTATGCGGTTGGTGTTGATCTGCAGATACTCACCTACTAAGCGTTATTAGTCTTTTGTTTAAAACCATCACCAGTTTTATTGACTTTGATTGCTTTTCTTGCCTGCCTACAACTAAGACTTTTGCCTTGTCACGGTACAAGCCTCTTTTACATCTTCAGACCTCTCTTCATCTATGGTTCATGACGAAATATGAAATAACATCGGAGTATTGACATATTGTGTAAGCGCGCGCAATAATTATCTACACCGAATGAATCTCCCTTTGTCGAAGCTAGAAGCGATGCTACTCGAAGGAGAATAATTACTCGTATATGTCTAATCTTCTTAGGGATAGTTTACAAAACATTAACTGTAGTGCTGGTCTATCTGCACACAATGTAACAACAAACTGTCAGATCTGTCATGAACTGGGTCTAAAAGCGTTGTGTTACAAATTACCCGCAAGTTTGGGAATGTCTCTTCAGCATGCCATTCTGATGGCAACCTCGAAGTAACGACAATCAAAATGGATCTAGGTGAAGACTTTAAATTTACCATGTATTGTTACTGGAAGTGGCTTTATCAAAAGTTCCACTTCAATGCATCAAGAAAACCTACTCAGTTACTCAATTGGAATTACCATTAATTAATTTTGCTCACCACTATAATATGGGTCCCTTATATGGTCCCAATGGGGTCCGTGATGAGCGGCGTAGCCATGATTGAGAGGGGAACTTCTCCTGTACTCCTGGTTGAGCTTTTTTGTTGGTATGCCTCCTCAGAAAGCCCTACGAACGCGCTAAGATTATTCAAACGTTGACGTGCCCAGATGAACCCAGAGTGCGGGTGTGTCGCTCTGGCGCCTGTTTTCTTTTCTCCCATCACTTCGACACGAGCAACTCTACGGTCGAGGGGCAACCATGTATAACAGGGTTTAGAATCCTTTTCGACCTGTCCCCAATCTGACCAATCAGATGCTTACGGGAGCAACGCTACAGCGCCTTCCACATACATGCTTTTAGGTACTTTAGAGCCTTACTCCCCTTGGATAACATGAGGCGGAGACCTTGAATATAAGTGCCTCCTGGAATCCCTCGAATAGAACCAAAATAGGTACATCACAACGTCTATTGTTCCTCATCAACGCCGAGTTATAATCTCCCCAGATCCGAACGTAACGTCAGTCTATTTCAAGTGTTACATCTCTTCAAATCTATCTGTATGTGCCGCCATTACAAGTCACAGCCTTCTTATCCCCTGCAAAGATGGATTCTTCGTATGTAGACCAGAGAGACTCACGTCAGTTCAGGTCCCGAACAGACAGTCACCTGTCATCAACCACATCGCAATTTCAAGGTCTTCTTATTGAGACTGGCCCCACCACTTCTTCAGATCACCAAGTTGGAATATCTTCATCAGACTCAGCAACAGCACCCTCAGCTACAACAGCTACCACACTCATTAGTCCACCGATCCCCACATTCCTTCAACAACACAGTTCTGAATCTTCAACCGCCACTGGTCTATCATCACCAGCCCCTCAGCAATATACAGCATTTCCGATCCTTAACAGGAGTGAACTTGACACAGACTGGTCCTGTATCACCACTTCAGAGGCTCAATCAGACAGTTCACTTGAATTACACATTCATCCGGGTCAAACATTTCCTGGTGTTGAAAATCTTGACTACAAAGTTCCTATCCATTCAAATTCCCTTCCAGCAACCATGTCTACTCTTGGTATTCAGCATTATGACCCACGGTTCGATGCCGGTGCACGACCATCATACACTTGGCCTCGTACGTATCCCAGGAGCTATTTGGAAGGAATGGAACTAACTCGAGCAGAATTTGAGATGCACGAACAATTCATCCAACAGCATGAATTGAGCCCACATATCAGCCCTCATATGAGCCCTGGACAACTATCACCATATGACGAGCTCAAACCATCACCGATATACGCACGAGCCATTTCAGATAGTCCACCACGAGCTAATCTCACGCCCGAACAGAGGGAATTGAAGCGACAACGCGACTACGCCAGGAGGGACACGAAGACGAGGCAAAGAAGGGAGAGATCTTTGAGTAACCCTTACGCATCAAATAGAACAACACCAGACATGTTGCCACGAACTCTCCCAGACCATTACTCAAACTCTAACTCTCTTGCCCCAACACCACTCTTATCGCAAGGTCCTTCGGCTCACGGCCTCCCCAGTCCATCTTACCTCGCACCCTACTCACCACACGTATCTGTGACCGATACTACACCTTCGGATATGTACGGGCCAGTTTTCACAATGGGCCCAAATGATTACACACCAATATCAGCGTATTCGGCACCATACTCAATGGGAGGTCATGAATCCAGTCTTCCATCATACGCGTATGTATTCTCTATGGTAGCCTAATTCTCATTTTAAACCACATAACTAACACATTCCAGTCCCCGACCACACTCTCTCTCCTCCGCCTCCGACCAATCCAACCTCAGCAGCATCTACGCACCGCACCCACACTCGCACTCCCCACTCACGCCCCTCTCCTCGATCTCGCACCCATCACACTCACCTCTCGAGCCCCGCGACCACGTCCGCGTCGTACAATCGCGGCCCAAACCCCAGTGCTGGGACCACGGCTGCAACGGCCGTCAATTCAGCACCTTCTCCAATCTCCTGCGCCACCAACGTGAAAAATCAGGCGTGGCTAGTAAATCTTCATGCCCCAATTGTGGCGCCGAGTTTACGAGGACCACGGCTCGGAATGGTCATATGGCGCACGAAAAGTGTAAGCAGAGGAGAAACTCCTGAGCTGGCATGGCTGGTATGGCTGGACTGGCGCCTGGTTTTCGATGCGGAGGCGCCTTTCATGCCAATTTCCTTTTCAGGGGCCGGGTCGCACAAGGCGTGGGGGTCATTGATTTGCGGGAGTAGGCTGTTTTTTCTTCATGGCTTTTCTTGGGTTGGGTATCAGATGCGACCGGACGTGATGAGATGAGATGAATTGTCTATGCTACGAGAAAAAATGAATGAATTGTAAGATTATCGGGTACTGGGTCATCATTATCGCCCTCAACATCATCATATTCAGGTCTCGGGGGCAAACAAGGAGTTAAAATTAGAAATCATCGCTCGTCACAGTTATCTGTTGGGGGTCTTTTGGGCTTGGTTGCTTGATCTGACTGGAGAACACATCTTTTTACCCCTTTTTGGGTTACTACAAAATACCTTCTTGTACATTGTCATCTACTTGTTTTTTTTTTCTCTCTACACTCTTTTTGGATATCCTTTTTTATCATACTAGAGCGAGCAGGTGGCTGTTACTGTTACATCTTGATATTTTTGGGAGGCGATAAAAAATCATTTGTTTTGTTTTTATTTTTTACTTTTTTACTTTATTATCCAGGCTTTCTGGTCTGGTCTGTCTTGTTGTCAACTGCACTCTGCAATGTTATACCCCCGACTTTTCCTTGGAAGCTACTACCTGATGTCTCAAAGAAGAAGGAAGCATTGTCAATCGTTTTGTTTTTTGGTGTGCTGGTTTGGTTTGGGTTTATTTATATGGGGATGCATTGTATTGTACTCGAGTACTGGGTATCCGGTATTTGTTAGATATTTGGATTTATATGGATTATATGGATTATATGGATTATGGAATTAGGAAATGGGAAATGGGAAATTTTTAAAAGCTGTTAAGACTAAAGAAGATATGAAATTTGGTATATGAGGGGTGAGAATACTGTTGATAGATTGAGTTGATAGATTGATTGCTATATAACTATGTATATATATAGTATACAAGAACCAAGCCAAAACGCAATTCCCAACTCAGTATATCAACATCAACATCAACATCAACATCAACATCAACATCAACATCAACATCAACATCAACATCAACATCAACAGGAGAGAACAGAAAGCGTGAAAGAAAAACGATCTACTGTATATTCCTAACGAAAGGCAACACACAAATACACGTAGGTAGGTGGTACCTTATGCAACAGGGAGAGAAAATAAGAAAAGAAAAAAGAAAACAAAACAAAGTAAGAAGGTGTTAGATAGATGAATGAGTAAGTGAGTACAGTATGAATATCATGTTTGAATGTTGTGTATAGTACAGTACAGTATGTATGTATGTACAGTACTCGGGGGATAAAAAGTGTCTAACCTAAGGGGAAAGGATGAATAAAGTGATGCGCTGTGTACGGGATTGGATTGAATTGGTATGTATGTAAGCAAGTAAGGTAAGTAAGGTAAGTAAGGAGGGTGTGGAGGGGGAAAGGGGGAAATGGGAGGACAGTGGAGTGTAGGTAGATGGGTGTGGTTTCTGGTTTGGGGTGGTGAGGCAGGCGGCTTTTGGGGGGGATATTATCTCGTATTATTTGTGATGGTTGTCGTTGTTGTTGTTGTTGTTTGGAGGAGAAGATGGGTTGTTGAGCGGTGTGGGTTGTGTATTGTGTGTATTATTTTGTGGTTGTGTGGTTGTTGGATTATTGGATTATTATTGGAGAGTGTTACTAGAGAGAAGGGGAAAGGAACTGTATTGGATAATTTGGATTAGATTTACTGGTGTCGATTGGAGATTGGGGGTTGAAGAGGTGAGGTGAGCATGAGTGTGGATGGTGAGGATGTGAGAATAGCCCCCTCTAGTTTGTATGTGTGACACACCAATGATCACAATAGTACTGAGTATACATCGATGATATGCGCAGTACATGTAATATACATATACAGTATGAAAAGTCGAATTTTATACACACCACCAATGGCTTTCAAGATTTCAGATATAATAGAAATTTCATCGAATCATGCATCGATTGTCGTCACAATGCCATTCATCATTACTATTTCAAGAAGTGTGTTTCCACCGTGTAAACAATTTCCCCAAATCAAAACCGTAACACAGCCCCTTTACAAATAGCACAAATAGCAACAAGATAGCTGGGCAAAATTCTCCTAGTGACAACGCCTCTGCATTTCCTAAGCACTTTAGATCAGGTGGGTGCAGCTCAAGTACAGCACGTTTTACACACTCATGAAACGCACAATGGCCAGCTGGGCGGCGTATATAACGACGTCCGATTTACTCACAACCGGTGACCTGTTGTACTCATGGAGAATATACATGTACATACTCTGTACATAATGCGCGCACCCATGTCTGCAGATAATGTGGAATTGCAACAGCGTCTTTCCTCTTGCAGTCTTGGCTCGGTGTGGCAACAGTCAGATTTTGGAGGGAGACCTGGGGGGGGGGGGGGGGGGTTGAAAATATCCTGGTTTGCCATGTGTACCAGATGTTTGCCACCACACATTGAGGATAAAAAGGGAAGGATTAGGTGCATTGCTGATCTGGGGTTGGGGGCCGGTCATCATTGGTTGGTGGGCTTGCCTGACTATGTTGCATTGCAGATTCGGGTTGCAGCGCAACGTGGAAAAGATTATGCAGATGTAGAGAAGGGGGAATTTAAATCTTATGCTTTCTTGTACAGTGCTGTAGTGCAACCGGAGTCCTGGCGGATATGCAAACGCAGAGTGATTGTTTTCATGTGATGTTATGTCTTTGGTCTGCGCATGAAGCTGGCTTGCTTGAGAAGTTAAGAAGGTGGTGTTTCATAACATGTTTGATTATTCTGAAATATGGTTGTGACTTGGACTTTGTAACTGCAGAAAATGTTGAGTGCAGGGAAAGGATAATAAATCATCTCAACACCAGGCTGCCTGTTATCATGATGACTTCTAATAACGAGATTTTCGAGAATAAAAAGAGCCACTTGGCCGATCAACTTCAATTTTCTAAGCTGGAGTGATTGATGTCACCAAGTGACCGAGGTGAAATTGTAAGTAAAAGCTGAATCTTTATCGATATCGTATTGACCGAGTATGTAAGATCAAATATGCTTGTACGACAGCTGTGTATCTTTCATTTGGTTTGAAGATATTTTTGGAATTAATGCTTCTTCATGATCGAATCCGGTCTGCGGTGAATTGAAATGAGTTGGATTGGATATAAGAGTCTTATACCTATGTAAGCACAACTTGAACAAACTTGGAGATGAAAATCTTGGTAAGAAATTACTCCACGATACTCCTCTTCGTATATCTGATAGATCTCATTTCTCTATTTAAACTTGGCTTTCTCTCCTTTTGGATTGCTGTAAATTAGAATGGTACAATGTAATCCTTCAGCCTCGAGCTGCATGATTTTTGCCCCTCTTTCTTGGATGAAATAGGAAATTGTTGATATAAATAATGTATCAGTAATATATTAGATCATGTACCTATCTCTGAAGATTCTGTGAAGATATTGAATCCAAAACAAGTCGAGGATGTTGACAAAGAGATAAGGTAACAGTGACAAGGCAAAGAGACAAGGAGAGGAGGCAAGGTGACAAGGTGACAAGGTGATAAGGATCAGTTCAAGAAATTCTATATTCTATATTCTATCCCGCATTTCAAAACCCATGTTTGATTTATAAGAACTAACCTAACCTAACCTAATAAATACTCTAATATAGGAATTTAACCGGTCTGAGTAACCTGACCTTCAATGAGTACCTACTACCTAGTAATTGAGTGACCCCTGGGTTTATTTCTTATTATATATTGTGCCGCAATTAATCTATCAATGAATGCTAGACAATGTCAATGTTACAATGCATGTGCAACGTCTCAAACCTTGGAAGTCCTACTTTCGAGACGGTTAACACTACATATTGTTGCATGCTCTATCTGTAAATGTCAAATGTGGTGTGTTTTCAGTATGCCAGTCTTTATTTTTTACCATCTTGTACTCGGGGTCGCCGATATCATCACGTACATTTGCCTCGATTGCCTGGTATCTGATGATTTCGTCGAAGATCTTGTCTTCGAAATGTCAAGCGGTATTTTGTCCTCCTTGCGAGGTGAGATGCTCAATTCTGCATGTCCTCTTCGATTTTTGAACCAAAAGGGAAACATCGATGGCCCATAATAAATAATATTTCCTCTGACCTTGGATCAGTTCGGATTCTTCGGTGATATATCGTCGAAAAACATACTGGCTAGAGCTTTCAATAATCTATCTAGAACCACACACTTGTGAACTGAAACAACAAGAGCTCATCATACTCAAGCCTCTAGTCAATAGTTCTGGATGCCGTCTCTAGCCGTCGCCTACCTAGTTGGCGTGGATACCCTGATACAAGTTTGAAGATATGCAACTCCGCACCATAGCTATCATATTCGAACCTACAGAATTTTGACTATTAGTTATGTCCCAGCTCTGGAGAATCCTATTTCTTGCCCTTATTCCATCTTCGATCGTTCATCGCCTGGTCTAGGATCAAATCACGCTCATTCTCACCGTCGATACCCTTTTCGTCTTCTTTTGATCACATGTACTCGAGTACAGATACTACTTTACTATGATAATATTGCTACTACTATGAGCTTGGTTATTTAAGTAAAGAATCTACTCTCAACGGCACTACACCATCACAGAACGGTCAGAAGTCAACAGCTTTATCGTTCAAAGCAGCAGAACCTAGCCACTTGCGGACTTACAACTCGGAGCTCAAAAAGTCAAGATATTGGCAGGTTCATACAGGCATATGAAACGTAATACATCTTATTGCAGATCTTCTTGGTGTAGAATGTTTCTCTGAACTCCTCGATACCAAACTACTCCTCTGACACACTTTCGCACTTCTCTCCAATGCCCATCCGGAACCTATGTACAATCTTCCAATCTATTTTGGACCAGTTTCGGCAGCTGGGCTAAACATGCAAATAGGTTGTGGTTATTGATATACTGAATTGATTTAACATCAACTGAACCTATATGAATTGCATTGTCGCCTCTAATGAAAAAAGATAGTCAAGGGATCGATTGAGATGCTAGAGTGATGGGGTGACCTAGCTTCCTTCACATGTTCCGAGTTCTCCGAGAAGTCACACTTCTCTCCTCATAACCCGCGCCTTCCCCAACATACCAAACCATCAACAACAATACATAATCGTACCAGAGAGGATCTCAACCCAGGGTTTCCTACTCATCAAATAAAATTCGTACTTTGCATGGTGAGAATATCGTACTAGTACTCGTACTACGATGCGAGTCTTGATTGCAAATAAAAACCTTCATATCCTTTCACACACCGTTATATTTACTGATCATTATCACTCATCCAATAAGCCTCATCAATGACCATGATCATTTTACCTTTCTTCCCGGGGTCCATTTTCACAATTCCAAGTGCACTTATGGAGGGCAAGATATAAATGATACCTTTGCGGTTGTGATTTAGATTGTCGTTCAATTCTACCAGTTCTACCGAATTGAAGGACGTATGGATTGCAGATCCCTTTGATCTCACTGGAAGATATATCTTTCCCTTCCTGACCATACTTCGAGAGATGACGGTTTAATTTGTGAAATTGAGACTAAGAACCCTCCCATTATTAGACTACCTAGGTAATCCCAATCCAAATTCTAAATAGCAAAACCTCTTCGTGCTCTATATCTTTATATTCTGTCCCCAATCCACGGGGCATCTTATACACTTTCCCACCACAAAAGTAAGTAAGAAATCCAAACCCCGTCTCTCCAAGTCCTTCAAAGTCTTATCACTTCACCAACACAAAGCCATGCTTCTCCTCCCAGATAGTATGACCCATGTAGGACTCATAGGCTAGAAGTCAATCTATAGATCTCATGCGAAGAAAATATCTCATTATTCGACTCATGCTGCTCGATAACTTACATGCTTGTAAGTTGTAAGCCGAATTATTTTTATTCTCCCTGTGCATAAACATATATATATATAAATGTATGTGTGAGACAATTAGAACCCAACAGTAAGATTACTTTTCCAACCATAATAGTCGGCTCTCCATGGTACAGCCGCCTGGTTCCCAACGGCCGTTTCATAGAGAGCCGACTATTAGTTTCTAATATGTCATGTCTTCATGTTTATCTTGATTACCAGCATAGGCATGCTCGAGTAGTTCCCATCTATTTCAATTTTCATCAGCGCCCTATAGATTTCTATCGACGTCACTCACTATCTGTATACGTGATTCACAGGCCTCATACTCATATTGTATAATAAATGTCATACAAAACTCTCCATCAATACTGTATTGTATGCTTCCAGAGTGCCTGCCTGTCTACTTTTGGCTCTCATGTCCCCATATCCCCATATCCTCATATTTACTTATCCAAGTAACTTTTAAAATCTTCCCATTTCTCGATGAACAATGACAGACGGGATCCAGGCCGGCTCTACTATCCTCCCCCTTCAAAAAAGCAAAAAGACTCATGACTGCGGTTCTTTAATACCCGAGTGCATATATACCTAAACGTGTTTCGCGCATAATATGATATGATATGATATAATATGATATAATCATGATATACTCGAGTACACAAAACCAACAGAATTCAATTTCACATCGAAATGAGATAACATCTTACCTTTGACGATTCATGAACTAATGTTCCTGGATAGAAGGAGATATACATAGGTAGGCAAGTAATATAACTAACTACATCTATCACTACGAGTAGAATATGTACATGTACACCAAACAATACACCACAAAATCCATACATAATACAGGGCTACACGAAGAAGGAAGAGGAAGAACACATACACTATTATATGCAATATGCAAGATTCAATATTTGAGTATACATCTACAATATGCATTACAATGCTCGAATTCTCAAATTACCCAATACTAAATACAACGCTCCACGTTTTATTTTCTTCCTGACCATAACAGGCACCTTTACCATCTTGAATAATTCCCTTTCAAAAAACCCATCCTATCTACTCGTACAAGGAGATCTCCACTCTCAACTTGATATTCAATTATTAACAATTTTCCCCCCCTCCTCCCGAAGAAACACTTTATATCCTGAATGAAATCACCACGACAACACCTAACCTTGTTAAACACCCAACACCCCAAAACCCATTGCTAATTTCCCTCCCTCCACTTCCCAAATATTCCCCATCACCCACCCAACCATCTAACCATCTAACACCATATCTCCCTAACTTCGATCGGTTTCCCCCGACAATCCCCATCATCCCTCCAAGCCTCATCCTCATCGACCGCCATAAAACCCAAGCCCGGGACTGGCCCCCCCCCGCCACATCCAGCAACGAAGACCACTGCTCCATCTCCGCCTCTGAGAAGCCCTCCGACCCATACCCGTCCCCCAAAATCTTGATTCCATACTTGCACTCCACATTCATCCTATCCTTCTATCTCTCCCATTCCCTCTCGCTCTTCTGCACCTGCATATATTCCTGCATCGTCAACGGCGGTCCTGGTAATCCCCGCGAGCCCAGATATATATACGTTGAACCTGGTACTGTATCAAACATCTCCTTTTCCTTTGCTTTTTCTTTTGCTCCTTCTTTTGCTCTTTCTTTTGCTCATTCTTGTCCGCCTTCATCTGCTTCTTTTCCTTCTTGTCCGCTCTGCGCTTCTTGTACTTCGAGAGCGTAGCCGACTCATTCGAATATACCCTTTCTAGACCAGAGCTTTTTTGAAGCACGGCAGAACGCGCGCAATCGACGGCTTTGCTGATTTTGGAGAAGAGTTTTTTGAAACGCATGGTTGCTGATGTTTTGCAAAACTTGGGTCGTGTATAGGAGGTATTGAGATCCTTACTGCTCGCTGTGAACAGTAAGAAGTAGTTTGTAGTTATAATATTATGACCACCGTCTAAATGTCTGTCCGTCGAGACGATTGTTGTTTTGTAATGTATCGTAGTCTTGTAATGTATCGTATGTGCATGTGTATATGTATATGTATGTGTATTATATATTTCAGATAATCGACTCAAGATCAAGTAAGATAAATTATCACAGCACGTATGTGTATGTTCAATCCAACAGAAGAAGATTATTTTTTCAGAAGCCACAACAAAGCTTTATATACCTCACCCCAAAGAGATTCCCCAATCAAGAGTGTGCGAGCTACCAAACTCTAAAAACTCTAAAAACCAGGCTGTCGAGAAGCCGGTCCAAGTTATTTTCTCTTTTAGCTCTATTCCAACACTCTTAGTACATCAATACAGGCACTATTCCTCGATCGAGATCAAGCGCCATACGCTAGACTTCCAACTCTACACCATCGAGAAGCCGGTCCAAGTTTCTTTCCTCTCTTAGGTCTATTCCAACACTCTTAGTACATTAATACCAGCACTATTCCACGGATCGACACCAAGTGCCGAACGCTAGGCTGTAGATCCTGCACACCATTGGAAAGCCCGTTGGGTTTTTAGCTGCCCCACTCAATGTACTAAGGGAAAAACAACGATTCAATGACGTCTACGAGTGAGTATATTACCAGAACAGAACAGAGGACACGTAAAGGTAAATTAAAAAGTCTTCTGTTATATGACAAAATTGATCCCCAAAAGGTAGTCCATTGAAAAGCTAACAAGGAACTTTATTCTATTCGCCCATCTCGTCACTATGTATGGACAACTCTGTAAAAATACCTAAGGTATAGCTAGAAGTAATCGGAGTATGGGATATGGGTATAGTACTCCTTCAAAGCCAGTCAAAGCCAAAGCCAGCGCAAGTAAAAATATGTAGAAAAGAGAAAGAAAAACTGCTCAAAAAGCGCAGATGAAAGATACATGAAAACACTACAAATATATGCCCATAAAACCTATATCTCCATTGAACTCTTTCCCTAAAGACCTCCCTAATTATATGCAATAAAAATTTTGTATGGATATAAGTATGAACGGAGAACTTTCTCCTTCCCATCCATAGCGTGAAAAAAATGTGAAACTCATAACATAAGTGGTGGTGTTTATTCGTCCATTACAATTAGACTTTAATAGACATCTTTCTTGGTCTTTTTAACTCTTCCGATAATTCCTCGCGGACCGTTCGGCACCATTTCCAGATCACTTCTTCGAATCCTTCCCACGCATCACGGTCCTCACTATTTACAACTCCCATGACATCAAATTTGACTTCTGCCTCCCATCTTAATTCCGCAGCTTTGACCCAGAAACGAAGGTTTTCGGCTAATCGGTATGGTTTGTTGAATTCGGTGTGGAAGGTAGATATTGCTCCAAAGGGTCTTTTGCTTTTCTTGACTGCTGCGTTATGTAGCGTCACCAGCCTTAGGCCGGTTTTCATTTCCGCAAGGAATGGTGTAGGGAGTAGACTGTCATCTTTTATATCGTCCACCAATGACAATGGTGGTAGAGTATCGGGTTCCGGATCCATGGATTTTAGGAATGCGTACTCTCTTTCAATTTCCTTTCCTGCCCAGTCATCGCCATGAAGCCATGTCCAACTTGCTATTAATTTTCTTTCTTCCTCTTCAAGAACTTTCTCTCGTCTAAGCATGTTGCGTACGCCGTCAACCCAGTTGTCCATCGTCTCCCTTTCGTCTGTGCGTATTCCATTGGCAAATCCACGAGTAGCCATACGTTTCAAGACTTCGAGGACAGATAACAGGTCTCCTCGGATCTCTCTTTCGGACTTGATTGCTAGGAGGCGTTCAGGATGCTCGTGGGCGGTATAGTACAATTTTGCTGCACGAATAGCAAGAGTCATGATATCGAGCATATGCATGCCTTGAACCTCAAACCAACCTTTATTCTTAGCGTCGGGTGTTGCGGGATTGGTGGGTTCGACTTTGGATTTCGGCAATGGAGATGCCGGTGGTGTCCTTGCGTGCTTTGCGTCTTCTAGGGATATAGTAGCATTATTGAGAGCATCCACCAAGCACCTTCTAAGTTGGTCAAGAGTAGGAGGAGGTGCAACAACTTTCTCGCGGTGAATATAGGTACTCGCTGTCGGAGGGAGCATATGTGAAGGATTGTCGTCTTCATCGCCGCTAAAGTATTCATCCTCGTCCTCATTGTAGTCGTGTATAGGACTTTCCACAATCAATCCACCCAGTTGTGCAGAGAGCTCGGGGCTGCTAGCCGTGGAGGCATATGATGAGTCCGCATCAGACCCTGACCCAGGTACAAGGAATGACGTGTCCAAAATCGATAAATCCAGAGTTTCCCTCCCATCCTTTCTCTTCTTTATTAATCGCCCACCTTTCCCGTCCAGCAGACCGGTTCGAGCGAAGTAATATTGCAAATGCGCTATGCTCCCCAAGCTCAAAACACTATCTCTTGATTGTGCCGATTTCGCAAAATTGGTTCCTTGTGGTCGAACATAACCGCGTCGTTTCGGCTTGTCCGGACCTGCCATGGACGTTCTATTCCCATAATTCGCAGATGATGATCGTGAAACCGAGCTTCCGACTGAACTATGCTCAGATGCGCGACTCATAGTACTTGATCTTCCAGAAAAGACTGAGCCCTCGGAGGCCGTCGAAACACATCGAGAAAAGTCTTCAGTTGCTCCTATAGCTGGTGTTGGTATTCCAGTTGGAGATGGGGATCTTCTGGTGAGGGAGGGCCGTCCGGTGTATTCTTCTGCTGTCTCCATGGTTGCCTGTCCTGGAAAATCTGGGAATCGTGCTATCTTTATCAATCCCAAATCCAACGTAATATTATTAACAATTCGAAGATTATTCACTTGGCACAGCCTTGAAAATCCTCTGAATCCTTTCCTTGAGAGGATTTAAAAGTCTCAATCCCAAAGCAACGCGGTCGCTGTATAGAAGATTACGAATAACCTAATACCCGACTCCAAGACCTTTCTGAATGTCAAACGATTTCTCGGTGTTATGGAGAAGTTGCAGGGTTCCGCGTTCTGAAACGAATGAAGTGAAGGTTGAAGTGATCTCTAAAAGAATGCAAGGCTGCCCAAAGCGTTCTTGATAAGCCTAGGTAACCTTTGAGAGAGAGAGAGAGAGAGATTTGGATTGGACCAGAAGTTATTCTGTAAAATGAATGAATGTACGGTACTGTAAATGTAATGTAATGTAATGTAACGATTGAAGTGAAGAGGAACTACTGAGTAAGTGGAGGAAGAAAGCGAATTATTGAATCGAATCGAGTATGAAGAAAGTCTGTCTTGAAATGTCTTACTGTACTGTATTTGTTTTATGAAAGAAGCAGAAGACGAACAAGAAGAAGAATAAGAATCATATGGAAATAGTCCATCTGCCACGCTGTCTAATCTGGTAATCTCGTTTCAGGGCAATGGTTCACGTTTCCTCAAGGAAAAGCTTCGGAAACCCTCCATCCACTATTGATGAAATTTAATGAATTGAAATGAATTGAAATGAGTATGAAAGCAATTCCATAAGACATATTTCCTAATCTCTTACCTAATTGGCTTGCTCAGTTTGTCAACATCATCTTTACTACTCCAGCCCTACAATATATTCCGCAAAGGATGGTTCGGGAGATTAGGAGCGCAGCGGAAATAGAACAAGTTGCATATCTTGAGGATCGTATTGGTCACGTGATTATACATTAACTCCTTTTGGGCATGTTCTCAAGTCCATCTGCTTGTTGTTAGAAGTACTATTTAACACCCAGTAGGTGCTATTCGAGAATCATAAGGTTGATTTTCAATACCTAAGCCAATGAACCATTCAAAGTAGCCCCCCACCAATAAAACACCTCAAAAGTTCAACCCCCCAATCAAGCGCCCAAAAGCCCCAGCCAGAACAACCACAACCTATAACTTACACGTTTCACATATTCTCCCAGCAAACCGGTACCACAACCGCCCAGACGTCTTATCTGCAACCCCTAGATACCAATCACATATACATATTATTCTCCCAGTCCAATCCAGAGCTTTCAAAACTCTTTCCTATTATGTGGAGAATTCACAGCTGCAGGTTTCAAGTAGAATTTATTGGCGGTGGTTGAATGGTTTTGTCAATTTTGAACGGGAGAATGCAGGATGAGGTGAGTGATAAGTTGGGGATTCGTCGTATTTGTTTATTTTTGGGAGAGGGGAGAGAATAGAGAGATAATAGAGGTGTATATAAGATAGGGGGCCATTCAGTGAAAATTATGGCGTTTCTATGATATTTAGTTTCGGTAGCTTCTGACAGAATACAATAATTCGACATTTGGATTTTATATATTGATTGTCTGGTGCATCGCAGACCTCTATCGCCCCCTTCTTCTTTTCGAACTAAACGACTACACACCGTAGAATACGTTCTATATCTTCCTCTTCCAATCCCCATATCACACACTATCCAATACACCCCCAATACACCCTCAAACAAAGTCCAAAAATGGACATGGAATTGAATGCACCTCTCCTCCGTCCCACCACCCCAATCTCTGCCCACAGCTCTTCCATCACCTCCTCTACCTACCGCACCTTCAAACTCAGCCGTAGCAGACCCCTCTCCACCTACACCCACACCTACACCCACACCTACACCTCACCATTTTCGCATTCCAAATTCCCCATCCTGAGTCCCCAATCCTCCGGCTCCTCAACTTCATCCCATTCATCCAGCTCACGCTCATCATCCCGAAACTTTGATTCCAGCTGTCTGAAGCCCTCAGCGACCCTCTCACGCACGCGATCCCTCTACACAAAATTCAACACTGAAGTACAATTTATAAAATTGAAGTTGACAGCTCGAAGAAGAAAGGGGAAAGAAGGGAGATGGGTTAAGATTGAGGGGGAGGGGGAGAATGAGAGGAGAGCTGAGGTGTTTTGGAGGAGGATAGATGGGGGACAGGGGATGATTCCTTATGGTGGGGTGGGGAGGGAGAGATTGGAGTGAGGGATCAATGAATTGAATCTTGAGAAGGGATTTTGAGAAGGGGAACGCTGTGATACCAGGGGCAATGGGCAATGGAAAGAATGTCGGAGTTTGGTGTATAGATTTGATGTATGGAGTTAAAGACGGTGCGGGAACGTACGGGGATCTAGTTTGTCTTTGAACTATTGAGATAATTGGCAGAGTTCTGGGAACTCCCTCCGCTAATGAGTAGCTACTAGCGCTGTCAACACAATGATTAATGTCATGGACAAGTATAAGAGAGAGATCAATGATATTCCAAGTGCTTTCTCGGTTTCTAAAAAATGAGGAAACTATATTCTGTGCATCTTTTCAATCGAGCTTGAAGTTGAAGGCCAATACAGAGTTCATATATCTGTCTCAATTAACCTCGCCGTTCAATATATCTTGAGGTCGGCACTATCAGCCTAAAATCAAAGAGTCCGTGAACCGTGACAGCTCGAAGGGTTAAAAGTGCAAATACGATCATGTAATGCACCCAGGTCCCAAGCGAAGTTAATGAGGAAATGAAGGGGATGAATACGGAATAAATTCATCATGAATCTTTATCTGCCCATCCAGCCACCATCTATCGTCAGAATGTGTCCCGAGATATATGCGCTTCCCTTGCTTGCCAAGAATACGACGCTCGCTTTGAAATCTTCTGGAACACCCCAACGACCCGCCGGAATTCTTTCACTGATACTCCTCAATCTTTCTGGATTGGCCAATAACGCAGTATTCATCTCCGTCTCAATATAGCCTGGAGCGATCGCATTAACGTTAATCCCTTTCGATGTCCATTCGTTCGATAAGGCTTTGGTAAGTTGTGCCACAGCACCTTTCGATGCTGAATATGCAGGAACTGTGAGACCACCTTGAAAGGTAAGAAGACTAGCAAAGTTGATGATGCTGCCTCGACGACCGGTGGAAGCGGATGGTTCGAGCTTTAACATATGGGCACCAACATCGCGACAGAGTGAGAAGACGGTGTTGAGGTTAACTTGGATCACCTAGAGTAATAATTATTAGCACGATCCACCCTCTATAAAAATGGTCCATGAGATACGTACTTCGTTCCAATCATCATCCGGGAACTCGTGGCTCGGATGACGCCGTTGAATTCCGGCACAGTTTATGAGAATCTGTATGATGTGTCCATCTTTTAAGACGGCAGATGTGATGCCGGCGACTTCTTCCTTCGATGCAAGATCCGCGGTGTATATGGTAGCTTTCTTGCCAAGAGCTTCGATAGCTTTTTGGGTCTCGAGATTATCACGATTACGCTGTACACAAACGTTGGTCAGCACAATTCATATTCAAATACAACGTAACAAAACTCCAATTACCTGTATCAAGATCAAATCTGCTCCTGCCTCAGCAAGTGCTATACAAACAGCTTGTCCAATGCCTCGAGTACCACCAGTAACGAGAGCGGTTTGTCCCTCTAAAGAAAACAGTGCTGCTGAAGCTGCGGTAGCCATTGTATTATTTTGTGCCCGAATGTTGTCTTTTAATTTTATCTCACATCTTATTTATAGTAAGTACTTGTTTCTATGTTTCTATATATATCAATCGATGATTCAAAAATTGCCATTTGTTGTGTTTCCCCTCCAACAAGCGGGCCGAAAAGTTGCTATGTACCTACCTAGGTAATCTCCAAAAGTCCCCAAGTTTCTCCACAGTGGGTCGTGGGGTATGAAATGACCTGTCCTGTTTGTAACATCCGTCATAACCCCCCATGATTATCGGCACAAGAGGTATTTATTAGTATGAGGTACTACTTCACAATGTCACAAGTATTTATTTCGATATTGAAATGAATTCAAAAGTTATCAGAAAACTATCATCTCCTACAAGAAATTACTCAACATCATGGCTTACACTCATAATACCGAAAGCAGTGGGCAAGGTGAAGTGAAAGCTTCCGTGCTTCATGGCGCCAAAGATTTGAAAGTTGTAAGTGGGGGTTGTCAATAGTTTCATGAAGACAAGAATACGTTGACTAACATTCGAAAGGAAAATCGTACTGTTGGTGTACCTGAAGCAACAGAGGTACAAGTTGCGGTTCAAGCGACTGGTCTCTGCGGATCTGACTTACATTACTATAATCACTACAGAAATGGAGATATAATTGTAAGGGAGCCCATGACTCTTGGTCATGAATCTGCTGGTATTGTTACTGCTATTGGATCCGAAGTCAGCAATCTGAAGGTTGGAGACCATGTTGCGTTGGAAGTAGGACTTCCTTGTAAGACTTGTGACTTATGTGTCACTGGAAGATATAACATTTGCAAAGAGATGAAGTTCAGAAGTTCGGCGAAAGCATTCCCCCATTTTCAAGGAACTCTGCAAGAAAGGATCAATCATCCTGCAGCATATTGTCACAAGTAGGTATCAATTTTGTGCTCTTTTTAACACGTGCTTACCAGTACAGATTACCATCAGATGTATCTCTTGAGCTCGGTGCCGTGCTTGAACCTCTCAGTGTCGCCATACACGGTACGAGGAGAGCAGCTCTACCAAAGGGCAAGACTGTGCTCATATTTGGTGCCGGCGCAGTGGGTCTCTTGTGCGCTGCGATGTGTAAGGTATCCGGTGCAAAGAATGTTGTAATAGCAGATATACAGCCCGACCGATTGGATTTCGCGCTCCAGAACAACTTCGCAGATGCCAAACTCTTAGTCCCTATGAAAAGACCTCAGTCGATTGAGGATAAGTTGGCATTCGCGAAAGAGGTTGCAGAATTGGTCAAGGAGGCGTCCGAAGAAGGAGAGGTCGATGCAGTATTTGAATGTACAGGTGTTGAATCATGCCTTCAGGCTTCGATATATGTGAGTCGAATGATATTCCATGGAGGTTGGCACTAATCCACGTTAGTCAACCAAACCGGGAGGAAAGATAATGCTAATTGGGATGGGAAATCCCATACAAACACTACCAATCTCCGCAGCAGCTCTACGAGAAGTTGATCTCGTAGGCGTCTTCCGATACGCAAATACTTACGCAGATGCCATCAAACTTGTGGCCAGTAAAAATCCTTTACTTCCGGATCTCTCGAAGCTAATCACGCAGAGATACAAGGGGTTCGAGAACATTCCGGAGGCGTTTGCAATGGCTGGTAAAGTCAAGGATGATGATGGTAATTTGGTTCTGAAAGTTCTCGTTGATACCACTGAGTCGTAAGGGGGATTAATTCTATTCCGAAAGGCTACTTACAATTCATCCGTAGCCCCTAGAAGAATGACCTTGGATCTTTCACCTGATCAAGGATGGGTGATGGCAAGGATTCACGAACAAGTGAATACATTTACATTTTTATGGGTGTTGGATCTGTTGTTATAGAGTTAATGGCTTTATTACATTTGGTAGACTTTGTAGAAAGGTAGAGTTTGATCATGTTCCTCAACAGAAGCTCTATCATTCTAGATCATATGAAGGCAACGAATTTATCGAATTTATTTACTCAATAGATCAAGTCTTGATAATCAAATCTCACTCAAGGGATCTCTGAATCTTTCATGGCTCAAAGGTGAACAATTTTGTGAATGCTTTTCCGACCTTACCCGGCCAGAACAGGTTAGACCACCCTCCTTAAGCCACAAACACACACACTTTTGTGGTGGGGTTTTCACCCTGCTTGCCAAACTTTCAACAACAAAACAACAAAACAACAAACTTTACCAGTTCTCTCAATCCATAAAAAAAACATTCATATCCTTTAAAGACCATCATATTAGCTAGCTGTAAGTTCTTTCTCTCAATATCCTTTTTTTTTAAAGCTTTCTAAATCTCGAAGTCGCGCTCTGGAAGGGTCCTTTTGAATTTTGTGTTCGATCTGAAGACTTTAACTCAACTTAACTTGCGTTTTTTAGCAGTAACTTGAATATATAGAGAACGATGCTTACTTATTTATGAAAAGCAGGAGCAGGTCTCTTCCAAAAATAAGCAAAATAACAATTGCTCGTCAAAAGTTCGAGCAGATTGTTAATGGTGGCCCAGAGCTTTCTCCCAAGAGGAGGAAAGTCACCGAGCAAGCTTGCGCAAAAAGCTCTTCAAGACGAGGGCTTATTCGAACACCGCTGGTAAGTGTTTCCTTTCCGTGACAAGACTTGACGAAAAAGGGAACTGATCTTGGATACTAGATCGCGCTGTCTTGAGTTCACAACAATAAACAATAAACAAACAACAAACACCAAAGCCAAAGAAGTCTAAGTGTATGGTGGCCACATGTCATCACTTAGGAATTCAATCTTTCGGTCGGAGACATCGGTTTGCGGATTTGAAGAAATATTTGATGCCGCCAAGGACGACGTCTCGTCGTGAGATGCGCAACCAAATGTCATTTCCGACATTGAACTTAATCGACTTTATCTCTTTGCGTTTCCTCCATGGCTAAGTACCACTTGTCCACTTTGTTGGTGTGGAATTTGAGATGATTTGACACGTCTGCCTCCAAGTCCTTGAGTTTAACGCCGCTGCGAGGGATTGTTGGGGAATGTCAAAGGTGTCACGCTTTGGCATGCGCTTTGAGCGATACATTCACCCACATCCCTTGATCAATCATACAAAAGATGCAAGAAACACCTTCTGCCAAGAGAAAAAGTTGGGCGACCTCAATGATTCCAGAGAACAAAAACAGAAAAAAAAAGGTATATATATGTATATTGATGCGTTTCGCTTGGATCCAAGATGCTGTGCTGACTTTGAATATTTGAATTAGAGAACTTTCTATACTTATTGAGATACATCAGATTTCAAGTTTCAGAGCCCTCCTCGCTTCTCTACCACGTAGGAAACTTCAAGAGAAAGATAATTTGAACCATGAAGACCAATCTACCTATTAAGATACATGTGCCACATTGAGCAAATTCTAGAAGCGAGGAGGGCTCTGATACAACGGGAGAGATAGTAAGAGGTGGATATCCTTACTACTTCGAGAAGAACAATGGCCGTATGGTCATGGCCAGAAAGATTTCAGGAAGACTACGGAAGAAATCGTAAGATGGACGATTTGAACCTTGAAGCCCAATCTACCTATAAGATACATGTGCCATGTTTCGAGCACGCTCCAGGAGCGAGGTCGGCTCTGATACAACAGAAGAGATAGTAATAGATGGATATCCTTAGTATTTCAAAAATAACAATGGCCGTATGGTCATGGCCAGAAATATGTCAGGAAGGCAAGAGAGTAAGAAGTTCAGCTTACTAGGTCATGTCTGTGGGATCCAATCTATCTGTTGATCTAGAGGACGAGCAAGAGCTTGTAAGTTTCTTAGTTTTCCAGATCTACCAGTGCAAGAAAGTCAAGCTAATTTTGTCCGAGGAAAAAAGCGAGATTGCCGCCAGAGCCATTGAGGCACGTTTGCAAGCTCCTATACTTCTGCCAGGAGTGGGAGTGATTGACTCAAGGCAATGTTATGGGGGATTAGAAGTTACTCTGTTGTCACACTGGTTTTTATTGATCATTCTTTTGTACTCGAGTACTGTACTGAGACTTTTTGTAAATCCACAAATGGAAGGTACCGATATCGATATCGATATTATGGGCTTTCTCTTGTCTCATGTGTATGTATCAATTATCAATACTCGCTCGTATGTATAAGAAAATGACTCTATATGTGAAATCCAACCAAATATACTGTATGTAGATGGGGAAATCACCAAGATTGTATCTCCGAATATGAACTTGAATGCAAAAGATTGAAACTCTGTTATCAATGCTACCCATTACTACTCAAGTATTCACTCACTATTATATCATGTATTTGAGTACATTTCCTCAAAAAAGGCATGAGCGGAGATGTAAGCATCAACCACAGCGGGCTCAGCAGATACCGGTCGATTCTCCTTGTGTTTCTCCTTCTCCTTCTATACCTGTTTCCGTTTCTGTTTCATCATCATCTACCGTATTACAATTTGCCAGTCCGTGACATTTTCCAGATTTACACGCAAGAATTGACAAATACCATACTACCATACCGTATGAGCACAATTTGATATGACGAGTAATAAGGTTACAGTATAAGGCCCGGATATGCGGAACAGCGAAACAAACTTTGATGAGTTCGTTCATATTCATGTTTGTGTGCTAAGTAATAATAGAAGTGAAAATTGGCAACTTTGATGGAGAACTGATTGACTGAACTGACTGATCCTTGTGTTTTCAGATAGATATGGGGAATATTGTTTTGGTGTTGAGTTTTGGGGAATAATGTATGATGTACCGGCATGATGTTGAGAGGGGATGTCGATACTCGAGACTCGAGAGGTGATGTCGAGAGGTGATGTCGAAAGGCAAATACCTATTATTGAAAGTTACCTGTGTAATTACCTAGTGAATAATTATTATTGATCGGTTGAACTACTGGTACTCTAGAAGTTTAGTTTGTTAAATTTCAATTTGCAATGATTAGGTTTGGCTTGTTTAATTCCCATGACTGCTAGTTAAACTATAATCCTTTAATCTATCAATTTAATTATTTAATTAGTTCAACTGATAATCTATAAAAAGTTCGAAACTCCTCAAAACCCAAGATACTATAGATGACCGAGACTAGTTGGAAAGGATGATCTCAGTCATTGATATCGAGAGTCGAGACAAGGCCATTGAGACAAGAAGTAATAGGATTGATTCATCTTTATATTATAATTCGGATTATAATAGCTGCCCCTCTTAGGCTTTAACATAAAGGCGTTTATACTTAAGTAAAGGAATATCGATTTATATTAGAATATTGATTTATATTTTAGATAAAATCAAATAATAATCACAAAACAATTACTAATATATAAAGTTTTCAAATTTATAAAATAATAGAATTTAATTTAAGGATTTCGATATAATGAATTTGAAATACAAATCGATGATGTTCGCTTACTTAAGCATAAGCGTCTTCATATTAGTGTAATGCAGTATCGGTAATACTTTCTTTCTCATGCTTCTCTCGTATGCGTAGGTATGCCAAGCTTCGGTACTTTTAGATCGGAGTCCGCTCCCATAGGTTACTAGTAGGGAAGAGCTTGATACCGGGTAGCCCGGTAAGGTGGCAGTTGACTCCGTAGTTGACTTCCAGTCCATACTCCTTGGCTATCATCAAAATGATGCGCAATGGTTGATCTCGAAAGGGGGTCTAGAGAAGGAAATTCCATGATACCATTTCATAAAAGTAAAAAACCGTATGATCTACTAGGTAAGTATTGTATTGCCAAGAATGGATTGATATCTTTGGGCCGCTTGGACCGGTTACCTAAAAATGGCAATTTCCGATTCGTGATTGAAAAAAGTAAAAAAGTAAGAAATTACCCCTTCATCTCCCAAACCAGGAATTTTCTCCAGATTGCCAGATTGCCCCGCAGATCACTCACTTATGATCCGGGAATCCCGCATTCCACTTTCATCCGTCACCCCACACATATTCACATATTAGTTCTCACGCGATGACCCCCCCTAAAACACTTTCATCATCATTATTTCCCTTTTGTCTAGGTATGATTCATGACTTACCTACCCAGGTACTAGGTAGTTATTATATGTTATCCTCAATGTCTCAATGTCTCAAAACCGGTAATGCCATTTTTGCTCAGTATTTGTCATGGCTTGAACGAGTTCTCCAGTATATAGGATGGTGTTGCGCCTACACCAAATTTACCAGTCATCATTGAACAATCTCTCGTCTTACCTTTTCACAATATTTTTTACCAAAAGGCCCATACGTCCAAGTCGTCTGATACTTTAAATACTTCACCGGCTCCCCAAAGTTTGTCAATACAGTTCAGTTGCCACAAGGTCTTATCATATACATTCAACTATCACTATCCTCCATACTTGTCTTTTTCGATTCCTTTGCACGCAAATACATAACTTTAATCTCTCTTCCTACACCATTTCCCTATATATATCCGCAACCATGTCAACTCAAGTACAGCGGGCTACCCCAATACACAATACCTTAGATGGTCGGTCGTTGGAGGAAACATCAGACCATATTGACAACCTCAATCGTATCAAAGCAGAGATGAGAGAGGCACCTATATTTGAAGACGAGAAAGAGAAACAAAAACGATTTCGGCAATATCATGCGGCGAAAGCCCACGTTATAGAATTTTATAAAGAGTAAGTATCAATTTCCTTCATTTTCGGTATTACATACAAGCTAACACTGTATTAGACAACATAAGAAGCAGACCTACGAGTTCAACATCGAAATTCGTGAAAAGTTTTTCAAGTCCAGACGTCCGGTCGAGATGTCAGTATGGGAGGCGATGGTAAAGCTCAACGCATATGTTGATGAGTCAGATCCCGATACCGAGGTGACTCAAATTGAGCACCTTTTACAAACGGCCGAGGCGATGCGGAGAGATGGAAAGCCACGCTGGATGATATTGACCGGGCTCATTCATGATCTGGGCAAATTGTTGAGTGCATTTGGGGCTGAGGGTCAGTGGGAAGTTGTCGGAGATACTTTCCCCGTGGGTTGTGCATACCACGAAAAGATTATCTTGCACGACAATTTCAAGAACAACCCAGACTATAACCACCCAGTCTACAGCACCAAGTACGGTGTTTACTCCCCAGGTATTGGATTAGATAACCTCAAAATGTCGTGGGGACATGATGAGTATCTATACCACGTTGTCGAAGGCCAGTCCACATTGCCAAAAGATGCACTTGCAATGATAAGGTATCATTCATTTTACTCTTGGCACAGCGAAGGCGCATACACCGAGTTCATGAATGAGAGTGATCATAGGAAGTTGGCGGCCGTAAATGCCTTCAACCCATATGACCTCTACAGCAAGAGTGACGAGCCCCCAAATGTGGAAGAGCTTAAGGTACGATCATCCGCAATTGCACGCAAATAGCCATGCTAACCTTTTGACAGCCTTTCTATTTGGAACTGATCGATGAGTTCTTTCCACAACGGATCATCAAATGGTAAAAAAGTCGGGAAGGGAATGAGCGAATACCATCGACGAAGTCTTTTGGGATATACCAGGCGTTTTTGTAATACATAGGTCATTACGAGTAGACGAATTTAGATGAATAATCAGCAATATTGTTACGTATTTTGTGTCACGGTATGTGACCACATACAGTTGTAATACACCGGAACTACATCCGACCTAGAGATAACATTAGTGTACATATTTAATCAGAATCAGATAAAAACCATCAAAAACTCATTGTGTCGTACATCAGCAGTCCCGAACCTGGATCAGCATTACACGTAATACAATGTGTGACGTGACACATTTTGGTAGGAAAAAAGTGTTGAGTTTCGTGCATTGATAAGATTCCAAGTTATTTATAGAACCGTGCGTATTTTGGATGCGGGGAGAGTGAGGTTGGATTCGGACAGTCATGTGATCAACATTATTTTGTCAACAAGATGTGAAACATACATCTTCACCTCAGTTTTCTATTCTGTCGAACTTTCTATACGTGTAAATTGAAGATATGGAAAAGTTCTTCGTTTAGTCTAATTCGACTTCAAATTACTTCATACTCAGAACGTTCAATCACATGATAGCAGCCAAGCCACTTTCCGATCAGCCACTGGATTTATCCTTTCTTACACTGATGATCCATACAAATCAACATAACTTCATTAAAGTTGTACCATCACCATGAGTGACAGCTGTGCAGTTCTTCGTATCCGTTTTCACAGTATTCATGCCTTCTGGCCCCTGCTCGCAAGTTTGCAACCGGGTGGCTGAATAGCCTTATAGCCAAGGCCAGGGCCAGGGCCATTACAATTTCACAATGCAAGCCGCCAGAAACAGATAATCAAGCACAAGAACAGGATTAGTATGCCTGTCCATCAAGTAGTGCTGCATTCGCAATATCTCGATACGCTCACCCCTCATCAGTCTTCGTGATTTTGCTTCTGTTATCTCAACATTCGTTTCTTTACTTCATTGGTATGTTGCTATAGAAAACGGGGTCGGTTCATTGTACGAGTATATATCTCCTGGAATACATTATACATGCTTTGTGGCCATTATTCGTGCCCGGGGAGAGGTCTCGACAAAATCTAGCCTCGCAAGGCTTGGTGACAGCATTGCATCTCTTTGCGGACCCCGAGGCCTCCACAGCTCATGTGGATTCTCAAACTCGATTTTCATTCAGCACAGATGCTCTAGGTAGATGATGATATTCACCAGTAACTAGAAGAATCCTGGTGATAGTGACAATTCCTATTCATGTGTACTCGAGTATTTAGTGAACTAATTGCAGCTGGACACTCGTACTTAAAGACTTGGCCAATCATCTGCTGAATATTGCGCGAACACGGACTGGTAAGTCAACTACCCTACTTTCGGGCCACCCTTTCACACCAAAAACAGTGATTTTCGAATATTCACAATTTTATCAATATTGAATCTAATTAAATAAAATTTTGAATATAGATTCTATATATAGTTATTAGCTCAGTGTGACCAAAAGGGTATAAACAGGACTCCGATTGTGTACTTAGAATCTACAAGTGAAGAGCTATGTAGGATGCTAAAAGGAGGACTATATATACAGGTATTGGGAGCCATAAGGGCTAGGCCCAAAAGGGTGAAAGAGACCTAGGCGTAAGATGCCTAGGTCTAGAGCTATAGAGCTAGGGCTCTAAGCTGTGAAAGGAAGGTCCAAGGGAGCCATCGTATCATGCTACATATGTAGTATGAGCCAGTAAGCGGAAGAGAGCCGTCTGTTCCGTCATACTCAGTTATAGTTTTTTAGATTTTTCATAATTTTATATAAAAAGTTATTAAAGTTTAAAAATCAAGGTTTTCATTTTGTATACAATTTACATA